GTGGTACGCGACACATGCCCACAAAGAACCCGAGTGGAATTCCCCGACGCTTTACTACGTGCTCAATAGAGGAGCTTCTATCGCGAAGATGCACTAGCAAACACTCTGCGAAAACGGGGCTGCCTGCGTTGGGCGCGTAACGGCAGACTGCGAAGTTGCCAACTTTCATCAACGCTACCCAAGACCGGATACAGTGATGCGATTGAGTTCCAGTGCCCACTTGTCAATGTGTCAGTCACGACGACGGCCATTCAAGCGTAATGCCACGTACACCTGGCATGTCACGGACTGCAAAGCCTAACAATTGCATCCCCACTCAGACGGCAATTTGCCCCCAGTTCTAACTCCTGAGCAAGATCACGATGCGTGACGTCAACATCGACTTCTCCGATGACTCTTGTGAGACGAAAAACTGGGCTTCCCACTCCTTCCGCGTACTGCGCGCAGGATCACCCTGCCTTTCGATACAGACTAGAACCCCGATGCTTGTCAGCGCTTGTTCTTGCAAGTCCTTCACCGCTACTTCTCCCTCTATTTCCATCAATTCGTCTTTTACATCCACTCAAAATCCGCTCATTGCTGGGTATTGTTCCAGATACAGACGCAATTATAGTCTGATGACTTGAAGTTGAGCCAGGGAGAGAGCCGTCGCATCCGTGCAGTGGGAAGTGGGAGCAGTCTCCCCGTCCGTGCCCCACCCCACGATCTCTTAACCCACGGGCCGAAAGACAAAGCTGTCCTCCGACAAAACTTCCAGCAAAGGGCCGATGATGATCGTGATCGTCAACTTTGTTCGTACTTCGCAAGGAGTCCATCCCAATGTTGATAGCCTGACATTCTGGGTTAAGCTGGCGTAGCAGATCGAGAGATGGAGGGCATGATCGCATTCAACAATTTAACGGGTGAGAACATTCGCCGATGACTGTAGTGCTAGACTCAGGTCCTAGCGCGCTGTATCTGGCTCCGGTCGTCAACTGCCTTGTGCTAGAGCTGCGAACGTCGTGCACGTGGCCGGAGCATACTTAGGTACCTGAACAACTATGGGACTGGGAGCTACGTCTTGTACCGAACATCACCACAGCACTGTAGCATCATTAACACGCCGTATCTGTAGAGCAAGCGTCTCGATCGGTCGCGTTAGCCATTTCGAAGATCCAGGATCCGAGAATGCAGGGCAAAAAGGCGACATCATTTGTCCAGGACGTGCAGTAGTCTCCCGCTCTCATTCTACATGTGTAAGATCTACAAGCTTCAAGACCCTAAGCATGCTCACATCATCGTTCCGTTCATAGCATAACACCATCAGATTATATTATCTGAAGTTTGGGACGATGACATTGATATTCCGTCAATAAACAAGTCGGCTTAGGTAGACATTCCGACGTTCGGGTGGCTTATGCTGTGCAACCATGTACTATCTGAGAGGTGCGTTTGCGAGCAGATGAAATCGGCCCCAACGCATTGCGCGACGGCTCTGCGATGGAACCAACTCCATCACAGCTTCAGATCGTAGGGCAAAACTTAGACGCATGTTAGGATGATACCCAAGTAGTCTTACACCAAGCATAAACTGTCCTAATTAGGTCATTTTGAGTAGCTTTAGTGAACGTTACTATGGAACAGGGCATCCGAGATGATGCGAAAACTTGGAAACGGACTCACCTATGTCCTCATCCCTCGATAACGGTTATCTCGGCATCAATACATTACGCGAAGCATGTAAGACTGTTCTGGCCGTCCTCATCTGACATTGCGCAGATTATCCTATCTGTGCAGCCTCCACCTCTGTATTCACACCCCCGACAAGATGCGCCACTACTTGTCTCCGCCCTCACCTGACACGTTCTTGTACGCGACCTCATCTCCGCCGCCCCGTCTTCTCACCTGCCGTACGCAGACATGTGATTGCTGATAACGCTTTTAAGGCCAACCCATAGGCGTAGGGTAGTTTCGCCTGTTGCCTGTCGCCTCTTGCATGAACACAACGTGCCTAGATGTTACACCTGCATGATCTATGCATGCCTTCCCCTCACTCTCAACAAAAGCACCCCGCCCCAGTCGGCTGCCCTCCATACATTTGAGGCATGTGTGTACTTTACAGCGGGTTGCCTCATCTGACCAAAGCTACACAAACAGCGTAATGGCTGGGGGAGAGGCGCTGCTATAGGGCCACATCTGCTGTCTCATGTAATGTGAGGGTGTGAGGATGGTCGGCGATAGGCCGAACGGTAAAGCGTAGTGCGGGGTCACACTTTCTGTATTCGACCTCTGCAGTGCTAGATAACGCAGCTATGCGGCTTGTGGGTACATTTTGGGACCAACATGACGAGTAAGCTGCCTTGACCGTCTAGGGAAAGTCATCTTTGCCCAACCTTCGCGAGAACATGCAATCTAGAGTGCGCAGGCGCAATCATCGTGTGAAAAAGTAGTCGGTCAGCCACAGTACTGCTTGAACCAGAACAAAAGTCACATGTCTGTAATGATGCAAACAATTCTAGACGCTGTCGCATCGGCAGGCCCTGTAAACACAGGCTGCTCGGCACTTTAGAGTACTGTTTACGACCAAGTCCGTGCCAAACCACTGGATACGACCGCCCTGCGAACTGTGGCAAATGCAGCGGGAAGGATTCGCTCAACGGACAAGGGACGCGTAGGCGCTTACGACTTATCTGAGCGCGGCGCAAGGCATGCAATGTGTGATATCATCTTTGAAAATCCTCGCATCTTCAGAAGCAGTCCAAGACTGAATGGGATGATATAGTGCTGCAACTTTTGCCATTGTAGCCGTACAGCTGTGTGGAGAACAAAGTCTAATGCCGCGCCGTAGCGATCAGCAGAGTTGGCTGTGGCTGACGACATCCTTGTCGATATCCAAGCGAGCATGATGGGCAGATTTTTTGCGACAACGATGACGAAGCTAGAGTATAAGGACACTAGCGCGCAAGGCTGCGATATTCTTAGCAACTGGCATGTATCCTTTTTCCATCATCAACCCGCATCACCAAATGCGATGATGACACACTACAACCACATGTCGCAGTTCTCTCAGCGTTACCAATCATCTCCGACGTCGGAAGAAGAACGAAGGTTGACGCATCACTTCGCGAAACGCTAACTAAGCACCTCAGATTTGTACGATATCAGTCGAATGAGAATCTCGCCGTTGTTGAGCCGCAACGGTGTGCTTGTGGCTTGCCCTATCATCGCCGCATCCTTGTCTTGGCTACAACATCTGCAGTGCGGCAAATTCCCAACAGACACACCACTGCGCTTATCTACCCACCACCGTTGTCACATCTATGAGCATGCGCACTACGTTGGCCATTCCCTGATCAGAACGAGCGTCTAGCAGCAGAATTAACGTTAGTCAGTAGCATGGGCGGCTGTAGGTAATCTAGGCAGGGTCCACGGAGCCTCCCTTTCCACCCTGTCGCCTTGAAAGCAGGGTCTAGGTGTTTTATGGAGTATACTCCGGATCTTGTGGCGTTCTGAATGGGGTCGAGGTAGGCGCGATATGGTACGTTGAGAGATTGCGTGCTACGCGATGCTAGATGACGGGTGAGCTTATTCTACGGACCGTTGGGATGCTACTGTAAGAGCGCTTGTGGGGAGAGGGAGGGTTGGGATTGATTCTCCGTGGAGCAAAGGTTGGAGGATGGTGTGAACGGTGGGCGTCACATGCCGCTCTGGCGAGAATCTGTGCGTCTGGGGCAAGAGAAGCGGAGATTGTCGATTGCGGGGAGCGAGCGGTGAAGGATCCATGGTACGCAACGATGGCTTGACGGTGGCCACGGGCGTTGATCGTCAAGAGTACTCAGTAAGATGCTTGCGGATCCTCAATTGATGGGCAATAAACAACAACAACCTCGACCGTGTTCCAAGCCAGCCTCGCGTTCTCCGCGGTCCGAAAACATCTCGAAAGTCCGAAAGCCGCCATCACATGTCCGTACCACGGTTCCTCGTGTATCACAGCATTACTGACCCTGCGGCTCAACTCTATCCGAAAAAATCAAGGGTCCAATCCCTGTCCTTGGAACCCCAGGGTCCGATCAACGCCTAAGCTTTGACACATGCAAACTTTCTTACCCGCTCGACCTCCTGCATACTCAAATATCAGATACGACGACAAGTGAAGTCCATCGGACGTCTCCGGCCATGACATCAAACCCTTGATCGTTGACCCACTGTACGCACTACCGTATGACTTACTCCATTCTCCACTGTGGCTCTCCACACAACATCTGCGTCCAGCACAGGGCATTCAGTTAACAGTTGGACTCTGCACTCCAGTCTCCACACTTGTAGCGAGAAAGCCGACGAAACTCATTTTCCTGCGTGGGTGAGCGAGCCCCGCATTGGGCCGTGGACTAGGTCTTTAGTTACAATTGCTGCAAACTCGAACTGTTGAGAGTGGGTCTCCCATCCCATCACGTCCACCCCTTACTTACCCTATCCCACCATCTCTCTTCTCTTGCAAGCCACGCGTGGAGTGTCCCATATTTCCTGATCCGACTTTTCGCTTGTGCACCAATAGATGGCGGGTGTGTGTAGCACGACGCAGTGAAGCGCCTCGCTCAGCCCCGCGGAGAATCACATTGACCCCCCGGCTATAGTTAAGGCCGATGATTCATCTTTGATGTCGGACGCAAACCAGGTGGGCGCTGTGGAGACGATGAATGGGGAGTCACTCGGCGGAAGCTAAGGCTGCGTGAGGAAGGCTTCCGATGCGTGCGGGACGGAGAGGATAGTTGTAGGGGCGCGATGGGCGCGATGGAACGGGTGGATGTTGGTCGGGAGGTTTCACGGTAGTGAAGATCGTGTCGCAACTGTTGAATACAATATACTAGCTATGAGTAAGAGTGGGACATGGGAGAGGAGCAATTTGCACGTTGAAATCCTAGGAGGCTCTAGAGGTGAGCGGGATATGTTGCCCGCAGATGGATTGTAGGTATTTCTGTACCAGGAGAGAGTATCACTTTCTCGGCGCTACCTTGCCAAAGCTTCTCCTCCAGCATGTAAAGTTTCCCCCGCCTCGTCCTACACAAATCCCTTCTACTTCTTCTGCAAAAAGACCGTAGGCAATGTCACATTCGCAGTTGGTATGACTGGTAGAGTGACGTTGGCAGTTGGCGAACCGGTGAGGTTGGGAAAGCTTGTCACGACTGGTGGGTTGGGGCCTAATTCACATGGATGAGGTCCAGGACGAGGCGTAGGTTGGAAGAGGTTGCTGCACTGCGAGATATCAGTATAGCGCCTTCATCTCAGAGAAAAGGGGAACTGTTTACAATGCGTGTTGGTGTTGGACATCCACCCGCGGCTTGCATGTAACAGCCGTACGAGAAGTTCTCCTCGAAATGGCAGCTCTGGTTCTTGTGTTAGAGCAACTATGATGTCCTGAATCTACCGTCTCTTGTACTTCGACCTACCTGTAGTGCATCGGTAGCCCAGCATGGGTACCTAGCTGTCGCCAACTGACACTGACATCGTTTTGTGAAGATTGGAATTGGCTCCCAATGAGGTTTCCTCTTTGACGAACTCAACTCTGGGTCTTCGTTGTCGTCGTCGTCGTCGTCGTCTGAATTGGGGTCACTCGTTGGTAAAGCTGTGACTGGGATGTTCAGCGAAGTGGAGACTGGTGTGGCAGTAGTCGATATCGGTAGAATTGCTGAGAGTGAAATGAGAGTTGCTCCTGGAGCGATCGAGATGTCTGTAGCTTGAGGATATGGAACTGCTAACACCAGCGCTGCCAGAGCACTGATCAAGACGGAGGTGCGCATTCTGGTAACTTATTGCTGGTCTTGATCAATCGCAGAAGTGACTGATGAATGGCAAGGCTGTGAAGTCTTGGTTTGTATCATTGAGCCTCTTCATTCTATGTAACTGTTACTGCTCCATGGTGCCTCTCAGATCCATATTGTTTTACGATGCTCTTTAGATTGCGATTGTCAAGGTTCGCCTCGCAGTGCTATGCTATTGCTCAGATCAGGTCTTGTTCCATCAACCTGCGACAAAAACCGCAGTCGCGTACGTTGTGAAGCTATACATAGCAGCAAAAGCTGCGTGTGTATTTACCAGCGCGTATTCCATGATGTGGCTACTTTACCGTGATTGTGAAGTGCCGAAGGCCGCGCGGCTGATTGGCTGCTTCTATGCGTCTTAATCTGAACTCGATATACCCTTACATCGGGATAAATGGCCTAAATTGGAGGATCCATGGTTGCCAAAACCGAACATGAACGTTGGACGGCACACCCTCTACCCTTCATTCAGACCATAGGATCTCCACGGATAAGCAGCCGCCTTATCAAGGTGACCATCAATAGTTGATGCCGTAGCGAGAAGACCCGAAGAATCCATAACGCGTCATGTGGCTGCAGTATGATCTCTTCCCATGCCTCAGAGGCGCCTATGGATTTGATATGACGAAAGACGAGGCCGTTCCTTGAATCGGTTGAACGAATCCTTTGACAAGCGGGAAGGCTCAGCCCATGTATGTGGCGTACACCTCATGCAAAGCTTGGCTCGAAGCAGCCTCCTGGCGTGCGACGACCCGTTTAGGACGTCCTGATGGAGTGTTGGTGCTCCAACCCTGTCCTCAACATGTGGAAGCATGCGTCGCAAGCTGCACTTCGCTGATCAGGGTCCGAACGGTCTCGGCCGCTTGTGTCTTGGAAATGAGGGGTCCAGATCCGTCGTTTGGTTGTCGTTTCCCTAAAACCCATGTAAGCTTGTAAAGTGTGGCCTGGTGCGCTGAGGTGCCGTGATATGCACTCCGCCATCAGCATGGAGCGGAGACAAACTGTGGAGACACATCCACCGTTCAATGTTGTGAATATGCCTGGTGGAGTGATGTGCGAATTTGCAAACCTTCAGCGTTGCGCTTTGCTAATAGAATTTGCTATCGGTGCGAACCAAAGATTGGCGATACAAGGAGTACTTGGAGGTACTTCGTGGTTCGGCGTCTCTCACGCCAGCCTGCCCCAGCACATCTTGTGCGACACAGGCTACGCGCGGGTTAGCCTACGATAACGTATATTGCCACTTTGTGTTGAGATCGAGCAAAGTCGGCGGTTGATAACGCGAAGCTGACTGGATATTTTGCAAGTCAGTCAGTGAAATTGAAGGTCGTGCAATCGTGGGCACAGCATCATCAGCATCTGAGTGCAACTTAGTAATCGAAGCATGTGATTTGGCGGCAGACGCTCGGGCCTATGACGAAGTTCGCGATGCCGAACTTCACGAACTGCCAAACGTCGGTCGGGTCGTCGCGTCAACCATTGCACAAGATCCTGTAAGCATGATATTCTCGTAGCGCACAAACAATGCGACACATCAGAGGCAATAGCTGACATTCGTTCCATAGTCCCTCATACCGCGACAATGGCACCATCCAGGGCTATTCTTCTTCGCCGCATAGCCTCCGCAGCCCCAGCGCCATGCTTACGACCGACTTCGCGTCTCCTCACAACGTCTACCTCTGCACTATCTAGAACACAACAACCGTCAGTCTTGCGATCGAGCCTATCACGACAGTCACATTTGCCCACGCTATGCACGCGATCATATTCGCAGTCAGCCAGCGCAGCGCCTGAAGCACCGGATTACCTCAACGAGGCAGAATTACACGTCTTCAACAAGATCAAAGCGGAATTGGAGCCCGTGAAGCTGGAGGTGTGTAATGCTTCCCCGCTTTTCCGCTTGGAGATGCGTATGTGCGGAGTCAGGAGCGCTATGCGTTGACCACACCGATCGCACGACCGACTACTGCACCGCGAGCATGCACGTCATATCAGTATTGCGGGGTATATTGCAAGTCTGGATGCACATCAGATGTTGAAGCATCAGCAATATGTCTGCAGGATATGTGTGCTCAGTCAGTGTTTGAACGATTGCTGACATGTAGGGCACAGGTACAAGATATCAGCGGCGGCTGCGGGTCCATGTATGCCATCCAGATCCAGTCCCCCAAGTTCAAAGGCTTGACGGTCATCAAGCAACACAAGATGGTCAACGAAGTGCTGAAAGACGAAATCAAGAGCTGGCATGGTGTACAGCTTAGGACGAAGGCTGCTTAATCGCGGCTCGAATACGAATTGTACATATGTTGTACGACTAACGTATACCTGATAGTCATGAAATGAAGCTTTACGATCAATATATCGAACGCCTTGGCTGCGACTCGCTAGTCACTTAGTAATCTATCACAGCTGCCTTGCTCCGTATGCTGCGATCCACGCCGAAATAGACGACTAGTTTGGGAAACGAGGACACGTTTAATCACGGTTTCTAGTATCAAAAACAAACAAAAACGAGCGAGTAGCCAAGCTTGTCGATCTAGGGACTCAGAGAAGGCAGGCTCAGAAGAGGAAAAGACCGCAGCTCCTAAGTTCTGGTTGCAGGTCATGATAGCGGACAAAAGAGCAAATAATCTTTGACTTTGACTAAAACTATACGTCAAGTACAAAGGATAGCCTGAGCGCCATATGCAAAATCCTCTTTTTCTTGGAAACTACTCATCGTCGTCGGTATCATAGCTATTTCCGGTCTCTAGTACGTCCCCATCTACTCGAAGATTAGAACATTGGCTAGACGATCCAGGAGCGGTACGTAGTAGCCTCCATCCATGAACTTACAAGTCTCAACCTCTCCCGACCAATGGCACATGACCAGTCGGCGACCAGCGTAGTCTGACACGTCAGCGTCAGGAAACCTCGCTCTGAGTTGGCCAGGTACGTCGACACTGCGATTGGGGTAGTTCACACGACTATACCTCGCATCGACCCCTTCATCATGTCTCTCAAATCCAAATAGCCGGATGGTTCTCAAGTCTGGGCAAGCCTTGGAGTCGAGTAACTCAGGAAGCACTATCTTGACAAAACGATCGTAAGAAGGGCCGTTCGCACATTCTCTCATATACGACTGCGGACGTAGATGTATGAAATCAGTGCATGTTTCACATGCGTCAATACGTTAAAAACTTACCTTATTACTGTTTTCATCCCCCGTGTTCTCTTCTGCGACGGGTCGTTGATCCAGGATCAGGTGTTGCAGCGTCTTTCGTGTCGCTCTGAACAGCGCGCTCCACTCCATCAGAATCCGCTCGTCGGATGACGTAGGATAGTACATCATTCCCTGATCGGACTTGATACCGACTCCAGGCCTGCAAAGATGTAATGTCTTGAGACTTACCAGTCTCGATATGGTTTCAGGAGTCAGGCATGCAAGAGCACGAGTAGCAACGTCTTCTTGCTCCGCCGTCATCTCTTCTAGATAATCAGGCTTCTGGTTCTCTGGTACAGGATTCTCCGAATCGGACCAGCCTACCGGACGATCCAGAACGGCCAAATGAAGTTCCTCGATTCGATCAGGTTCCGTGAGAAGCCATCTGACGAACTCCTGGGGGAAATAACCACGCAATTTGAGTGTCTTCAGATTTTGCAATCCCGACAGCTGCACCTTGGACTCATCCAAGCCTGAATTTGGTTTCCAATAACACGATATCTCTAGATGCTCCAGATTCACAAAATGTGCAAAGCTCCGCGCCATGCTATTGGGTGCCATGAAATGCGTCGGCAAACAGAGCCACCGCACCAATGCGCCTAGTTCTTTCTTCCTCTCTTCGACCAGCCTTTCCCCTGGTGTTACATCACTCGAGAATACATTGAGAAACTTCTCGCCTTGGATGAGCGCCTTCTGAGCTGACTGGCATCGTGATTCGCTTCGAGGACCGGTATCATACGGTGGTGTCATGCGACTTGTAGCTTCTTCGATCCGGAGCGCTTTATGTGCGGTTTGCGTATGGAAGCCTGGGCGGTGCATCTCAATGATGGTCCAGAGAAGAGGTTGTACAGCTGAGTGGTAGGCTTTGGAGACGCGGGCCATTGCACATAGGTCTTCCATACGGAGGTATTCCGTTATACATGCGAAGACGTCAGTCGATACTTGTTCCATTGGGAAGGGCATTATTGCGTGGTAGTGGTAGTGAACTTTATAAGTCAGGGAATACTGCCCAGTTGCCGAGCTCGGCGATAGAGATAGTTGGCAAACAAGGGTAGTTCAAGTGAAGTACAGTAGTCAATGTCTTAGAGTAAGCTGTGACAAGACAACACCAGTGGACAGCTTTGCGCGGTAGAGATTGCTGTGAAGCTACCCAGCACAATAGGCTAGGCCAAATGTGGTGTAGACCCGGTTGTCTGGTTGTCGAGTCGGCACTGCAGTTAACACATCAACGGAGATACTGATCGAGAACTGGACAATGGATACACAAAAGTGCTGATGAATTCGTGATGCATGATACAAAACTCTGACTCTAGTGTTAATACTGATCTCGTGTTCTTCGCACGTACGTCCCACTGACATCGTGACTACAGAATTGATCAAATTCATAGGCATTTCACATACGACCATAGGATCTTGAGAGCAAGGCTTCCCGTTCGCTCAGCCCTATTTAAGCAAGATACCGGCGGATTAGTAGTTAGGTGGGTGACCACTAGCGAATCCCCGCTGTTGTATGTTTTCTGATTTTTTTGCCCTCTTTTTTGCATAGCTTTTCGACCAGCTAACTGCTGCTAGTCTGATCTTATTGTACCTAGATACGGACAAAATGCTTACCCATGTGATGCATGTCAGACTATCATAAAGTCTTAATACCCAGAGGTGCTACCTTCTGCACGCAGCACTGCCTCACCATCCATTAACCCACGCACGTAGCTTTCGGCAACAAATTCCCACTCTCTGACATCTTGAATGCTTTAGTCGATTTCTTGAGCATAGAGACTAAGCACCAAAGGAGCGTTTCTTGTAGAAATACTTTTGGACATTGCTTATCTTCCCCTCGTGTTCGCGTTCATCCCTTCCAATTTGATCAAGCTAGGATCGGTGGCCATCACCGTGTTGAATCTCGACGACTTCGCATTTAACAAGGTAGGCGACATATGTTCTAGGCATCTGTCAGTCACTGGAGCCTGACGGAAACTGCTTGAACCTACTGTGATGGATCTCGGCAGCAGAAAGAAACGGTAGTACAAGCAATATCAGGGGAATGATCTGACCGAATCCCACTGATGTGTCAATTTCAAAGAGACATCGCGTGATAAGCCAGCCGGCGCCGGAAAGCGCTTCAGGGCTGTTATGATACAAGGCTGATGTAGATGGAGAGGCGACACGTTCCTAGCACGTTCGGCAGCGCGCTGGGCGTGCTCCGCGAACCGGTTCGTCGGGCCTACTTGGCCCCTGATTCCCCCGACCTATCACAACTGCATTGCTCTAGACACGAACAATCACTGACTCATGTTGCTATTCAAGGTGTGCTGCGCAATGTATTGGTATTTTTAATGACGATGATTTGTGTGTATATATCTACAAGAATTCAAGCCGTCAGGCTTTTTGACTACTCTGATTTGCAAGCGCAATTCTTCAAGAGCTCTCAACGGTGATGCTAGCAGATCCAGAACTCTGGTAGCCCTCAGTAGCGAGTATCATGTAGTAGTGCGTACCAAGCTTCTGTCCGTACTTGGCCCAGGCATCGAAGTGGTTCTTGACAGTGATGGTACCACCAACGCGCTTGCTAGTCCTAACAGACCAGTACTGCTGGAAGGTAGCAGTGCCGTCAATGGAAGGCTGGTTGGTGCGGGTGGTCTGGAGGATGTCATATGTGCCACCGTCAGAGGTGACGGAACCCTTCTTCTGAGCAGCAGAAGAGGGGTTGTAAGAGCCGTAGGTCTCGACGATGTAGTACTCGACGAGCGGGTTGCGAGTCCATCCGTAAAGAGAGACGTAGGAGTTTACATTGGCGGCGTTCCAGGTGCCAGAGTATTTGACCACCTTGTCAGGAGAACCGGGGTTCCTAGTGAGAGTCAGTAGAGTGGAGAGCGTGGATTTTATGAGTGCCTTACCATCCCTTGCCAGCAACGAAGTTACCGACGTTGGACCACTGGACATCGTACTTTCCGGCAGCACCGTTGTTGTAGGTGACTTGACCTTGGTTGTCGGTCCAGAATGAGTAGAAATAGCCGTTGTTGGTGCCTTCGCCTGGCTGAGTGGCGCGAGCAGTCAAGTTGGCAGACTCTTCCTGAGCACGAGCCTCTAGGATGAGGCCAAGGGGCGAGGCCAGAGCCGCAGTGGCGCTACCGAGAGCGAGAATGATAGAAGAGAAGGCAACCATTGTGTTGATTCAAGTTGGAGATGCTTGGTGTCCTTCTTTCAAGGACAGTTGGGACTCTTATATAGCAGTGGAGGCGTTGTACCGTGCTGATCATTACCAGGAACCTCCGGTGAACTGCGGCTGCGGATCGAGGGAGCCTTCCAAATTGGAGGGCACCTGTCAGGCAGGCGCACCTGGCGTATACCAGCCGTAGTAAATGTGGAGTGCATGGGAGCATGTCTACGACCCGTCGCCGTGCGTGGAGCCGTGCCCTAAAAACAAGATCGAACCACCGGGTATTCAGGGTCTAAACGTGGTGGTTGGACAGCTATAGAGGCGAAGTTTTGAAACTCGAAACATTCATTTCCGCTGGAGATGCGTTCTGTGTGGACCTGCCATGCTATAGGCCCGATATGCTGTGGTGCGACAAGAGTGGAGCGGAGAACGACTTGGTCGGTCGAGAAACATTTTGACCCGCTGCGTTCTGGATCGATCTTCCGTAGCTTCGAAAACTATCTTATCGTCGAATTGCTGTACCTGATCGTGTGTATGTTGATTTGCACAAGCTTTTGCAGCTTGATCAAGCTCAGTCAAGCACCGCGCCAACCTACGAAGCATGCAGTCAAGCCACTTTATTTCCGCACTATCACCTTATTTGCATTTTATCCAGCTGGGCATGCGACATGCCCAGATGACCACAGGTGATATATTCACCGATGGTGTTGGCAAAAGCATTTTCTCTGTGACCAAGCATTTAGCCGGTCACTTAGCATCGTCGGGGCTTTTGCAGTGAAGATCGTCATGCTTAACTGTCTCAGCCCGGTTGCTTCGTCATGGATACATTGCGCCAAGATCTTTCCAAGATTCTTGGAAGCCGGAGATTAACGATTTGAAAGTACGGTGACATGATGCCAAGAAGTTCGGCAATGATGTAGTACGATTGATATTAATCTAATGCCGAGACCGATATCCGTTGATGGGTATGCCAGCTGACAGATGGGACTACACAACGTGCTCTCTTGGGTATCTCGGAATGAAAAAAGTATGACGAAGCAAGATGTCGGCTGTCGAAGTATGCATACAGATCCAGGTCAACGTCGGTCGCTCCAAAGTCGATCGATAACTTGGAAAACCGCCGTAATCAACTTCATAGTCTCCGAATCAATATGCTGTCCAAACCGCTGTTGCATCTTGTCCGGATGCCAGCGCACGCGCTCCGCCTTTAGCAGTGATGCAGGGTCCTCTTTCCATGTCTTCGTGTTCCGGAAAAAGCGCTCTATTTCCTCCTTGGAGACGTGCTTTGCTCTGCCAGACACTACAGGCCACGGGATCATCTCGCGGACCTTCGCATCCGTCTCCTTGTCCAGACCTTGGGCGTTCTTCAGGCTGTCCCATTTGGCCGTGTAACTTTCCCATGCAGCCTCTGCCTCTTTAGCTTTCTTCCGCTCCTCGCCTCGGCGCAGGCTCTCCTCCATGCGGCGTCGCATGCTCTCTCTTTCTGCTTCCTCTCGCTCGAATTCCTCGTCAATCTGACTACGTTGCGCTTTTTGTTTTTGACGCGCCCGTTCTTTCGCCTCGCGTTCTTCCACAATGTGCTGGTGGCTCTTCTCCCACATCTTCGTACGCACATAGTCCGCATACTCCTCTTCCGTCATACGCTCCAACTTTCCATCGGGGCCGGGTTTTGTGTCGGGATATATGTGCACAGGCTGGCCATATACACCTTCCCAGTACGCCGCACCTTCATCGTCGGCAAGCGCATCGAACAGCGATTCGCGAAAAGCGTCATCGGGAGCGGGAGCTGGACCTGTGGAGCCTGTACCTAGATCCTCTAAATTGTCGTATAAAGATTCGCGGTGGCGGTAATCAGGGTCGTAGTATGCGCCGTCTCGTGTGGATGTCGGGTGACGATCTTGGTCGGAAGAGCGATGCTTGTGCTTGTGTTTGCGCCTCGAGTCGCGGCGGCTGCGCTGTTCTTCGCTGGTCCGATCCGGCCTGTGTCTCTTGGAAGTAAGGTCGTCGGTGTCTTCGTCCTTGCTTTCGCTTTTGTGACGCTTTGAGCGACGTTTGGACTCGGACTTGAAGTGAAATCGTGACGCTTTAGCCGTGGTATAGAGGCCCTCCGCCGGTGGATCGCTAGCCTGCTCCTCCATGGTGAGGACTATGGTGGTTCACTCGACATTCATGCATGAGTGATATCTACACAAAGGTCCGCGGGTTGACGTGTCTCCAGTCATTGCGAACCAAAGAACGTGAATTGCGGAGAAGGCGCGGAGGTGCCGATGATTTCACTGGTCGCGCGCGCCTTGGCACGCGACGGGCCAATTCGCAGTCGCGACTGACACCATCCCAACTCAACACCAACATGTCATTCAAATTCGGACTCAACTTGAAGAACAAGGGCGCGAATCCACTCGCGAAACCGGCCGCCAAGCCCTCTCTGGGGAAGAAGAAGAAGCCGCTGTTCGACGAAGAGGAGGAAGATGTGAAGGGCAAATCCAGAGCGGCGGACGGCGTCCAGGAAATCGGCGAGCTTGACTTCGAAGACACTTTAGCCGCTGCTTCATCAGAACCCTCGAAACCAGCGCCCTCGAAACCAAAGAAAGGCCAGCCTCCAGCTCCTCCGTCCAAGAAACCCAAGCCGAAAGAAGATGATCCTACCGCTGTCGCGTACTCCGCCAGCGCTGCAGAAGCCGAGAAACGCGCACAGGAAGCTTTAGAAGCTGACGCTACTATATACGACTATGATGCTGCATACGACGCGCTCCACGCGGTCAGCGCCGCCAAAGCAGCTGCTGAACGCGACAGCGCTGCGGAACGGAAACCGAAGTACATGGATGCGCTCTTCGAATCCGCCGAACAACGTAAGAAAGACCAGCTACGGGCACGCGACAAACTACTCCAACGCGAACGTGAGGCCGAAGGCGACGAGTTCGCGGACAAGGAAAAGTTTGTGACAGGCGCATACAAAGCCCAACAAGAAGAGACGCGAAAGGCTGAAGAAGAAGAGAAAAAGCGGCAAGAAGCGGAGGAAGAGAAAAAGAAAAAGTTTGGTATGCAGGGCTTCCACAAACAGATGCTCGCGGAACAGGAACGTCGGCATCAGGAGGCTATTGAGGCAGCGGCGCAAGCACTGAAAGATGGTGTGAAGCCCATTGTTGATGAGGGAGAGAGGGAAAAGACAGACGCCGAGATTGTCGAAGAACTACGTAAACAAGGCAAGAACGTCATTCTCAACGAGGATGGGCAGATCGCGGACAAACGCCAGCTCCTCTCAGCAGGCCTTAACATCATCGCGAAACCCAAGCCCGCTTCCTCTGCCTCTGCCACTGCCACTGCTGCAACCCAAACGCAATCAGCATGGACGAAACCCAAACCCGGCAAGAACGCACAACGCGAACGCCAGACGCAAATGGTAGCCGAGCAGATTGAGGCGGCAAACAAGCGGAAAGCAGACGAAGAAGCTGAGGAACAGGCGAAACTGGAGCATGCACGGAAGAGTCAGAAGACAGAGAAGGACATTAGTAGTGCCAAGGAGAGATATCTGCAGAGGAAGAGAGAGAAGGAGGCCGCTGCTAAAGCTGCGGCTGGGAAGTGAAGTAGCGTTGTGATACCCAATATACATTGACTTGTATGATTCTGATTAAGTAGTTTGAATTCATCGTAAACTCCTGAAAACCCATACACCAGGAATACGCAGTGGCAAGGAGGCCGGGAACGTACCGTCTTGATGCATTGAACGCCAAAGCAACACTCAATACCTCTGCGCCCCATCATCCATCTCATACATCTCACCCATGCCACTCAAAACACCAAATACCATCGGCTCCAGTTCACAAGCCTCCATCATCCCGTGAGCCTCCATGTCCTTTCGATAGCACGCCGCCCTCGGCGAATTGCACCAGAAGTGGCCCATTGCGTTCGATCAGGAGATCGGAGACTCACATTACTCGACCATCCCGCAGTCGATGAGAACGGAGAGTGCCAGTCTTCGACGGGTTCAAACATGCGAAGAGTTATCTATCATAATGGCTGCGAAGTTGACCTGATCGATTCAGGAAATGTTGGCGAATTCCGTGGGGGATCCGTTCACAACCGGGATGTCGCTTGTTTAATCTTGAAGATGGAAGCACGGTACAATTGTTCGCTGACGCGTCTAGTCTTATGTTGAGTGCATGTGACCAAGAGTGACGGTAGGACTGCGGCGATCGGCGAGGACCACTGATACTATAGTGTAGTCTAAAACTACAGCGTAGGATTATGTAACGATGATATCGAGATGAGAACGAAAAGAAGGTGTAAGGAAGATGTAATGGTGGAAGTGCGAATACCTCATCGTTCGGCTATCGGATACTGTATCTGTGACTGTATAGCAGCACCATCGGCTCTGAGAAGCCAAACAAATCATGTTCTGCTTATGTCTTGTTCTTTAAGAAAGATAGGTATGTCTCACAATATTACCAGCCGTATCGGTTGCCTGCTTCTCTCTTGTTGCGAGCACCGGCAGCAAAGTGGTCCTCCAGTGCATCTTTCTGAGTCGTCGCGACGTTGACTAGGCTTCGAAGACTATTCTTTCCAGTACCAGATATAGATTTGAGTGGGTTATGCTGTACTGATTCGCCCTGTTGTCGCAGCTTCTCATTATGCGCATACTCCATATCTGTGTTGAAATCCTGGATTTTGGCACCAGAGAAGTCCGGACCACCGCGTCCTTTCTTGCCGAATAGTTGTCGCCGCTCTGCTTCTGACAGGTTTAACTCGGAAGCAATATTGGTGAGGTTGTTCGGATCATGTCCACTGGTTGAGGGAGGAGCGTATTGTGTATACTGATTTGCTGGGGGCATGTCATAGACGCCCTCTGTCATGGCGACTTTCCCTCCTTCTTCCGCGCCATAGAGTAGTGGCTGATAGTTCCCACCAGACGTCTCTTTAGGAGCGCTTTCTGCTTCGTTGGAGACGCTAAAGAGAGAGACCTTGGGTTTGCGCGGCTTGATTTCAAGAGTTGGTTGTTGCGATTGTGGCGTAGGTGCGCTTGTGCTCGTCGTGGTGTTCGTCTCGTTCGTTGTGTCTGCTGGTCGAGGTGCTATGGGTTTCTTCTTCTTTCCTTTGCCGACAGACATAGGTACAAAACGTGGCGTCGCAGGCTTAGATATGTGCTGTGGCCCAGGTTCCAGTTTCAGCTCTTGTGTCGCTATCTGAGGCTTGGTGTCTGTGTTTGTCTCGGATTTGGGCGTTGGCAAGTTGAGCATAGCCCGGAAGTCTTCTCTCTTCATAGGCTCCTTCTTTACTGGGTTGCCAGTCTCGTCATACTCCTCTGCCTCCATTTTTGACTCCCTCTTGAATGCAGGCTCCGCGCCAGTCTTAAGATTTATTCCAGATGCGAGTCCTTTCCCCAGCCCTCTGTTTCCCGTCTTTGAACCCTCGGATGCTGTGATGGCGTTTACGTTTGGTTTCTTCGGTGCGGGTAGCATTGCGTTGAAGCCACCAAATGACGAGCCCCCGCCCAGACGCGGCTTCTTCGACGGTGGCGCATCGTCTTGGATATCGTCTTTCTCCGGTCGCGACTGCGACGCGCCTGGGAGGTTGACCTTGATCCGTCCTGGGTTGGAGCGATCGACGACTTTTTGGAAGGCGGGTTTCGCAGTGGGTTTCGCGACTACTTTCGGCGCGGACGGCGCTTCGCCATCGGATTCTGAATCGGAATAGCCGGCGAGTAGGTTCATCGTGGTTGGGGCGCGGTCGTTAAGAGGTTTGTGTTGGGCGCAAGAAGTCGGAAAGTTGACAATGATCTCACTGCACGCGCCTGGACAAGAGCCGATGCCAAGCCAGGGTCCAAGGCACGCATTCACATCCCCACATGCGTCACTGCGGCCTCGTTGTATGGCTTCATGATACCCTTTCAGCTGGTCTGAGCATACCCTTCTGTTACGAGACTATGATACCCTGACCTTCCCACTATGTCGCTCCTTCAGAACGAAGAGTAAGCCCACATGGCCTCTGTGTCGCACGCCACAGCTAACTTGGGCAGCTTTGTGCTATATCAGCTTCGAACCGCGTACCTCTCCTCGATCAAAGACGGCGTAGGCGAACGATTGATCAATGTAGACTCGAGCGTCCTGAACAACCCCGCGTTTCGCGCCGCGGGCTGGGTTCCCAATGCCGCTGACATCAAGCGCACCTACTCCCCACCAATACCCACCGCGATCACTTCGGAATACTTCCAGGCCCCGCGGTCAGCTGGCCTGAAGTCGCCTGAGGGCTTTGGCGAAGATGACGACGAGGGTGGCATGGTCACTGGAGGGGCAAGCAACGATACGGTCGGACCTACGCTCAATGCGAAACGGAGGCGGAGGAAGGAACAGCTGGAAGAAGATGATAGCAGTGACTTGAGCGATGAGAGCGACGACGACGACGATGCGCAAAGGTAGCTGATCATCACGCGCTCCACGGACTGAACTGACGGATTGCTAGACCAGCCAACCAGATCAAGTTCACCAAAATGCCGCTGCGGACGCGCTCAGGATCGTCGCCCATGCCTGGGTCAGCCCTACGCAATGAGCTGGCAGAAGCTGGAGAAGGCCCTTCACTCATGATCACGTCTCCATCACGGCCGCCGGACGACGTATTGCGAAGAGGATCTTTGGGCACCGTGGATGCGGGCAAGAGCCGACCAAGAAGGGACACCATAACTAGCAGTGAGATGTCTTCGGAGAACGAGTTTGATAACTCGTCATTCAGAAAGAGAAGAGTCAACCCGCGCAAAGCCGCAGGTGCGAGCCAATTGCTTTCCAAGCGCATTGAAGAAGACTCAGGGGAGGCTGTCGGCGCACGCGCACGCCTGGAAGCTCTAGACGAAGGGGATGAATCAGACGACTCCCTCACATCCGAATTCTCTGGATCCGACGATAGCGCGTCTCTCATCGGTGCAGGAGGTGATCCGCTGGACTCCTCTCCCGCAGGTGGCGACCTTCCCACCATGCCCGGCTTGACGCCCTTCCAAAACATGTCGCCGAAAAAGAAGAAGGAGCCAATCGCACCAACATTACAGGCACTGCCTCCACCGCGACCCATCAGCTTCGTACTGCCAGTGAGCGCGTTGACCCAAGCACTACGAGCGAAGGAGCAAAAGCCATCGAATCCGCTACAGCGCTTTGCCATGTGGAACGCTGCTAGCGAAGCTCAGCAAAACCCTCTATACATCAAACTTTACTGTCCATTCTCTTCGAAACCTTCAAAGCCTGTCGAGCTGCTGATCCGGAAGTTCAGTGACAAAGGCGAGGGTCCTACTGTCGCGGAAGCAATCGGATATGCACTACATCGATATCAGGAAGAGAAGTTGGAACCGCCGCTATCGCCCGAACAGATGAATGTCAACCGCTGGGTCATGCGCATGTACGATGACGGCGAGGTTGACGACGAGTTCCCACCTTTGACAAGGAACAAGCCGTTGAAAGACTTCGCTTCGAACAACGCCCGTGGTATGCGTCCACGAGCACGAGATAAACCATGGGATGAGTTCGCACTTGTTGAGGCATCTCAACGAGAGTTTGGCGAGAACGAGAAGCTCACCCCAATCTACAGTCAAGAGGCAGCTAGTGCAGTCGCGTCGCAAACCGATGGCCCCGACGAGAAAGAAGAGAAGAAGCCCCTCAAGCCTCTTCCAAGTCGCGCGAAGAGCTTCAGGAATCCTATTACTGGCCCTTCGTTTGCGCCCACTGCGACGCGCAAAGATACTAGTAATCTTGCCGACGTACCAAAAATCCCACAAACACATGCTGCTAGCCGCATGGGAGCCCCCAAGACAGTCAACGTCCACTTCACCGACGAAAATTTCAACACGAAACACTTCAACATACCCTGCACCACTGACACTTACATTGCTGATATCTTCGATCAAGTATGCCACGACTTGCGCTTAGAGAAAGCTTTGTATATCCTCAAAGTTAGCGGCAGCACTACGGTAGCGCCACCTGACCGTACTGTAGAGGCTCTGGACACACGGATGGATCTGGATCTCGTGCGTCGTCGTTTCGTGGGCGATGGTGTCTACGGGCTTTCGGGATCGCCAGGGTCGTCATCACCCAATGCACCACTCATCATCAGTACCGGTGGCGCGCCGAAGAAGACAAAGAAGGGCGACCGCACCAACGCCGCTGTCTCTGGCCAAGGTCTCATCCATCCACTCGCCAGGAATGGCGACTCTGGTGCTCTGGCTCTCACAGCGACAAACTACTACCGCCGCTATGCCGTCCTTCGCAAACAGCCCATGTCCTTCGCCTCTTCTACATCTCGCATCATTGCTCTCGATAATGAGTACATCCATATTATGCCCGGAGAGTCCAAGACAGGAGCGCGAGGCGGCTTTGGAATTGAGGGCCAGGGCAAGACGACTACTGTGCATTTCAGCAGTGTGGTCGGTAGCAAGGTCAGCAAGAAGCATCCCAAGATGTTCCGGGTCATCGTATTCAAGGAGCGCGAGACGAAACGATATGATTTCGAAGCCCAGAGTACAAATGAGGCAGTGGAGATCGTCAGGGAAATCAAGAACGGTGTCGAGAGATTCTCGCAAGGCATCGTATGAAGATGATGCTTTACAGCTGGATTGCGATGTGGATGGCTTTTGTCTTCTTGATATGCAACTGGCATGGATGTGGTGGCGTTCTCGCTGACATGGATTTTCAAGCGCGGGTGGTTTCAAAATGGCGTTTAACATGCGATTGCAACTTTGGTCATGTTCAAGGGAAGATACCTCAAACACATAGATATCCTGCTGATGTATATATAAATTCAACCTCGCGTGTGCGGCAGATCTGACAATGTTTCCAAAACCATACTCAAGACTACGCCCCAGGTTGAGTCTGACTATGTCTGCGCGCTTGAGCTTGCTTCGTAAGCCACGAAGTTCATCTCGTACAACATACACGCACTAAGCGAAACAACTTTGTGGAAGAAGTTGGAATTTGGAAAGGCTTGAAAATGATGAGCCCTTCCGGGTCCCCGTATAACCGACAATAGCTTTGCGAGTTTAGCCCTGCGATCATTGTTTCTCCCACGCGCGCACATATTGTCTCTTGTATATTAAAACATGCACGGCAGGAAATCACGTCTCCGAGAAGCACTAGCGTCAAGAGTAGTATCTCGAACTATCCATTTCATTATATACATTTCCAAAAGGCTCAACTTCTGCCACAGGGCCTTCTCCAGTGCACTACATGCCCCAGCTGAACTCATCCGCACCATTCGCCCACATACCAAAGATCTGAATGGGGAACTTATCCGCAATGTATTGGTATCCAGCAGGACCAGGATGAAGATAATCACCCGAATCATACAACGGGTTGAGCTGACTGGGGATGTTGGGGTCGGCAAGGAACTGGTCAAAATCCACAACGGCGTCGAAAACACCCGACGTGCGAATGAATGTGTTGATGCGCTGGCGTGTCTTCTCCCGCTCGGGATTGGAGTAGGGTTGCTGGGTGAAGTTGGCTGGCGCGCTGAACGGTGTAATGGTGGCGCCGAAGACGGGGATGCCGTGGGCGTGGATGAGGGTCACCATTTGTTCGTATGCTTGAGTCAGGCCTTGGTAGACTTGCTCTTGCGCTTCAGGCGTTGTCGCTGCGGTTCCAATATCGTTTACGCCTTCGAAGATCATGGCGTATTTGACACCCGGATGGGCGAGGACGTCGCGGTCGATGCGACCGAAAGCGTTGGGACCGAGGCCGTCGGCTAGAATGCGGTTCCCGCCTGCAGCCAAGTTACCGGCTGAGATGTACCTGGTGGAGGGGTTCTTCTGGAGACGTGCGAGGAGGAGGTCTGGCCATCTGTTGTTCTGGTTGGTTGTAGATCCACGGCCGTCGGTGATTGAGTCGCCGACGATGAGGAGGGAGCCGACGCGTGGTTGCACCCAAGCTTCGATGGAGGAGAGGAAGTACCAATGCGCTGCGGATTGCGTAGTAGAGTTGCTGATGTCTAGACTAGCCGAGGAGACAGCGTTGCCAAACTGGAACCAACTGGTTGTTCTAGAGCCGGGGTGACTAGTAATGCTGTTTGTGGTTTGTCCGCTTGCGAGGTACATAGTGACGGTGACGATTTGCTGCGCCTTGATTTCAAAGTTGATGGGGTCGGACACTGCGAGTGCGCCATTTGGTACGCTAATACCATCCTTGCCTCCAAATGTTACTTTCTGGACGGTCTTGGGCTGAATCTGGTGAATGCCAGCGGTCTGGTTTAACGGAAGCGCGATTGTCACAGCGGTGATGGGAAGATTGGAACCGCCAAAGACGTTGGAGAATTTGAGACGGATTTGCTTGGCCGAAGTGGTCATGTACAGAGTCTGTCGAACTGTCGAGTTCACGAAGACTGCACCTGTCTGGTTCTACATGATGTGTTAGTACACACTCGATGAAGATTGGTAGGTGGACGTACGAATGGAGCAGGAGGCAGGTTCGCAGGCTCGGTGAGCTGTGGCATTGATGCCCATGCATCGACCCAATGGCCATTGGAAGGGTTAGGTCGAGTGGTGTGTTTGTTGTCGGAGACCCTCTTCTCAACCTCAATGGCATGGCCTTGAACGGACACAGCAACGCCCACGAGGAGCACTGCTAACCTGGAGAAGATCATGCTGGTTCAGTTCTCAATCGAAGGATCCGAGAATGATAATGCTGCAGAGGAAAAGTACTGGGGCTCATGCATGATTAATACTACGGGCCCCAAATTACGGAGGTAGGGAAAGAGGTGAGGCTAAGCAGGAACACGAGCATAGATTTGGCATGGCGCAGGAACCGATCTACGGGCTGTCCTGAAAGAGTATCTGGGGTGCCGTTAGCATGTGGGGATCTGCGGAGATGGACGGGTAAATTGCGCGGGTGGAGGAAACCTGGTTGGTGGGCGCATTTCCTGCTTCGCCTTTTACCCATCGGCTGCAAAACCGCGTAAACTGCAATCGTGACGTTACTGCGCTCTTTTCGGGCCGCGGGCACAATTATTCCGTTAGCGACAGGAATGGGGGAAAAAGAAGCGAGTGGGAAGAATTATGCATCTGTATTCATTGGTATCGTGGTCCATGCAACAACAAAGAACGCCGCCCATGCAATGCCCGGGAGATAGTTAACGCCTGACAACCTGAAGAGTCGTCTTTATATGTCGTATCCGGCTGTGAAGTGGAGTCAGCCAGACGTGCGACCGCAGAAACAAAACTAATGGCGCTCATCCATGAGGGACGGCAACCGTGTATCCGATCATGGCCAGGTTGGAATGCCAGAGGGTGGAAAGCTGGCGGCATGAGCTTCCCCTAATGTCGAGAAGGCCTCGAGGTCCGCCACTACCGGCGCGCTCAGACTCAAAAGTCGTCGTCACTCTCTGCCTTCTTCTTTTTCCGGCTTGAAGTCTTCTTCTTCTTGCCATCCACGTCCATGTCGCCCTCACTCTTCTCCGGCGCGTCGGCGACCTTGGACACGATCTCGTTGAGGAAGTCGAAGCGGTCGGTCTTGGTGATGGCTTGCTTGAGGTGGATGGAGCCGACACGCTTGGAGTTGCGCGCTTTGGCTTCGGCCGCGGCTTTGGTGACGAGGGAGATCATGAAGAGCTCGAGCGCTTTCGCTGTGGAGTGTCAGGCATATTGGAGAAAGTGCCGCGCGGGCAGTACGTACAAACAACGACGGGCGTGACCTGAGCGACCTTGCCGACATCGTCGTCGGCCTGCATGATGCGCTTTATGCGCGCGACGGGGAAGTGGTTCTTGATGGTGATGCTGTCCGTGTTGGGCGTGTCTGCCCCGCCTACGCCATTGCTCGCGTCTGGCATGGCGGGCACTGACGCGTCGGGCAAGTAGTCTGCATCCTGCATGCTCTCCTCCTTCTTGACGCCGCGAGGCATACGAGGCGGTGGCGCAGGGTCGCTGTGCAGCGGCGGATCAGTCTTGGGCGGGGTGGAGGGCGGCGCGACGTTGGAGAGGAGACCGCTGTGTCCTGTATGCTGGGGGTGAGTAGGCTGCTCGGCGTGGTATCAGGAAGATAAATCTGGCGCCTGTGGAGCCCAGCTGCCGCCCATTGGCTGGCCCCGGCCGCTCGTGAGATCCGTGCACAGGGCGCCTCTGCGAGAAAACCACGCGTCTGGATTCGAGCTACCACGCTTCTCTCTCCAGCTTCGTCACGTTCATCGTTCCGTTCCAGGGCCGGTGGATGCGCGGCGCCAGCAGTGGATGACGACACGAGCACGCCAGAGACCTCTCCGCCCTGTACAAACAGCATCGTGGTGCCTGCTCCGGTTCGCAACGACGAAACCCGCCCCCAGTCGCCTGAGGCCGTGGTTGATCGGCGCGCCGGCGCAGGAGTCGCTGATGGTGTAATTACTTGATCTAATCTGACACTCCGCCGCGCTTCTTTGTTGACGAGGCGTCTTGACCTGACCACGCTCCAGCTGGTCTGTCGCGTCCCCTGGCTTCGCAAGCCGATGCTGGGCGTCGCATATACAAAATACACATACTATATACCTCACACGCCTTATGTATCCTTCGTGATGCTGCCATCCCTTTTGCGCCCCTCTCTACCCGGACCTTCTCTCAGCCATGTCTCCGCGATGCCGTTCTTCGGGTCGTCTTCCGGGTAGCCTCGCTGCCGCCGAACGTCCAGAACCGCCTGCCGTATCCGTCGCGTGCACTCTTTGCGTATGCTGACGGCCTCGTCGGAATATTTCAGCTCGTCGCTGAGAACACCGACTTGCAGCTTTCCTCCCTTTCTCTCCTCGTTTGCACGCATCTGTTTCCAGCGTGCGCGCAAGTCGCCGAATACCTCTTCAGCATCTAACCTCTCGCCAAACGTCACCCTGACGTTCTTGAACGGCCGTGGTATAAAGCGCGGGAAAGTGCGTGTCTCGTGCATGATGTTGTCGAAGCCTTCAATGAAGATGGGAACGATGTCTGGCATTGGCTCACTCTCAAGTACCAATCGTGATACTCCCCACTTGAAGTAGCGCATGATTCTATCTTCCGTCTGATGTATCATGCCTTCGGGGAAGATGTGCACCCACGCATGCCGCCGATTAAGGTATGCCGAGGGCGCAGGAAACGTATCTTGTCCGTTTGTAGAGAATGTGAGGTGGCCGTCGGTAAAAGGATCGAGGAGATCTGGGCTTTTGAGCGATGTGGTAGGCGTTTTTGGTGGGTCTTGCTCGTGGAACGGGCCGCGCGAGAGAAGACGGATCGCTTGCGTTACGGTGGGTTGGAACAGGCCGCCGAACTGGGAATGCGCCGAACGATGTGTGGGAAGAACCTGTCCCAAGGTAAAGAATGTCGACAGTCCTCTGCTAGGGCGTCAGCCGAGCCTTTTGTTCATCCCAGAGGTGACATACTTGTTGGTGAAGCATAGATCATAACTACCTAATCCCCAGCGCAAATTGTCCGGCGTGAATATGTAGGCGAGTGGCAGGATACCCCATAGTATAGGATCATCCATTCTGTATAGATTGTGTGAGCTCAGTCCATCCATAACGATTGGGAGATTATGGCAAACGTACGTACACAGAGATGTGGTTCGAAACTGCACACTTGTTAGTACTGAGCATGTCCTGACTTCTGGACAGTCCGAACACTTACCAGTTATGAGGCCCCGCTGCCTACTCGCTGGATCCTCTCTTTCATCCAATAGCTTCAGGAAGCCCTCCATTCCATGCGTCTCAACCTTGCTCAGCCCATTGAGGAATCCTTTGCACAAAAGCCCGACGGCGCCCATGGTGAGGGCCGACGCGGCGCGCCATGGCCCGCTGGGGGCCTCCGGCTGCTCCTCTGGTCGCATTGGTGTAGGCGTGGGGTTGAGGGCGACATGTGAAGATTTCGCGCTCAATAGCTGAATGCCGCGGCCCACCAACGTCACTGCCAGGGACCGGAATTTTGGCGACAGTAACTAGCGCGATTGCGGCCTGCACGTGCGCCAACTGGCTGGCTCTTCCGCCTTCGACACGCCTTCTTCCATCACGACAGCGCAAGCTCGACACTTTACAAGACTAGACTCAGAGTTGCGGGTCTTTTGCTTCATCTTCAGGGCTTGTACACGGGATCCCATAGCTGAGCTTGGCACTATTGTCCGGATTGGCCTACCTGCTGAGTCCATCACGAAAAGTCGCGTCTCTATTTGCGAATCTTGAATGCTGAACATAGCCCAACATGCCACCTCCAAAGACCATCTTCACGTCATACGAGCGGAATGCCCTCAAAGATCGATGGGGCTCGCAGGCTACACGTCTGACCCGTGACTCTTTTCTACCTTTTGGCTCCTGCCAACTATGTCTCCTTCCTTCAGTAGACCCAGTATGCTGTTCACAAGGCGATCTCTTCTGTCGCGAGTGCGCCATGACCAATCTATTGGCGCAACGGAAGGAAATGAAGCGGCTAGAGAAGCTCAACGAGCGCCAGATGTTGGAGGACGATGACCAAAAGCTGCGAGAAGAGGAGGAAGCGCGGCTGCTGGCAGTCGAGGAATTCGAAGCTGTTCAGATGGGACTTTCGGTCAAAGCAGGTGCATCAGCACGAGTCGTTGGAAGGCAAGGTGGCAAGATCATGGTCGAAGAAGAGCAGGATGCCAAGGCAGGAGAGGCCAGAGGCACGAAACGCAAGTTCGAAATTGACCAAGAGGAACTCAAGCGCATTGCACACGAAGAGCAGAGCAAAGCAAAACGCACATTAGACGCCGAGCGCAAAGCAGCCAAGGGTCATCTCCCCAGTTTTTGGGTTCCCGGCGAGACCCCCGACCAACACCACAAAAGTGTAGAGAAGGCGAAACAAACGCCTGTATGCCCATCAAGCCACCCGGACCAACCACACAGCCTCTCACTGAAGAGTTTAACAAGCGTCAACTTCCACGAGGAAAAGTCGTCCGAAACGGGAAAGTCGGCTCGCACATGTCCCAGCTGTCAGAAAGCGCTCTCAAACAGTACGAAAGCCATGCTCGCTATACCTTGTGGTCACGTCCTATGCAAGCCATGCGTCGATAAATTTCTCCGGCCAGAACATCGCCATCAACGAGATGCACATGATCAAGGGCCGGAGCCGGAGACTATTCATTGCTATGTCTGCGATGCGGATCTTACGACAGTCCCAGACGCCAAGGAAGGCAAGAAGAAGAAAAAGGACAGCGAGAAGGGAAAGGCGCCCAAGCCTGGACTCGTGGAGATAAGGAGTGAAGGTACCGGGTTTGCAAGTGGTGGAAAGGCGATGGTTAAGAGAGAAGGAGTGGCATTTCAAGTATAACGAGTCTTTACACATCGACTGAACTACGGGCGCGAAACACGAAAAACAAATTATCATAAACTGCCAGCGCTTGAATGGCAGACCTCGTGGTGTACACACACTTCCAAGATCTCAGCTTTGTGAGACTCATTACAGGGCAATGCCAATCGTGTACTCCATGATGTTATTCGAAGTCTATTTTAGACCTTGGCCGGATTCCGCAACTCTGCGGCGGGAAGAGCTCGGAAGACGGCGCCGTATCGGATCTCGATCTGGCGTCATGTAGTCAACTCTCGCGAAGATTTCCCGGCCCGTCTACTACCACTGGCTCTACCTGTGCCAATTGTAATGTGCTACGAGCGCCATGTTCTAAGTCAGGCAACGTGCACAGTCAGCAGTCCCCGTTCTCGAACGCGATGGCCATTGCTCGGGCGAAAACTTATGTGTATGTTCATCAAAACTCATGCGGAAATACACAGTGGGTACACAACTAAGTGCAACATGATTCCACGTCGCTGCAGTCATATGAATAGGGTGTAGTGTAGTTGGGTGACCGGTTGGAAATCACCCAACTGTACAAGGGCTAGACAGCCAGGCCAATGTGCTGGGTCTCTCTCATCAACACCTTCTTTGCAGCTCAAAATCTCTGCATTATCGTATCAACGTCATCGTATGTTGTCAGACACTCTCGCCAATAACGCGCTGCTGCTCGTGGGTATGTGTACGCGGCTTCACCATGTGTGGGAAAGAGCTCATCGACCACTCACAAACCCCACTTTAACGTGATTGCCAGTACAGTCAGGGTCAATATGCAGGGTGAGGCGATTGTCTCCCATTGGGAACGACGGAATCTACTAGCTGAACACATCGTGCGAGGGGAAAACAAGACACTTGAGCCTACTTTGGCTATTGTGCTTCTAGCTACATTAGGCTTGACTAACAAACGTGTTGCATATTCCCCTTGTACGACGCGTAAAGTGAGTGAAGGCTTCCGGTCGTTTGCGCCGCTAAGAAATTACAAAACTTGCTCACGCGACGGGGCCTGTATCTGATGTCTCCACCACAGCTGGACAACGTCCCCTCGCCAGCGATTCTCTTCCCATCGTTTCGAACAGCATGCTGAAAATCGCGTTGCTCAGTATGCTGTATGCTTACCTCGAAGGGCTTTGCAAGCAATTTCGCGACATTGTGTCAGTATGTTTATTCCATGTGGCCGAGTCAAGGCTGCTCGACACTTGACGATCGACACTCAATATCAAATATACTCACATTTTATTAGGACTTTAAGCTCATCAGGCCGTTTTTCAAGCCATCCATCGCTGCGCCGAATGAACAGTCTGTACCGCTGATTCGGGAGAAGTGGTGTAAGGTCTTCCCTCCTCATGTTCATTACGCAGGAGGCGTGCTCACCCTCCAATTCATAGACTATCCTGCCGACATCGCCAACGATCTCAAAGACTCCGACCTTCCACAGCGTGTCAAAGAGGAAGTATATGCATGCGCATGGGAGTATGCACGCTGCGTGATTCCTCAATACACTAATTGGAATCGCTATGTGGCCTTCATGCGTGTGATCGTCATCGGTATCGTCGCGGAGTGCAAAGGCGACTTGGTAGAGGTGTCTCTTGGCGACAATCTTCTGGGCTACAATCTCACTGCTCTTCTTGACGAACTCTTTCAAGGCACACCGGGACAGTAAGCCAACCTGTTCTCTTTTTGCTGATATCGTGAACCTCACGGACTGATATTGACGTTATCTTACCTAGGTACAGTGCGGCCATGGCTCGCGAATTTCGCTGCTTCCTTCTCATTACAGCAGACAAAGCAAGCAAACGCCGTGAAGGCTTGTTGTTCAGACGTTACGTTACAGCCCTCGCCAAGTCGCCTCGACAATGGTTCCGCATGCGCGACACAGATGCTTTGATCCGCTTCACCATGGGTGCAGCTCTGGTCTGTAACGATCTCAACGACGTACACTACACCGAAGAACAGTTCGAGGCCTTGGATGAACTCGGTGCCACTCTCTACGACAGTGTAGCCTTCTACAAACACCGGTCCGAGGGCGAGACAGTGAGTGATATCTGATCACACGTGATGCGATGGACACGAACTGACCTGGGACATTCAGAACTCCACGTTCGCATACGCACCTTCCGACATCCGTATCAAGGCATTTCACCAGTCTCGTGAGTTACTCTGGGCTCTCGATGTTGCTTGGGCGGGCAAGCCGGAACATCTTGTTATCATTAACTTCTTGCGCTTTTTCGGTGGCCCTATACACATGAGTAGGTTGATCTATCCCTTCCCCATGATATATCGTCAGTAACAAGGTTCTACAGTGATGCGTCGCTACCGATTCATCGAAGATGGAATGATGATCGGCCGGCCTGAGACTAGCACCATCATCACACAAGCACGCCAACAGTTCAAGCTCTGGAACCGCGTCGACATGGAGTATAGCGATGCCAAGGACGTCGAGCGCTACAATCACTTAATGGCAAGAAGTGATGAGCTCATGTTCGACGGCCTTCGTGAGTTCCTCGACGCGAGCAACGAGAATACCTGTAAGGGTTGTCAGCATCGTGAGACTCATGGTGGGCATACTTCTTTTGCTTTCGGTGGAGTACAGCTATGCGACGGTTGCAAGGAGTCGTGGGGTGCGTACGTCGAGTCTTTCTCGGCTCGGTTCGCAGATGTGTTCCCAGAGATCAAGAACGTGATGTCAACTTGAGTGGGGTGTTGAGTCGATCAGACACAAGAAGCACGAAAATTGGGAGATATGGGAACAGATTCTGTGGTGTTCTGCAGGTACTGCAATGGGAATCTTCTTCTTACTCGCTCTCTTTGGAGTCCGGCTTGTCCCACTCTCTACACGACCAAAAGTTTTCGAGGGCATATCATCAACGTCCATTCCAGTACAAAGCCTATTTGAGGGCGTTTGGTGGTCTTCGAGTATCTGCTTGATGGTACTGAACACTAAAGAGTGTGGGAACCGGTTAGTTAGAATTCTGGCGCGCGTACGGGAACATTACGGGACGAGCTAAACCTCAGAATGGCATTACTATGATTACCCGTTGACTATTCAATCAAAAACACTCCCACGACTCCATTTGCTTGCCCTCCTGATTCTCTTGCCATATGTGTAGAAAACGAAAGGCACTGGGATAAGCAATGCTGCGAATCCACCAGTAATACTACTCGCAGGACCTACTCCAATATTGTGATACAGTGGCGTCACCACCAATGGAAAAGCGCCCGCAAAGGCGCTTCGAAGGAAAGTGTTCGCTGCTACTGCACTCGCAGCATACAACGTGAAGGTGTCGACCAGGTAGTTCAGGGCAGCTTGGAAGATCGTGAAGAAACCAGTTCCCATCGACACCAGCCCAATGACGGGAGCGATCCAATGGTACTGAGGGTCCGCTGTCCAACCCATGATGAATTGACCGGCGGAGAAGAGTACGGAGCCGAGCATCATTGGTGGCAAACGGGCTTCCGGAACGGCACGATTCCCAGCTGCACGATAGACTTTGTTGTAAAGAAGTTGGTTGTAGGCGTTGATGCTGCAGCCGATGATTGCGCCAACCAAGATACCTAGGAAAGGCAGCGTTGCGCTCACAGCTGGCCATCCGCGCATTTCGCCAAAGATTATGGGTATACCTAAAAGCAGGTGTACGAAGTTAGTACATGTCTCACATGCAGTTCGCACAACGGTATTTCTTACCTCCCAGCATCATGTACAGAATTCCGTAGCAGAAGCTAGCGTAGAGTGCGACAAGAAAACAAATAGGTGTCATCAGAAGCTGTATTGGCCGTAGAAGAAACTTTTTAGACAATTCTTTGATGCTGACATCCCACTCCTCGAACTTGGTGTGAAGGGCCCAGTTGCCGGTTTCGTGCCGCAGGCGACGTGCTTTGTAGACGAGGAGCTTCGGTGGGTAGCATTCGTCGATGAAAATGATGTCAATGAACAGAATGGTTGCCTGAAGTATACCGGTGAAGTATTCGGTCCAGCGCCAGCCAAGTGATGGATTGGCGACAAAAGCTGCGGAGACAATTGGCCCGAGACAGGGGCCTCCGACGACCGCCATAGCGTAACCTGCCATAGCTAAGGCTCTCCATGCCGGACTATACAGATCGCCCAACACACCACCGGTGTTCGTGACTGGTGCGCTAGCAAAGAAGGCACCAAAGAACCTTGTGATCATCAGTGTCTGGAAGTCCTTTGCTACGGCACTACCGAAGCTAAAGCAGATTGCAATGAACATAGGCGTCAAAACTGCCAAACGTCTCCCGTAGACTTCGGAAAGTGGAGCCCAGAGAAGCGGACCAAGCCCAAATCCAAACAAGAAGAGCGTAGTGCCTAACACCGCGACCTGGTTTCCTACATCGAACTCTGCTGCTATCTGTCGCGTACCTGCAGAATATGCAGAAGAAGCCCATGTCGCGCTCATAGTCGTGAGGCCGTACATCATGGTCGTTGTGATCTTCTTCTTTGTGGGCCAGTTCATGGGGCGATAAGGATCATCGTCGCCCTCAAAATCTACTAGCACATCCGCAGTGGTCTGTTGATGCGCCAGAGGATGGGAAAAGGGCGCAATATTTGGTCGTGTACGTATTCGCGAAAGTGCTGTATCGCGTCTGGATATTGTCCGGCTCAAAGGCTGATTTATACCACTCGCTGTGGCTGTCGCTGTTCTGTCTCTTGGTAGACTGCGTCTGCTGCGTGATCGCGAAATGCTTTCGTGGAGTTCTCTTCCCGATGGACGGTGGCCATCATGGTCAGCATCCTTCTCTTCCTCATATTCCGACGATGAATCGGATGTTGATTCGCTCCGCTGTCTTGGTCTTGATCGCCTTCCACTCTCAAGATCTACGTCTGTGTGTGATATCGAAGTAGTATTCGTGTCTGTTGATCGTTCGTCTTTAGGCTCCATGATTCCAGTGGTTCATATCTTGTCGCTTGTGTCAACGGTGTATTCTGGATTGCTTAAATACAAGTACTACGCTTGCTAACCTAGATGCAGCTCGATGAATGAGAAAGATTGCCGGAAATGTGGCGAGCATCTGACACCTTTATGATACTAAAGCCGTCGACAACCAAAGGGCGAAGAATTGATAGAACATCACGAACACTAAGCAACGACAGATGCCACAAAATTCAACTATCGTTGGGTATCTCCGGTCGATGTGACGTAAATTTTGCGTACTAATCAGCTGCGCTAACCTCGAACGGTATAGTACATTCATTGCTCGGCCTCCTCGAGGTGTTATTCCCAGACCTCAGTTCGGATAAATCTCCGGCTGACAGATCTTCAACACGTATTGCTCGCACGAAGACGATGTGTCGGCTCGCGAGTCGAAGAAAGATGCGTGCGCACCGTGAACGCTCCATTTTCGGGGACGCGACAGCAATGACGTAACGACTTGCAGCAAAAAGGTGCCACGTCCTGCCGCCGTCTCTTCATTACTCCTGAAGCATGTGAGAAATATCACACCTGGAACTGAGACATTCTGGGTACATTGCTAACATTACTCACATTACTCGACACATGGTTCTTATCTACCTATCCAGGTAGTGCGTTAGGTACTCTTACAAAGCTCCAGGGGTGTTCTTAACGGCCTGAGCAGCAGCCTCGCAGTCCTCGCCCAGCGGAATAACAGCGCCATATCCGACAACCTGCCCGCAGCCAGTGAAGCCATAAACACCCTTGTAGAATCCGGAACCATCTGGACTGGCCTTTTGCAAGGTAGCAGAGAACACATCGGCACCCGCTGAAGGACCAAGAGTTACGTTGCCCGATCGGTAAGTTGGCTGTGCGGTGCTGTTATTGAAGAAGTAGACATTGCGCTGGCATTTGGGTGAAAGGAGGCTTCCCACGCTACCAAGCAGGAAGGGCTGGTTAATCATGCTTTTCCACATGTCGAGAGAATATTTGGGCGCTGCTTGGTTGGGTTCGCTGACGAACTTGAGATCGAACGCCTCGGAGTACAGGCCAGGACCGCTGGCAGGATTGGGTGCCTGTGCCCACTTCGAGTTGATGCCGAAAGATCCATCCCGGTATGATTGGAATGGTGCATTGAGTGGTAGAAATGCGCCGATTCTAGTCTGAATACCGCCTATAGTAGCTAAAGGATTGCGCATTAGCTATAAACCGCAGGCTGAACTTGTTTCGCGCTAGTTACTTACCAACTAGAGATGGAACAAGCCCGGCAACGTAACCTTGGGTTACTTCGTCCACACCGGCAAGGTACGATACAAGGGGCGCATTGAGTGGTGTCTTGGAGCTACCGACGCCGACATAGGGAATCATAGAGCTGGCGACCATCAACCCTGTAGCAAGCTGAAGGCCGCCCTGGCGAATATCGGTGTTGGCTCCGGCGTTGACGATGACGGGGTGCATGCCCTCAGGAAATTTCAGCCCTTCGGGAAGAGATAGCAGATTTAGTCCGTTTAGGTTGACCAAGCTTGGGAACGACTCCTTGAGGGCCTTCATGACAGCATCCTTGCGAACCGGAACAAGGAACCAGTCTGCAGCATATATCAGTACACCGTTTCCTTACTTTCCAGAAAGATCACACTCACTGCTGGTCGCACTCATAGTGCGATCTTGCTGGTTGTATATGGCAACCTCATTTGGGCACGTTGTGCTTTGGCCAGCGACGAGGCTCGCGGCAGCAAGCAGTATTTGGAAAAAGAAGCGTGCCATGGTGTATATGATGATTCAGGTGGATGGTTGAGTAAGGAGCGGTCCTACGGTGGCAGAGGCCCATTATATACGAAGATGCGCTCTTGTCCAGATTCGTCGTCATACCGGGCAGGTAGGCTAACATGGTGCATTGCATCACAATATTGACTCTATAGCTCTGCCAACGCCTTGCTTCCGAGCCTGACCGTAGCATCCAGAGCGAATCGTGCGCTCTGGACAGTGAGATCGACTGCTAGCATTCCCATGCTCATTCGGTGAGATGTACATCACTGCTCCTGTTCTCTGCACTAGCTATCAATTAGCTTTTCGCTCGCCCCGTTTCGGGCTTTTAAAATCCACTTTAAGATTAGGCTAGCTACATGGTAATTTCTCGGCACAAACACATCAACGATCGTCGGTAGCGGCGCTTCCGGTCCGCTCCAATCCCTTCCAAAAGGATTCTTACATCGCGCGGCTACGAAGCTCCCGAATACCGCAACGTATGTGATGCGGACTACATGACTAAATACATCTCGCTGAGCGTCTTGTTATACAGCCGTACACAACGATGCTGTTATATGAGATGACACTTAAGAGATCACTGGGGACTTGATTTCTTCGGATTTGAGATACCCCTATTACGCTGTAACCACAAAACCACGAGGTCACTTTCAATTGTGCGTGAGAACTTACCCAAATGAGGACACTCTAGCGCTTATGGTTCGCTATGGGAGATGACGACGTGAAGCAATTAGAGTTTTTCTATTCAGGAACAGGAAACTTGCGAGGTTATGGAGGGATATGGAGGGCGCTACGCTTTATCTTCCGATAAACTCTTCAAACTGGTATCGTGTGTTTTTGTTTTGCACGGTTTCATGACGAATATGTGTACACCAAATCATCAACCTTATGACCCTCGACGCTGACAGTGCTGATGTTTGCATGCTTCACTGGCTCATATGTACTCAATGCTTGACCACCAGCACCACCCTTACATGACGATGACACGACAAACGTGTTGACAAACACAGCGTTGGCGAAGACTCGGCGGGTGGTGCTTAGCGTAGATAATCAGCGCGCTCATCACCTTGAACGCGATGTCTACGTAGACGAAGAACTCGGTCAGAAAGGGAGAGAATGCCATGATCGCTCGGTTAATGCAGCCCTCCCCACACGTGCCCAGGTGCTTGCGGGACGTACATGTACGCCAAGCCACTAGCACACGCCTCCAACGCGCGCGAACTTCCTCGAGGCGTGACGTTTGCGGTTCCTTAGCCTTGTCGCACCTTCTCACTCTCCCTTACTTGTCATCTTTTTGGTCGCTCGAATAGGCGCATATGTTCAGCAATTCTATGCGACTCTACGCCTGCTATTTTTATTACAATTGAGCACAGGGTCCGGCCATGACAGATTACAGCAAACAAACGGTCGCGCAACTGCGGCAGGTGTTGAAGGACCGGAGTATACCCAGCACCGGCTTGACACGAAAGGCGCAAATCATCGAGAAGCTCCAGGAGGCAGATATCGCTGCCGAGATCCCCAGTGCGCCAGACGAGGGTACCGAAAGCGCAGACGCGCCGCCTGATGCGGTAGAGCAGGTGAATGCCGAAGTTGGCGACGACACTGCCACCAAAGAGCATGTCCCTGGGCTGGCCCTCTCTGAAGCTGGAGGTATGCGCACTATGGGTACATGGTTGCCGCTAGATGCTGACCCGAATCAAGAAGCAGAGCAGCCTACACGCGAAACCGAGCCAGAACCTCTACCCGTACCCGCAGCGACTACCGATTCCCTCCCCGAGACAATTTCGCACATTGACAGCGATGCTCCTCCACCGGACGAGATCAAAGCAATAGAGCGGCCTGCCGAGGACACGACTAATGTGGGGGAGCCCGGCTCAACACAACCCGCGGGAGTCTTCAGTGCACCGCCCGCAGATGCCGACGATGTGGTCGGCCCAACCGTCACTGAGCCTACCGATGCGGAAGTTGAAGACGTAAAGAAGGTCGAAGTCGCAGAGGACGAGCTGCCAGATGCTCCAGGGCCGGCTGCTGAAGCTCTGCGGTTGGTTCAGCCAAAATCTGGACTTCCCGAAGATTTGCAAGACACGAGCATGGACGTGAAGACGGCTTCACCTGTGTCCAATGAGCAACAATCGGTGGAGATGCCGGAATTGCTTGCCGTTCCAGAGTCCTCGACGACAGAAACATCGAGGGTCAACACAGAGGAGGTAGAAACAGACTCGAAGAAGAGAAAGAGGAGGAGTGACACACCCGAGATGGCAGACCAGGAAATCAAGGCGAAGAAGCACAGGCCCAGCCATGACCCAGCGCCTGGCGTTCACTTGCAGGAAGACGAGGATACCGTCATGGAGCAAAGAAGATCGGAGGAAGAGACCGGAGCTCTAGCACATGGCAATCCAAACGAAACAAACGACAATCGCTCTACACCAGCCGAGGAGGATCCACCAGCTGTGGAGACCGACACAAGGCGCGAGAAGAAGGAAAAGGCCTCTCGGTATAAAGATCTCATGAAATCTAATGCAAACGACACACCCCAGGAAGCCTTGACTGACGACAGGCCCACGGTGCCCGCGCTCCACCCTGTGACATCTGCCTTGTACATCCGCAACTTCATGCGCCCTCTGCGTCTGGAGCCACTGCGAGCACACCTAGTCTCTCTTGCCTCGCCGCCATCCACCTCACCGGACCCCACAATTGTGGAAACCCTTTTCCTGGACGCACTCAAGTCGCATGCGCTCGTACTCTTTAGCACTAAAACTGCTGCATCACGAGTACGAGCATCTTTACACGGCTCCATATGGCCACCAGAAGGTAACAGGAAAGAGCTCTGGGTCGACTTCGTCCCGGATGAGCACGTGGAGGATTGGATCAAGGAGGAAGAGGACGCTGCAGCTGCCGAGAAGGAAGCTCGGGCAAACAAACGCTCACACAACCCCAAGCGGTTTGAAGTCGTATATCCAGAGTCCAGTGATGGCTCTGTTATAGCTGTATTCCAGGAAGTTGGTTCAGGCGCTCCTGCAAACGCACCACGAGGCCCACGCGCAAGCGCAGACGTACGAATGCCATCCGCACAACAAGCATCAACAACATCTCTCCCAACACCCTTATCGAAAGATACGCGACAAGACACTGAAGCTTCATTCAAAACACTCCATGATCTGTTCAGCTCCACAGAGGCGAAGCCCCAACTCTTTTATCTCCCAGTTTCGGATGATATTTCCGATCTGAGACTAAAGGAACTGGACGCCGAGACAAGCAGAGACTGGGCACCTGGCCAGACAAGGAAGGGGCGGGGCATCAAGACTGAGATGAAGTACAAGTACAGTTTTGATGAAGATAACAGGGTTGTCGAAGTCGGTGAAGATCGCCCTGACTACAAAGGTGGCAGAGGCGGTAGTGGCTACAGAGGACGAGGGAGGGGTGGATATAGAGGGAGAGGGGCAGATGTTTGGAGAGGATGAGTTACCCGAAGGGATTTAATGTTTGTGTAAGAAGTATCGAAAGTCGAAGAACCGGGTCAGGTGCTCTGCAACAAGTTTTCTTAGCGAGGTCCTCCTTCCCCAAATCAGGCCGCTGCTCGAAGTTGCAGCAGGCAAGAACGACGGCTATTGCTTGCTGTAGCCTCTTCATTTCAATGCTCCTCCTGCATCGACCGTACTACGCATTGTAGGCTGGCTCCCGACGTAGTCGCATACTGATTTTCTCACTCAGTTCGCAGAACTGACGACAATGGCCGGCCAGTGTCCAGGCGAGACGCTTACGCACGAACGCGTTGGTGAAGTGGCTTTGCCCTTTGGTCATAAAGACATCACCTTCCATCTGCTGACTCTAAATGTCTGCTGCACTTTGGCGTCGTTAGCGATTGGAGTTTCCGTCTTCCACATCATGCAACACACACTGCACTATCGACACCCACATGAACAAAAACACATCATACGTATTCTCTTCGTCATTCCGGTCTACGCGTGGACCACATTGCTCTCTTATGTGTTCTACAGAAACGCTGTCTACTGCGAGCTTATACGCGAATGCTACTCCGCTTATGCTGTCGCGAGCTTCTTCACGCTCATGTGCCATTATCTTGCACCCGATTTCCATGAGCAAAAAGACTACTTTCGCCACGTCGAACCGAAGAATTGGAGTTGGCCGTTGAATTGGTTCCAGAAGCTGACCGGCGGCGAGCAGAAAGGGTTGCTGAGGAGGCCGAGGAGCGGCATTACCTGGTTCAACGTAAGCGATGGCCCAGCCTGTATTCTCTGAGAGGCCACTGATCATCCGCAGATCAACTACATCGGAATCTTCCAATACGTCGTTCTTCGTACCATCGTAACAACCATAGCCGTCGTCACGTCATCCTTAGGTCAATTTTGCAAAGGGAGTCATAACGTACGCTACGCATCGCTATGGACAGCCATCATTGACGCACTCTCCGTTCTTGTTGCAATGTATTGCCTACATCAAATCTATGCGCAGCTCAAAGAAGATCTCGCGCCCAACAGGCCCGTCTTCAAGATGGTCTGCGTTAAGCTTATCGTCTTCCTTACTTACTGGCAAACATGGCTCATCTCGCTGCTCATCCAATACGGACCACTGCGACCCACACGCTTCATTACTGCACTGGATCTCCACGTCGGAATTCCTTGTCTGCTTACATGCACTGAGACTTTGGTCTTTGCTGTCCTGCATTACTGGGCGTTCCCATGGAGGCCCTACCAGAGCAATCGGGTTCCGAAGTTTCCTAAACAGATGTATGAATGTGGACCCAATGAAGCTTTGGTGGAGGTATTAAACCCTTGGGATTATTGCTGCGCCGCTGCTCGCGGCTTCCGTTGGCTATTCCATGGCATTCACTTTCGGAACGAGAGTGTAGCCTACAAGCTCGATTGCAAAGCTCATGGTCCCAGAACCCGACGCGGCACGCAGTCAGATCCACTGCACGATGGACCAAAACATAGTGGGAGATGCAAAGAGAAGGATCGCAAAACAGCTTGAATGACTCGTGGACTGTGTACGTGAAGAGATAACTAGCAGGCGTCCAAGAGAGATTGGAAGACCACCTAGGTACACAAAGTATGGCAAATTAGAAAATAGTCAATTTTGTATCTGGACAGCAATACATAACGAAAACATCAAAAAAACACCCTTCTCAATCACAGCCTTTTGGAACATTGTGAAGCTTCGGAACTATAATGGCGTGTCAACTTCGGAAGGGTTGCAGGCGTTAGGTCGCCGACGGGCTGCGTAGCGCTTACATAACACCAATGAAGCTCGGGACGATCTTCACCAGCAACCAGCAACACAGCTACAGCTCTCGTCCCTCAGGCTTCGCGATCCCGCAAATCTCCAATGTGTCCAGGTTCCCCACAGCAAATCCTTCTGGTGCCAGCGGGACGATTAGCGTCTCTGCTAACGTATGCACGCGACTGGGGCTAGCTTTCGCGCGTCTGGTATTTGAGTCGGCCTGCCCGCATCGAGCGCGCTCCGTTCCTCGATGCGATCGCTTCGCACACTCGCTCTCAGCCTGAGCACAGCACACCATGCCGTCAAAATCACGTGGGCTGAGGACCTCGACAGGGTGGTAAGTTCATGCACATCAAGTATGCATTAATTACTGCGGAAGCAAAAGCTTGAATCTCCCCATGCACAGCGTCATAAGCGCAATGCTAACAAGTGGGATAGCCTGACATGCCGTAAACGTAAGGTCAAGTGCGACGAAAGCCATCCAAGTTGCAGGAACTGCGAAAGAGTCCAACGAGATTGTGTGTATGCTGAGAGGACCCCAACACCCCGGCGCCCGCGAGCACTAAGTGCGCGTGACGTCGACGTGACCGCAGCTCTTGGAGACTCAGCGCCATCAAACAATGAGACCGAGCTTGGGTCTGTAGGCATCCCAACGCTAGGTTCAGAGCCTGTGGAGCCGTTACAGTCGTGGCCCTCTTTCCCCGCAGAACCGCCGGAGCTCACTGAAAGTATACTACCAAACGATGATTTCTTCCTTGACGACAGCCTTTTCACCTTCGGGGAAAGCTTGGCGCCTAACTTTGGACCTGTCGAATGGTAACTTCGACCCGCTTGTTAAGATTGACATTGGCTAAAAATCGGATAGGTATGATCTATTGGCGGAAGACGCGATCAACAGTATGCAAGGGCAAACGAATAGCAATCGCTGGAATTTCGATATTGCAAGTCTATCAAGAAGACAGTCTCCTCGGCAATCCGTCGCTCTAGCAGGCGATGATGACCCTTTTGGTAGCGTCAACGTTCACACAGTCGCAATAGCCGAGCAACCATGGAACACGGAAGCAAGGATTGAGTTGAAGCGGCTGGAGCTGACGTACTTTGAACATTATGTCAGTGAAGTAGCACCGATCTTAGATCTCTTCGACCCTGCGAAACACTTTGCGAACGTTGTTCCCCATCTCGCCTTGCATAACGTAGGTTTGCTCAAGTCCTTGTTGGCAGTCGGTGCTTGTCATATGGCCTTATCCCAGGATCAGGACGTCGGCAATGAGGCTACTTCTCAGGTTCAACCGGATACGCCCGCTTCGTCCTCTAGTGCATCGTCCACTCCACGAAGGGCTGCCGAACAACTGTACTATGAGACACTGCAGTATCTATCGCAGAATATATGGCATCAGTCCTACACTAATTCACGCGAAATATTGGTCACTGCTACGATGATCTCGACATATGGTAAGCAATGGCTCCATGCGAATAACATGTGCGAAAGGTACTAATTATATGTACCAACTCTAGAAATGTTTGGTACGGCTGGTAATCCCGATCACAGTAATTGGGATCGTCACCTGAGGGGAGCTTTCTGGATACAAAAGAACGCAGGCGCAAGCGGCGAGTCTCCCGATAGTCTGCAGCGTGCAGTTTGGTGGGCTTGGCTACGGCAAGACATCTGGGCAGCGTTTCGTACTGGACGACCAGCACTGACAATACATCAGCCGAAGGTACCGATGGTGGAACTCACGTCGGAAGGACTGGCGACACGAATCATATATATCGCCGCAAAATGTGTCCAGTTCGCCGCAGCGCCGAAGCAAGGAGACATAGCTGGCTACATCGAAGCAGGAGAAACACTATTACGAATGCTAGATGCATGGAAAAGTCTCCTTCCATCAAGCTTCGAGCCCATACCTGTGGAGACTGGACCCACCGCGTCTTCTCCAAGTTCGACCCTTGAAGCGAAGCCGACGCCAGTATGGATACACCCTCCCGCACATGCCGCGGCCATCCAAACCTACCACTTTGCGCGAATAATTATGATTCTCAATCAGCCAACGACAGGAGGTCTCAACACGTATCAAACTCGCTTCAAGCTCCTTCGCGAAAGCACATCGACAATATGTGGTATTGCTTTGGCACAGCAATCGCAAAACTCCCCATCGGCTTTTGTCAGCTTCCAGGCTATCTATGCAGGTCTTTATACCAGCTCTTCATCTGTGACCAGTATACTGACTTGACATCAGCGGCACTCTGTATGGAGACACCAGATCGACAAGCGGAAATACTGGAGATTCTCAGATCCGTCTTGAGCATTAGCAAGTTTCCGTCGGTCTCGATATTAGATGAATTGGTCAACGTCTGGGGTGGAAAGCCAAATTGATGATACCAATGTCTCCACACTGCTACAGGATTATCCATGCAATTGTTCTAGGGCTTCTCACTAGACGACGTATCCCAGGCTGTACTAGAGAAGCACAGCTACAACTAGAGCAGCACATATGCGGAATCTTATTGCTCCTCAGACGTCATTCTGATTTCCAGAACATGATGCGCAAGTCCGTGGCCTTGCCGACGAAGCTATATGGAGGATTGGCGGACCTGATGGTCTCGCATCGAGCGCCAATCGGGTTTGGCTCAGGCCAGCATCGACTACGCTAGCGCATCGTACTGCCTGTTCGGGCCGTTTTGGTGGTGACCATCACCACCATACGAAGAAAAGCTCGAACTGAGTACTAGACCGCATTACATCAATCCAGCGGGAGTACTTGATTCGGCAGTATCGCGGTTTCCTCAAACCAAGGGCCACAAACCCTTTTATTATCATCGAAGTTCACGCGGCAAATATATGAAAACGCTACAACAGCGTACCCGTGTCCATACTGCTTTGGCAAGAGCTTACCAAGCATGATAGTATTCGATTGTTCGAAACGCTAGCCTTCTCTTGTTGCCCCAAAGATTGAGAAACTACTCAAGCAATCTCAGTATGATGGCATTGGGTTCATGGGGCTTGACTTCGGACCTTAACACTGCACTGGGGTTGGCGTTAAGTTTTCAATGACGGGTAAGGGCCTCACTACCAAGCTTCGATGATTATGTTTCTGTAATTGGGCTTCTTTCGCATATTAGCAACAATACCTATCATCAATAGAGCATTCTTAATCGATTTCCGTCGAAGCTCTCGCTTCGCAATCTGTGACATTTCGCCAAGCACTGATATATAAGAAAGATCAGATTTCTGGACGAATCCTGGATGACGATAACTCTCCGAAACACTGTCACATCTTTCCGGAGCGACAAGCCATGATGACACGCACTCAACACATTCGTATTTCCTCACGTACAACAATCACTATAGGCTAAAGGCCGACGTATCAGTCTACGGATATGGAAACAGTCACCTTATTGACGTCCCTTCATTCGATATGTTTCATGTTGCTGACGGACACGGCCGGTGCTGCACAGCGTCAGCACCTTAACAAGCGGCTGCATACCCTCCTTTTCCAGGTTTCCCCACACGGCTCCGTTTAACCTTATATTGACGGAACAACCTCATTTGAACGCGATCAACTCTGCATATGCGCGATCAAAGGACGTCGGCCTTACACCCCCCGGATATTCGCTCAGCGCAGCATGCAGCCGCAAACGGTGAGCAGTCGATTACACTTCGGGCGAATGCCGCCTGACTTCATCCCCCCTCACTTGTACTCTTTCAGTCTTCATAAACGTCGAGAAACATCACCAGACTTCGCCTCGATATTGCGATCGCTATACTGGCATGGCATACCGCTCACTCTGCTTCTATAGCAATATAGAATCATTCCCATGACGATGTGGGGTTACGTGCTCATTGGACCTGCGGGTGATTACCGAAGTTGTTGTCTATATGCCGTGATAATAGCTTTATCCAGAGTAAACGCCCTTATACAGACGCAAAAGACTACACTGACACATATATAGTCTACCTGAAGGACCCACGAGAACAAGCACCTCCTCAGGAAACAACAAAATCAATCTCATCCAGTCATCTACCTGAGCTCTGCTTATCGCATCCACGATGAGGTATACAACCACTGCCGCAACTTTTCTTGGCCTCGCGACCACTTTTGCGCACCCTTCGCCTTCCGCCGACCCCCTTCGTATCCTACCACCCAACTGGTCGTTCACCATATCCTCCATACGCGGCCCAGGCTGCCCAGACTCCGGCAAAAACGGCACCGTCTCGCGCACGACGCGCCCGACCTTTGGCTCCAACACTGTCGATGGCAGCGAGATCTACTACTGGTACATCGCATACCCATGGATGCGTGTCGACCTTGAGGCCGGCCCCCGCCATACATGGTGTGAGACGACGCTGGCATACAAGGAGTACAAGGATATCGAGAGGACTGCTGAGGCAGAGGACTATAAGCTGAGGCTGCACAAGAACGGGACAAAAGGCATCATGACGTACGAGCTTGATGAGGGAGTGCAAGTCTACTGGGACTTTGCTTACTACGTGGGCGAGGGAAGTGGAAGAACGGAGGCACGTTGTCCATGATACTGAACCCTGCAATAATCAGCCCATGTACTGACTCTTCCAATAGGTCGCCGATACTATTGATCTAACTGGCCCTGCTTCATCTGGTCCGTACGCTCAAGAGCATTACTCCAATATCAGTTACCCACCCGAGCTCGTTCCTCAGCCTAATTGCGGAAGTGGTACGTTCACCTTCCGCACGGAGATGTGGGTACAAGGTAAGGAAGGTCAGAAGGGTGTTCTAGATAGTGAGCATTCCTACAGCGAGGCACTTGGTGACCAGTACTATGGCGCACAGCAGGGATTCAGTTATGATTGGGAGAAGTGTACATAAAGGTTGCAGGACGAGAGCTACGCTTGGAAATGAGAGGGGCAAGATTTACAATGGCCGCAGGGGAAAAGCTTTTCGCGTTATGCAAGATCGATGTGTCCAGAAAATTTCAATCTTGTTTTCAGCATTCTCCCCATTTCATTACATGCTGATGTGGAGTTGACTCTCGCCGTGAGTTTTCATCGTTGACCAGCGTTCTCGGCATAGCTCTACTCCCAAGTTCCAAGTTTTAACACTCAACAACGACTTCTCTACCCCATTGCACGATCAACTTACCATCTTTATCCTAGACGCCGTTATCGCCTGGGTCGTCGCGAATCCGCTCGAAGCTCTCTGGCACATCCTCAATGCCGTGCTGCTGTTCTTTCTTGATATTGTCATAAACCTTCTCACTTTCCTGGGCTGGGACGCAGTTGGTCCTAGTGATGGGTGCTATAACTCGTGCCCTAACAAGACAAAAATTTAAATAGAAGAGCTGATCATTCTAAATTCGCTTGCTCGTTTCCTCATGAGCTGGCCCGAGTTCGTTCCCCCGCGCGAGTGGTACGCAAGTTTGCAGTGTGGTCGCACGGGAAGTTACGGTGCTGCCATTGTTGCAAACTAGCTGAGGATTTGTACGATGTTGACTTCATGCCTGTCGTACCCGTTTGGATGCGGGTAAGAGTGCGTAGATAGGGCATTTTCTCGATAGTATGAAGGGAGAACAGGCTGATGGCGGCTAGCAAAGAGGCGAGTTGATGACTTGGCGCGCAATGGGCTAAGGATGCGCTGAGGCAAGGTTATCGGAATCTATGATCGTCTCAACCGTATAGCATCCATCATGATTACTTTGCACGGTGCTACCAGGAATATCATGAGTTACACGCGTTGAGCATACAACGCTAGAATACATTGGTCGTACATATCAATCATCGTTCTGCCAACATGTTCTTAATCTGCCGCCAGTAGCTGCCGTCTACCTCCTTCTGCAATTCGTCCTTGGCTAGCCACTTGAAGTCTTGAAGACCAAGCTTGTTCTCCTTAAGGTTGACTTGACCGGCCATGATTCGCGCCTTCAGGAAGAAGGTCTTCGAGCCGTACTCCTTGAGATCGCCCGTGGGCTTGGGTTCGCGGTAGTCCACTTGGTGATGGCCAACTGGCACGTGGCCGACAAGCCATGTGTTCATGTTGATGCCACCAGTGTGCGTAATGATGCGATTTGCTGCCTAGTAGTTGTTAGCATCTCAGTAGATGTCCATAGGATGTGGTATTGCGTACACCGTGTAGGTTCTCCTCCTTCAAGCGATCCTGTGGGAACTGCCATTGCCCCTCCTTATTCTTGACAAGCAGATATAGCGTTCTCTGAAGCGCGCGATTCAAGCTCTTTGTGTCATTCTTCTGATCCGCTTCTGTTATCCTCGGCATTGGCTTCTCTACGGGCTCGCGCTCCATCTTCTTTGCGCCAGTGGTGTCCGGTGCGTCCTCCAGGCCAGATTGCTCGGCGTCCTCGATAAGCTTGCCAACCTGATGTTCAAAGTCGCTTTCTTGCGCTCCTACGAGGACCTCGTCATTCCATGCTTCGTCTCCGTAGCCTTGGTATCGTCCGATGTCGCGGGCGGGGGTCAGCCGTTGCTTCATTTTCCGTTTCCACTCCAGATCTGCAGGTGTTCGCTTCTTTACGTAGAAGTATCTTGTAAAGGGTAGCGCAAGTCGTTCGTTCAATCGTCTTTGGTATAGGAAAAAGGCAGCTTCGAAAGGGTGGAGGTCGCGTGTTATTTGCGGGGGGCGGGACAGGACGACACCGGCGTTGACGGCGTAGGATGTTGACGGAGATACTTGGGCAACTGGAGGAATGTGCTGGGCGACTTGGTCCTCGGTTTGGACGGCGGCGGCGGCAGCGGATGCATATGTGCGGGTGACGGTGTCTCTACATGAGCGACATATTGATTGACCTTCGTTCGTCAGCGCTCCGGATGCCTCTAGCCCCAATTGCATTTCATACCAGCTCTTGAGGCCAATCGCCTCGTTGTCTGCTGTCCGGCGTTCATTTCTCCCAGTGCCCTCCGCGGTATCACGATGCAGCCGCTGCCATCTCGAGATCTCAGAAAAGTTCGGGGAGCGGAGGTGCATTGGGTCTAGCGGCATTACCTAAGCAGATACTCCGACTTAACTTTTCTTCCGCGCGAATACCAACTCTTCTTCTCTACGGCACCTATCCTTATCCCCAGCATACTCGCACTGTCATGAGATCCTGGTCATTTAACGGTGCCTAGAGGGAGTCGAGCAGTCTTTTTCGCTAGCGGTACCTTCACAAAACCTAAGGTGTACGGCTAGATAGATTTTGCTCACATTCTTACGCGCTTAAGAACATTATACGCCTGCATGGTTATCTATGCGACGATGTTATGATTGAAGATGGCACATCTGTCAGCTTATTCGCTGGCGTATGACTTACCCACGTCTATGTACGCTTTCAAGCACAGCTGGTCTTAGGTCTACCGTGACCATCGCTGGAATTACCTTGGCGGCTGACAACTTCGCGCACCTTTGCTTCAGCTTTGATCTCCGAGAAGGCGCACGATTGTAACCTTAAGTGACGTAGCGTAGTTGTACACATCGTCTCAATATACCACATTTGATACATTACTCCAAAGACAGTTGATGGTGAATCGTCGGTCTTTACTTCCCCCGATCTCCAAGTCTTGGCATCGAAATTTGGGACTGGACGCGTTCTCGCCGCGCAGAGCTTAGATGCAGGCACACCACCACAACCCTGATACCCCTCACACGCCGCCAACATGTCTCTCACGATACCCAACGCTCCTAACGCCGGCTTGTTCAAGCAGGGCTACCAGAAGTAAAGCTCTTTGCAACCCCGCAATCACTGTAAACAATCAACTAACCACCCCGCAACAGCTACGACGCAGAAGATGGCGCTGTTATTCGCAACATCGACGCCTGCCGGACCATTGCCCAGACCGTTCAGACCTCTCTCGGGCCCTATGGGCGCAACAAGATTGTCATAAACCACCTTCAGAAAATGATCCTTACCTCAGACGCGGCGACGATACTGCGAGAACTCGAGGTTGTACACCCTGCAGCGAAGCTTCTCGTCATGGCCAGCCAGCAACAAGAGGCAGAGATGGGCGATGCGACAAATCTGGTCATCGTTTTGGCCGGTGAGCTGTTGAAGAAGGCGGAGGAGTTAATACGGATGGGCCTGAAGACAAGTGACATTGTCTTGGGTTACGAGAAGGCACAGCTTGCGGCTCTGCAGACACTGGAGGGTATGTTACGCACGTGAAGTGGCAGCTGAATGGGGGCTAACCTATCACAGAGCTGGTATGCGACAAAGTCGAAGACATCCGCTCGCAGCAAGAACTCAGCAAAGCCATCCGCACCGTGGTCGCAGCCAAGCAGTCGGGCAGCGAAGACTTCCTCGCTGACCTCGTCGCCGAAGCCGTTCTCGCCGTCCTCCCAAAGAACCCCGTCAACTTCAATGTCGACAACGTCCGCGTAGTAAAGATCATGGGTGGTGCCCTGGAGCAGAGCAAGGTCGTCAAGGGCATGGTTTTCGCAAGACAGCCAGACGGTACCGTCACAAAGGCGACAAAGGCCAAGGTCGGAGTCTTCTCATGTCCCATCGACATTTCACAGACCGAGACCAAGGGCACGGTACTGTTGCACAACGCAAAGGAAATGATGGACTTTACAAAGGGCGAGGAGCAGCAGGTGGAGCAGATCATCAAGGAGCTCCACGACTCTGGTATGAGGGTCGTTGTTGCTGGCTCGACCATCGGAGAGCTGGCCCTCCACTACCTTAACCGCTACAACATCCTCGTCATCAAGGTTCTTTCCAAATTCGAGCTTCGACGGTTATGCAGGGTAGTCGGTGCTACGCCGCTCGCCCGTCTCGGTGCACCTATGCCAGATGAAATGGGTACTATCGACGTCGTTGAGACACTGGAAATTGGCGGTGACCGCGTCACAGTATTCAGGCAAGAGAATGAGCAGACACGGACCGCGACTCTGGTTCTACGCGGCGCTACTCAGAACCACCTCGACGACGTGGAGCGGGCGATTGACGACGGTGTCAATGTGGTCAAGGCCATCACCCGTGATCCTCGACTGGTCCCAGGTGCTGGAGCAACAGAGATGCAGCTCGTTGAGAAGATCAAGGCTATTGCAGACAAGACATCCGGTCTGGCGCAATACTCTATCCGCAAGTACGCTGAAGCTTTCGAGGTCATCCCACGAACTCTCGCCGAGTCAGCCGGCCTGGACGCAACTGAAGTTCTCGCCAAGCTGTACGTCGCACACGCTGCACAGAAAGGCAGGAAAGACGACGAGTGGACTGTCGGTGTCGATATTGAGAACGACGACAACACTGGTACACTCGATGCCAAGGAAGAAGGCATTCTCGATCTGTGGGTCAGCAAGATGTGGGCCATTAAGCTCGCTACCGAGGCTGCGAGGACGGTTCTCAGTGTCGACCAGATCATTGTCGCAAGGCAAGCTGGTGGACCCAAGATGCCTGGAAAGGCGCAGCCGGGCAACTGGGACCAAGATGATTAAACTCCACTGACGGTATGAGGAGTAGTGTATAATGACATCGACTAGACGCTATTGAAGCACCAGGCGAATGATATCTTCGTTCTACCTCCCCGGATTTCGGTTGTTCACGTGTCACGTATATCATGGTATGGAAGTGCCGAATGCTTCTGAGCGAATGCAACCAATTTTGGAGCTGATGTGATCATTTCTCCAGCTTCTCGGGCACTTGTGTGGTTGTTCTTAACATGATGTATCTTCGACTCAGCCTACCAAAACCCAGAGCTCGTACGAGGATGTTGGTCCTTTGGCTTTCATTGATCTCTCGACGACCTCGACGATACATCGATGTCACATCAATGTTACATATCATTTGATATTATTCTTCTTGAAAATTATCATCTGCTCATCAAGAGGTGGTAGTATCTTGCTTGTTGACCGGGAGCGAGACACTATCATCTCTGACAAACAAAGTCAGTACTCTCAAACGCTCTCAAGCGTATAGAGAAACCAACTGACCGATCTAGATTGCCGGGTATGCAATCTCTAATCTCTCCTCTGCACTTAAAGCTAAACTTCCATAGAAGCTTCCTCTTACGCATCCACAGAAATCACCATGCGATATTCCATTCCGCAGCGAAACGCAGATCTTGGTCCTAAGGGTTCAATCAGACTTCCGGCGACTAGAAAGAATGCAATGAATGCGGTCACCCCCATTCACAATGGCAGTGGGGTTCAAAAGGGTGGGGAAATGTCAACTCAAGCCAAGACGTACCATCTCAAGTTCCCGGTGGATCGTGCTATCGATCAATTTATTGCCTCCATGGAACCGGACGGTGGCGCTATCAGCCCGGGCGAGGTAGGTACGGATGTCGAGATTCGTGTGGGTTGTCCCTTTCACAAGCATGATCCGAAGACGCACCAGTCGACATCGTGCAAAGGGAAGGGGTTGATTGAGCTTGCCAAATTGAAGTATGTCTGCGTTCAGCATCAGAATTCTTCACCGCTTTGGATTCTAACACACAGCAGAGATCATTTGAAATAAGTACACAGTTTGTCGCTGGAAAGGCTCAATGCCGATTTCAACTTCGGGAAGAGAGAGTACACTAGTCTACAGATGCTAGAGAAGAAGTGGGAGTTGATTTACCGGCGCCTATTTGCCCTAGGGCCCAAAGATCCCATACCTTTGCCTTGGGCCAACGAAGAGGCCTTTCGTGGCCAGTTTGAAGGATTCTCCTCCGGGCTTGTGAGCGTTGCAGGTCGCCGAGCAATGGAAGAAAAAGCCTTTCAAGACGGGGTCATCAATTTTGCGCGCATGTACGTACAGGAACGTCACTCTACAAGATCGAAATCAGTCGATTCGGCAGTGGATTCCATGACGAACCCTTGGAAGAGCGCGACCCTGGACATCCCCCTATCGGCGCCCGTGTCTCACGAGAATTGCTTCCGAACGACCACGGACGACGAGGGCTACTGCGGCCAAAGCCCCAGGCTTGCCAACAAAACCAGCACGAATTCCGATGCGTACGCACCAGCGTCTGCAGACCTCTGGTCATTCGAACAAGTCTTCAGCGCGGACCCATCTTCAACCAACAACCAGGAATGGAACATCAGATCACAGCCTTTGTCAGCTGTTTCTACAGATCAAGTCACGTCGCTGAAGAGCGTTCCGCGCTCTGGTCTACCACCCGAACCGATCCTTCAGCCACACACTGGTGGCGCTTATCACGAACACGCTCCGTCGAATGTGAATTTCAGTTCGTCTCCGACGTACGCCCATTCTCTCCGCGACCGTGATACCACCTCTTACCCCCTTGTTGAAGCAAAAATTCTGCTCAATGGACTTCGTGCCTTTCAGATCCCATGTTCAACTCGGAATTAAATTTGGATGAAACTTCTGAATCGCTATCCGCAGTCTATCCCAGCTTCGAAGAGCTCAGTCACACAAACGTATCTCTACCGCTTCCAAGTACACGCCTTGGTAACGCGAACGATCATCTTGGTACGGAGGACTTGGAACACAAATACGAGCCCAGTACCGACGAAGATATCTTTGTCAATCCAAAGGTACTGCATTCTACATGATTCTGGAACTTATAGAATCATTTTCACCGTCAACATGTTTATCGGCGTTTGTGCGTGGACAGGCGCATGGAGGTTTCATGTCGTATCTATCTTGTTACAAGACTCGAAAGGGGGGGGTCGTGAATGATGAAATTGACGGGCAAATTGCTTCCGGTGCCTGTAAACAGTGACATGCGTGATGTTTGTTGAACAATGGGCCCTGATGACTGGTTGTTCGAAAGCACCTTTCCACTCAGAAAAGAGGAAGACGAACTGCCTAAGACGTGAGACACCAGCGGTACCGTCTTCACGTCGGTAGTATTGGGGCATTTTTTTTCCATGCCTTTACAGTGGCCATCTAGGGAGGAAATTGACGCGCCACCACCGCGCCTGCTTATGTCGCTAGCGCGCACCGATTCCCAGCCTTCGTACCAACTCATGATCATGGGCTGATCTTCATCTCCACGCTCTTCTGCGGATCAACGACGGAATTAAACGTACTCCCACGACCTACTCATCGTCCAGACTCTCCACTCGTTCTCGCGTTGTTATTGTGACGCTTCATTGCGTGTTTGCACGTCACGTTTGCTATGGCACGTCATTCATAGCAGCAGACATACCCCACCAGGCAACCGTAGAAATCAACACCGACTTCAGCCGTTTGGATCAGGTTTTTCCCGATCATGTCTAGACCCCTTTCTCGTGCATAACATCATCAAGTCGAACTTGCAAGAGACTGCGACCCAATCACCACTCTTATTTTCAGTAAAGGACTTCTTTAGCTCAGGCATGACAGAATCAAATATTCACAGGCACATTGAGGGAGGGAACGCAGAATTCCTTGTGGGGTGTGTTTTATCGGGTTTCAGTCTGAACCCTAGCATTCGAATTACCGACAAACTTTCGATCAAGGCGGATGCCAACACGATACTAATATCATGGCGTCCGAGCAGGGAATTTGGGCCGTCAGTCATGAAGGGTATTCTTCAATCGGTTGCTGGTTCGCTCAGGTTCTGTCACAGAGCGGACACCAACAACACACTCCACTCTACCGTGCGTGGACGCTTGTACACGAACACTATCGCCGGCTTTTACCAACCGGAACATGCGCTTGCAGCCGTGAAGCATCTCCGCGGCAACCCAGAAGTGGACACGCATGTGATGTATACTGTGTACTTCACTGCACCAAAAGAGCTCTCTGACGCTGTCTTGGTTGATGTGGAAGATATCATGTCGCAAGTTCCAGAAGCGAGCGCAGTCTGGGAGAAGCCTCGACAGGGTATGGTCACATTGCGCATATCGGGAACGGATCAAGAAAAGGTCGTCGACATGAAGAGAGTACTGGAGGCCATATTTTCAGGAAGAGTAGCGACCGCGGGACTAGGTGGCCATGCTGCGCGATACGAGATCTGGCACGACTTCTTCGCAACTGCATCTGGAGCTAAGTGGCTTCAGTATCTAGCGCGAGAAAAAGGTGTGATAATCATGAGTGATAGATTCCAACAGCGTCTGTGCATTTATGATCCTGAACAGGACGATGCACGGATGAAGCTGGTTGAGCGCGACCTTGCAGAGAAAGCCATCATGCTGAGCACATGGGAAGAGACGACCACCATCCAATTCACCTCGAAAGACTTCAGAGAGCTGCTTAAGTCGGACAAGATTGCCCGTGCACAGAACAAGTTGGGTGAGTCGAAAGTCAGCCTTGACGTACTAAAGAAAACACTCGTCCTTCATTGCCCTCGGCAAACCGCCTGGCTGCTTACATTTGAGCTAAATTTACCACTACCACCCTCAACGAGCATGTCAAACAACCACACATGTCCTCAATGTGGCGATGCGACGAACGACGTTAAGCTCTCCAAATGCGGCCACTATACGTGCAAGGAGTGCTTCGATCATCAACTGCAGGTAGCTTCATCCGACCTAACAAACGATCACTTTCCGCTGGTATGCTGGCACGAATTCTGCGAACAACCAATAGCCATCGCAGACCTGCGTAAATACGCTACCGGCACAATGATTGATGCGTTACTCAAGGCATCCCTAACTTACTATATCCGATCCTTTCCAGATATCTATCGCAACTGTCGAGCGCCTGACTGTAAAGCAGTGTACCGGCGCAACGGATCCTTTGAGATCTTCACATGCCCTACATGTCTGACTCAAACATGCACTCTATGCCATGTAGAGCCTCATGTCGGCTGGACTTGCGCAAAGTATGAATCGCATCTCCTCAGAAATGAGCATAACGAGCAGCTTCTAGACGAGTACAAAATGGTGGCTGGTACGAAAGAATGTCCAAAATGCGCCACACTTATCGAAAAAGTCGACGGATGCAACCATGTCGAGTGCAGCGGTTGTCACGGACACATGTGCTGGGTGTGTCTCAAGGTCTTCCCACAAAGTGAGGCCGCGTACCAGCACATGAACGATGCGCATGGAGGAAATGGTCTGGTGGAAGGAGAGAACGGCGAAGACAGCGATTCTGACAGTGACGAAGAGGAAAGCAGTGACGACGATGACGATGAATGGGAGGATGCAAACGATTTTGCAGACTTGATTTGAGCGCACCTGGGCATATTCTGATCTAGGAACCTCTTGTGTGCTTTGCAAACAAGATTTGGAGGTATTCAGGGTTCATTTGGGAGTAGGTGTGATGTCGCATTCTGCAATTAATTTGATCAAGTTCCAGGAACGCGAAACAAACAAAGCTTTGCGGGAGGAAAAGACAACAGTGATTGATAAACCCCTGCATCAGCATGCGGAAATGCAGCGTGCTTGAGCATCGCAGCCAATGAGAGCTGCCGATACCTTGGCGATGCCCCGGTGTGCTTACGAACTGTCGGTCCCACGGATCTGTGGGCATCCGACTGGCGGTCTGCCCTTCCCTCATTACAAACCTCGCTTGCGTGCTGTCACGACGCGGTAACGACCGATACAGCGAGGGAGAGTCCTTAGGACTTTACGTTTATGTGACCGGGATTCAATGCTTGATGACAAGTTCCCGAAAAATTGGTCCGTCGTTCAGACGACGACAGGCACACATGGTTGAAGACGTGAGTATATATAGACCAAGGCATCGTCGGCTTTCAGACTATCCAACACATCGCATCTAAATATCTCATCTCCAGACACATCAGATATATTACAGATCATCTCTTGTTCGTACTTGCACATTACTTTCTGACTTTCTACACGACCGATTCCGCGATGTCCGAACAACGCAACATTGTCATTATTGGCGCATCGGCCGCGGGCCTACAGGCAACCCATTACATCCTGAAGCACATTCTACCCGCTCTCAAGGCAAGGAACGACGCCAAGTATCATGTCTACAACATCTCGCCATCTGCACAGTGGTACTTCAGGATCGCCTCCCCACGAGTGGCAGCTTCCACTGGGCGCATGTCGACCGACAAAGTCATGTTTGAACTGCATGAGGGCTTCAAACAATACGCCAGAGACGATTTTACATTCATTGAAGCCTCTGCTACGGGCCTAGAGCCATCATCGCGACGTGTCTTGTTTCGCAGCAACAAGGGACAAGAAGACGAGTCGTTGACGTACCACGCCCTTGTTGTGGCAACCGGAAGCAAGACTTATTTCCAAGCTTTCTCCATGAGCGCCGATGCTCAAAGCACTCTGAACGCGATCAGCTCAACAAATGAACAGATCGCATCGGCAAAGAAGATTGTTATCGTTGGTGGAGGTCCAACGGGCGTAGAATTCGCGGGTGAAGTTGCTGAGCATCGCAACGGCAAGCCAGGATGGTTCAGCAAGGTGCAGCAGAAAGTCGACGTTACCCTGATCACATCGGACAAGCAACTTCTTCCCGGTCTCCGCCCTGCAATCGCCAGAATTGCAGAGCAGAAACTCAGAGCGCTCGGGGTGGAGGTTGTCTACAACACGCGAGTAGTCGATTCAACGCAGACAAAAGATGGCCGCACGACGCTGACCCTCAAGGACGGTGGCAAGCTTGAAGCAGACCTCTACGTTCCCGCTTACGGTGTTGAACCAAACTCGTCGTGGCTGCCAGATGAATTGCTCAATGACAAGGGCTACCTCGTGACGAACGATTCCACCCTTCGCGTCGACATTGCAGGGCCCCGCGTCTACGGCTTCGGTGACATTGCATCATATTCGCGCAACAACGCTTGGGATATTATCCAGGCTCTACCTGCCCTGGCCACCAACATCAAGCGCGACCTGCTCTCTTACAACCCCATGCTTCCAGAGGCCAAGCCCAAGGGCAAGGACAGAGTGTACACGGCTGACACGAGGGAGTCTATGGTTGTTCCCATCGGCAGCGGCGGCGGTGTTGGGGCTGTTATGGGGTGGAAGGTACCTTCGTTCTTCGTATGGCTGCTGAAGGGGAGGGATTACATGTTGGGGATGAGTGGGCTGCCGACGCTGAATGGGGGGAAAGTTGAGAAGGAGGTCAAGTGGACGAAGGAGGAGGCTGCGATCTGAATTTGACTGTTTGTATAGTGGATGTTCCCATGTTTCATAGTTTGCGCTATATCCGTGTCCTTTGCAGTTGTAGAATCGAGGTAATGTTAATAATACATGTTATCACATGTGCATTCCCGAGACGCTTTGTGTGTTGTGGACGATGGTGACTGCTCTCCAGGGCTGCGGAGAAGGATGCAACGCGATTGGTTTCGAGCTCGCTCCACCACGGCGCGCTCCGCGTCGACATCACTCCTTTCCACCCTTGACCCCACGTAGACGGCGCAAATGCGGGGTGAGTAGGACATCAAATGGATTTCGTACGTCTTCGCACTGCAGCAGCTATGGTTCGCGCACTGACTCCAGCGAGTGGGTGAGGCTCCTCGGCGGCTCGTCCCAGAAGAAGAAGCAGGCCGCCCCGAACAACCCCCAACAGCGGCTGGCACGCTTCCGGCAGCGCTACAATCAGATACTGGTAGGCCTGGCTGAGTACCCCGAGATGCCGCGAGTCTGACACGTGGCAGCAAACATGGCAGAAGTCGACCAACCTCGCCCACGACCGCGAAGCCCTGGGCAACATCCGGCGCGGCTTCCAGGCCCTCACAGCTATCCTCAGCGATGAGTCGCGATCTCCAGCGCCGCACATGTGCCTCCAGTTCGCCGCCGCCCAGCAGATATACACGGCTGTCTCCAAGATCGCTGCGACGGCACACGATGAGGGTACCGTTAGGGACGCCGTGGCCTTCTACAATGCCCTCATCGACAGCGAGGAAGAGGACTTCCTCGAGAACGACGTGTTCGCCGCGTCGCTCATGAACTTCATCGACCGCACAGTCGGGTCTGGAAGCATGGGCATCGGAGAGGACATCGAGGCCGACATTGTGGAGCTGCTCTTCGGTATCGCGGCCAAGATCAGGCTACAACCAGAGATTCTGCATGTCTGGTTCACCACCACATCCGCAAGCAGCGAGGGGCGAGTGCTGAATCCCAAAACCGACTTCGCCGGCGTCACACAGAAAGAGGACTTCCCGTTGTGCTATCAGCTCATCGACCATGTCCACCACGAAGGCCGTATCGGGGATTTTGCGCGCACCGGATTGCTGTACATATTCGAGTCTGCGTCCAGGTCAATGGATCTCGAGCAGTGGATCGTCAACAGCGATCTGCCTACGCTCATGGCGACCGGTCTAGGGGCACTGTACAGCCAGATGAGCAGGTATGAAGCGCACCGAACCCGAGACAACGAAGCTAACATTGTCCAGAAAGCTATCGATACTCCACCCCGCGCATCATTTGCCTCCTGTCTTACTACTCTCCGACTATACCGAGATGCAGCCCAATCCACAAGCAGAGAACTTCTTCACACCCGACTTCCAGAGTCATCTCCTCACCTTCTTGTCTTACCTTGCCTTCTGGCAAGATGTGCTCGAGCATTGCAGATCTCTGGATGTCAGAGTTACATTGATTGACCACTTCCAAGCTTTGTTCCTCCAGCAGCTATTGTGCGTTTTTTCTCACACGCCTTCAATGTTTACATAGCTGACTTCATGCAGATATCCTTCACTACTTGAGTCGTCCGACGCCGATGGTGGTTCATCCGTCGCAGTACTTACGTACCTTCGCCATATCCTAGATGCGCTTGACCACCCCGAACTCGTGCACATGATGCTTCAGTATCTACTCGCACTCCTGGACTACGCGTCTTCCACGACACCACGATCCCCTGCAGCTGTCAAGCGCCGTCAGTCGCTTATGCTGCTTACTGCATCGGATAAGGATGACGACAAATTAAACCCATCCTTGTTCAATCTCGTCGACTTGGTCTTGGGAAGCACCGCATCGCGCAATCCACAGACGGTCATTGCATCATTGAAGCTGACTACTGTGATATTGAGCAAAAGCCATGGATACGCTCTCGGGTCTCTCGTCAAGGTAATGAACTTGCATCACAAAGAGCACAATAGAACTGTTGGATCTCTGAACAAGGAGCTTGAGCTGTACCTAAACCTCGCCATCGATCTCGCTGGCCTGGAAGGTGTTGATGAAGCGTACGAGAACTATCTCAAAGATACTCTGAGTTTGTTGGAGTCGCATCCCTGCTCTTTGAAGACCATCGCTTTACCCGCGACCTCTTCGAAGAGTCCAGGATACTTCGACTCCACTGAAGCCTCAGCTAGGGAGGTAGATCCACATCAGTTGCTTCCAGAAGATCCGCTCTTCCAATCTCTCATGGATCTACTGCTGAGGTTCCTCACAAACGATGTCGAGACAAACCTAGCGCTTACTGAGGCATTGATCACGCTTGGCACCTGCTCGCAACTGCGTCTGGAAGGATGGCTGTCCGTGGATCCTGCCGACTACCACTTCGAAAACGACAGTCCTGTAGCCGAGTCGTTCACGAACGACAATTTGCGCGCCATGTTCATGGCAGAAAGGTTTCCGAAATGGGAGTCTTCTGCTACTCCTCAACTGTTTGCATGCCTGCAACGTCTTCAGACGCAAGTCGATGCCCTGCGCAGCGATATCAAGGACTGGGATGAGCACGTTGCGAATCGTAAGCATGCCTTCCGCTTCCATCAGGATCTCGTAGAGGAGTCAAAAATGTCAACGCCTCAGTCAAAGCCTGCGCGACCTCCCTCGGAAACTCCAGTTGGATCTTGGACTCCGCAAATACCACAACACGTACGTAACCAACCGACGACGCCCTCCAGAGCGCAATCTCCGAGAGGCAGGAAGGAAACTCTTTCTGAAGCAAGGAACACCCCCACTACATCACCCGCACCATCAAGATATGGAGGCCAGACACTCGTCGGTTCACCTGCCCGAGCGTCATCTCCTATGTCAGGAACATACGCCGTACAACAGCCTTCTTTGATGTCAGACGTCGAAGCTAGCATATCACAGATCAGAATGAGTCAGTTCGGCAAGAGACGTATTCGCTTCCGCCGGCCGGCTGGATCAAAGGAGGTAGAAGTCATGCTATCGAAGTTCCAACCACCACCAAAGGAACCTTCTGATGACGCGGCGAATGGTACTGAGGATACAGAAGACGATGATATTCGAGAGGCGAGCTTGCTGCACATCATCACAAACGTAGTCATACTGCAGAACTTTGTGTTGGAGCTGGTTGCGTTGATGCAGGTCAGGTCAAGTCTGTTCAATGAGGTCAGATTTATCTGATTGTAGGTTTGCCGAGGGGAATCGTTGATGTAGTAAGAATATACCCCATTTTCATCTCTCCTTCAACACGTCCCGAGGAACATTTTGTAGAACAGTTGAGATTGCCTAGGCATCTTCCGAGGCATCTTCGCGCACGTGCACGTCGGCCGCTTTCGGGATGGGCTCTGCAGCGGAGAGTTTCCGACAGCCCCTCCAACGTCATCTTCCACACTTTCACATGTCGATCGTTCCACCCCTCATCCATCACCAGACGCTCGCCTACACGAGCTTGTGAAAGCGCGAACCCGGAAATACACGAGACTCGATTTCAGGCATAACACCAGGATTGCATGTGTTATCATCCCAAGCAGGCCATGATGAACGGCCAATAGCTTGGACAGCTGGGCAACTGTGGCTCGGCAACGTAATTCCTCGAGCCGATCGCCGGCCGAACGACATCAGCGCATCGTAACTTCCGCTCGCCCACCCAAGGCAAAATCCGGGGTTTTTGCCAAGGTACCCCGTTGTTTGCCAGTTGCCAGACAAACGCGTGCCAGTCGACACTAAGACACGCGGTCTGGGCTCACGCAAGGGCCGAGGCTGGCGGAGCAAATGGGTGTTTGTCCTCACACCCGCGGGTAGTCAAGGCAGGCTTCTGATCAGCAATGTATGGAATATGACTGAATGAATTTCCTTGCGCTCATGCTCTCCTCGCTTTCCTAAACCTCATTCCGAGTGTTCTTCTCTATACCCGTTGCATCGCTGCTGCTATTGATTAGCTTGCTCTCCCTCTGTCGTCATCTCTAGAAGCCGAGGTTTCTAAAGTGCATTACAGTTCCCATTCCGAAAATTGGGCTACAGCTCAGGATCGCTCCTTCAGTGTCATAACTTCGTGTAACCCCACGTGCTCGTGCCTTGGACGGCTTTTGGTCTCCATTCCTCGCAGCAAACACCTTCCTGAACCTCTGCGCTCCAACTCTACGCAACATGTCCGCGAAATCAGTACAAGGGCCTGGCGGCAAGAAGCCCGCTTCGGCGGCCACAAATTTGATCGGTAAGCCCCGAGCTGAGAATTTGGAGGGTATGCGACCGCGATGGCACGATACTGACGCGACATGAAGCCGGAGGTGGTGCTGGAATGATGGAGGCACTCGCGTGTCATCCTCTCGGTGAGTTACAAGTCCTCAAGCCTCTATCATCTGCGCGTTAGGTCTAATTGAATATCAGATACGATCAAAGTCCGCATGCAACTGTCAAGACGAGCTCGCGCTCCAGGAGTATGTCCCAACTTATACTTTCGAAGCGGTCGGCATACACTATCCAGAACGTCACTGATTGGTGTACACTACAGGCAAAGAAGCGCGGGTTTATTACGACCGGAACCGAGATCGTGAAGAGGGAGACAGCATTAGGCCTATATAAGGGATTAGGCGCCGTTCTCACAGGCATCGTTCCGAAGATGGCCATACGATTCACGAGTTATGAGTGGTATAAGCAGCTGTTAGCAGACAAAGAGGGCAATGTCGCGTCAAAGTCTACGTTTATGGGTAAGTCTACAGCTCGCGAGATTGCAAGGCGCATCTTTTCAATACAAAGTTCGCTCAAGAATGACTGAATACTAACACTCTACAGCTGGCCTTGCCGCTGGTGTCACGGAGGCCGTTCTCGTAGTCACACCCATGGAGGTTGTCAAGATCCGTCTTCAAGCGCAGCACCACTCAATGGCCGATCCGCTCGATATACCCAAGTACCGAAATGCCGCGCATGCCATGTATACTGTCGTGAAGGAAGAAGGCGCAGGCGCATTATGGCGTGGTGTCTCGCTCACAGCGTTGCGCCAGGGAACAAACCAAGCAGCAAACTTCACTGCGTACTCGGAACTCAGGGCACAGTTACAGAAGTACCATGGTACAACAGATTTGCCGGGCTACGAGACGAGTTTGATCGGTCTGATTAGTGGTGCTGTTGGTCCGTTTACGAACGCGCCGATCGACACGATCAAAACGAGGTTGCAGAAGACGCCCGCGGAGGCAGGTCAAACTGCTATTCAGAGGATAGTGAACATCGGAAAGTAAGTCCTCGAGCGCACCCAACTTCCGAGTGTTAGCTGACAATTCGCAGCGACATGTGGAAGCAGGAAGGTATCCGCAGTTTCTACAAAGGTATCACACCGCGTGTGATGCGAGTAGCCCCCGGCCAAGCTGTCACATTTACCGTGTACGAGTATCTGAAGGGCGTGTTGGAGAAAGGTAGAGAGATGCTCCCTGGTGGGGCATATGAGGAGTGAGCTACCATTGCGTTTTCCAGTCTGTTGGAGAGCGCTCTTCGATGAGCATACATTGTTTTCCAAGCATATTGAAGCCTGTAATTTCTGTGATATACAACGACATTTGAATTTTAGAAACGCCAGCTCAGGAACCAGACTATATGATAGAAGCAGGGCTGCCAAGGTGCATCGGCCGTCCAGCCCACCTGCCCCACTATAGTACAGCATCACCGCTGGTTCGACGTCAGTGTAAACGTACAAATCAGTACATTCAACATCTTACCGGCCTCCTCTTTGAGTGTTCCGACAACCACAGAAGATACTGCAGTAAAGACTTGCCAAGATGCAGTCTGGTATCTCCGGTAACGATTATCCAGCGCGTTCCAACTTCGTACACCCCACTAACAAACCCCTATAGCTTCCCAGGAGCTCAAATCCGCCGTGGGTAGCCTCATAACCTCGACCTCGCAACGCGGAATCCTAGCCACAATCCAAAACGAAACCATCATCCCCAGTGACACCATATCCTCGTCAGCGTCGACATTCCTCGCCGACCTCTCCAATCTCCAATCCCGCATCCAGCCCAATGCCGCCCTGTACATTCTACTCCGCCGCGCCGACTCGCTCGCCTCGCCCGATAAATCTCTCGTAGCCGTAACATACGTACCCAATGCTGCGCCCGTACGCCAGAAAATGCTCTTCGCATCCACGCGCCTCACACTCGTGCGTGAGCTAGGCGGAGAGCATTTCAGTGAGAGCGTCTTCACGACCGAAGCATCAGAGCTCACGCCGGAAGGCTGGGAGAAACACATCGCGCATACAGCATCTGATAATCCGCTGACAGCGGAGGAACAATCGCTGCAGGATATCAAAGATGCCGAGGCCCTGGAGAGCAGAGGTACACGCGGTCAGGGTCTGGCCCAAGGAGGCAGAATCGCTATTCGGGCTGATGATGAGATTGGCGGTGCACTGAAGAAGTTGGGACAGGGTGGGACGGATAACCTCGTGCAGTTGCGCATGGACGGCGCGTCTGAGACACTTCAGCTTGTTTCTTCTTCATCAGCGACGCCTTCAACTCTCTCCCGCGCTATCGATGCCAAGGAGCCGCGGTTCTCGTTCTACCGTCATGACGACGCTGCTGCGAGTATTGTGTTCATCTCGACGTGTCCGAGCGGAGCGAAGATCAGGGAGAGGATGCTGTATGCAGCGAGTAGGGGCAATGTGGTCAGTCTTGCGCAGAACGATGGTGGGCTCAAGGTGGAGAAGAAGATTGAAGCGACGGATCCGGATGAGATTACTGAGCAGGTTATCCTAGATGAGTTTAAGGTGGAGAAGAAGGAGGAGAGTAAGGGATTTGCAAAGCCGAAGAGGCCTGGACGGCGGTAGATGGTACAGCAGGAATGAAAGTGGACAGCACGATGGGCGGCAAAGCCTATCATCAAAGGCACAAACATCAAGATGGCAATGGATATCTTTTACATCATGCTGCACAAGTCCGACTGGCACTGTGCTATTATCTACTCTCCATTCCTGAGGAAACCCCGGTTACCATGCGGCCTCCTCTCCATCTTCTTCCCGAACCTAACGCCGGGTTTTCCTCCCTTCTTATCCATTTCACGCCCCTTCAACCAGTGTTCACGTACGTTCTTCGTATTCCTGTTGACCTTGGGCGGCAGCACCCGGTTCTGTTGTGCCAATACTGCTACGCTGAGCTTGCCCTTCTTCACATCCTTCGCTGGCTTGTCAACGCGCTCCAGGAACTTGATGTGGTGGTTGAGTTTCTCCTTCTTAAGTTCCTCCTCTGTCTTTCCGCGCCGCTCGGGCGGTGGTGTGGGAGGGCGTTGGTCGTCGATGGTCTCGAGGAGGGAAGCAGGTAGGAGACCGTTGGATACGTCGATGTCCATGCGCGACGCAACTTCTGGCTCTTCGTCGAGGGGGCCGGCGGCAGCCTTTGCTTCCTTGGCAGCCTTCTTTGCCAATTTCTTTGCCTTCTTCTCCTCACGCTCTCGCTTTGCAGCTTGTTGGGCGGCAACGAGTTCCTCGCGCGCCTGTCGCTTGGCCTGTTCCTTTGCTTGTTGGGCTTTCTGCGCGCGGTCGGCTTCGGCTTGCGTAGCTCGTGCTTTCGAACTTGCAGCGGCTGTGGTGACTACCTCGGGGGCTTCGTTGTCCGAATCGCTTGCTTCGTCCTGATTGACTTGGGTTGTTTGCGTTGGGGGCAGTGACTCGATGGGCTGAGAAGCTTCATATCGCTTGTTGCCTTGCTTGTTCGCAGCGGGCGAATCTTGCGACTCCGCAGGCTCCTCGCTACCAAAGCGCCTGTGCGTCTTTTCGGGTTGTGCTGAAGGAGGCACGTCGTCTTGCGAGGGTATAGGAGCTGTGCTGCTCTCGTATGAGGACGTTGGGATTTCGTCAGGGAACTTGGACGGCGTCTCTACAGCCTTCTTCGGGCGGCCTCTGCCTCTCTTCGCTGAGCCTGATGCTGGCGTCTGGCTATCTCCCTTCTTAGCCTTGGGTGTAGGAGATCCCTCAGGTTGCTTGAATGTTGTGGCGGGCGTCGCGTATACTGAACCAGAACCAGAACCAGGCTGTTGCGCCGGTGTGTAAAAAGACGGATTTTGTGAAGTTACTGGCGCATCTTCTCTGCCTTCACCGAAGCTGTCTGTGGCCGTCGAATCATCCGGTGACTTCCTGCTGACCACAACATGGGGGCTCGATCGGCGTCGGAGTGGCAGAAAGTCGTCCTTTGTCGGCGTCTGAGGGTCTTGGGTCGCAGGCGCAGCGATAGCGATCGTGTCCGAGACATCGTCGACAGACTCTTGCGAAAGTCCTTGTGAAGGCGCATCCGCATCGATCGCCTGCTTGGCAGATCTCTTCTTGGAGGAGGACGTGGGCGCAGACTTCCTCTGCCTTTTCGTTTGTGTCGGCGTCTCTAGCGACTCGAGTTCTCGCTTTCCTGCGGCTTTTCTTGTCGAGCTGCGCGGCGTCGGTGTCGGTGCGCCTGGCGTCTCTGTTCCGCCTCGTGTAGTAACCATTGCGACTTCGTTGGTGTGGGTTGATACGCGTTGTGCACGAACCGCGACTGTCCTCGTCGTTGCTGCGCTGGTGGATCGCGCGATGTGGAAAAGATTCTGGCGTGCCAAGATTTCGCGGCCATTGCGGACCCCCGAGACTAACGACCCTGGTGAATCCCAAGGATCACCGCATCGTCATTTACCAACTATCGAGCAATCGTCTCGTAACTATGTCGACTCCTCGCGCAGTATTACGCTCAGTAAACGCAGTCACGCGTCTAGAGCCATGTTTGTCGTGCCGACCGCGCCAAATTACTTTACCGATCCGCTACAATGCCGCAAGATATCTGATGGGCTCGTATTGGCTTGCAACAGGCATGCGAACCCAGAACTATGCTACGAAGCGAAGAATGGATCCGAGAGCACGTGTTGATGCTGATGCCCGCGCTCGACTGGGCTTCTACACCATCTGCAAGCAACAAAGCACACTCAATATCGAGCCGCGTACGGCTCTGAGCATCTACGATGATTTCGTTGCGCAAACCAAAACTATTTCCCACAGCGACAACGTTTTGCGGATAGTCAAGAGTAGGTTCACGGCCCACGCTCACCTCCATTGACGGTACTGACATGAGCAGAATATAACGTCCGACCGATTGATATTACATCTCTTGCGCTCGTTACATTCAAGATACCCGATATTAGCGATACAGCGATAAGAGCTCAATTGCCTCCTAGTCAGCACAAAGCTGTCGCTGGTATGCTTCTGCAAGGATGTGCGCAAGCTAGAGATCCTCTAGCGATAGTACACATCCTGACTGCCGTCTACCTTGGCAGTTCTGGCAACGGGCCTGCTCAAGAGATTGCAAGTCTTTTTCCACAGAAAGAGATCGCCCAATACCGCCAATTACTCGACATGATTGACTTGCAGTCCTTGGAAAAGACTCCAAGTCTAGTAGTTGAAGTCTTGACTTTAAGAGGACTCTTCCTTGAGCGAGCAGGACAGAAGCAGGAGGCCATAAAAGTATACCAAGAAGCCATCAAGCCTTCAACTCTTGATCATCAAACTGGAACGTCATCAACGCATGCGATGCAGTTTGCTCTTATAGCACCCTGGAATGCGCTCGGTTATCTACATAAGGCAGACAAGGACCCGAACGTACAGGCAGAAGCCCAGTCATATTTCCAGAAAGGTGCTTTCGAAGGTGATGATCCGCTTTCATACTACGAACTCGCAGCCTATGAGCCGAAAACAAGCGAAAAGTGGTTGCGGTATACTAGCAAAGCAGCAGCATCCGGTCACAGACAAGCCATACTGGACCTCACTGGCTTCTATCAAGAAGTGGCAGCATCGAACTCGTCTATTTTAGAAAACGGTAGCATACGGCATGCGCTCAACTGGTTACTGACCTGGAGACGCGGAAGCGCTGCGAAGCTAGCCCGAGAGTGGCTACATGCGGCGTCTGTCGTCGGACACAAACCTTCAATGTTGCAACTCGCGGACTATTACAAGTCTGTTGGTGACGACGAAAGATCCAGGCACTATTTGCGTCAGATTGTCGACTCTGAGAGCGCTGCCCTTTACAAAGAAGAGGCACCACAGCTTGTGCATGTTGCGAGGATGCGGCTTGCGGGAATCCGGTAACAGCCAATTCAACCAGTAGGAGAACATATCCTATATACTCCATTCTCTCCTAATGTATCATGCGTGTTCGCCACGCTCACACGCGCAGCCTGGCATTGTTTCAGAAGCTACATTCATATGAAGTATCTGTCAGACAATTACGCAACTGTTCGGTGATTCTGCGCAGAATACCTCTATTCCAGATCGATCTCGCACCATGCACTAGACATACACATGTGTGTTGAAAGATGTCTTGGTCATATCCTCGACAAAACGTCTATCTCCGGACCTACCCCGGCCTACCCCACCTCGGCAGGTGAGCTACTGGCCTTCCTTATCTGGCACTCTGATAGTGGCCACAGCATCCGATGACTATTTGAAGATTTATATTCATCACCAGTATGATCACCTATTTACTTAACACATATCATTCTGCATCTTCACGCAGACATCGAACACAATCTACCATCAAGAATCGATCTTTGATCACTTCAATCTAGCACAATATCTGTTCTCACAGCCATGTCATCTACTATCCCTCTCAACACCCATCGAAAAGCCTTGATAGGCTCACCTTCAAACTTCTGGTCGCACTCTACCAAGAATGGCTTTGACCTCACCCATCCTTCTACGCACTCGTCGCCAACTACGGGACCCACACATACAATTCAGACACGAGCTGATGCCATCACAATTGACCCTTCGAAATCCGCCCTTGTCATCATCGACATGCAGAACTTCTTCCTCTCCGAAGCTTTCGGCCGCGGCCAAAAGGGTCCTGGTCACATCGCTTGCGAAAATCTGGTCAAGTACGCTATTCCAGCTGCACGAAAAGCTGGCATCAGAGTCGTATGGGTAAATTGGGGGCTTACGGAGGAGGAAGCCAAAGATATGCCGCCAGCTGTGAAACGCGCATTTGGTTTCTTCTCCATTCCGGAAGATGCCGATTTCAAAGCCGACGACGCTTTTGGACACCAAGAAGGAAGCGTGAGCATGGATCGACATGGCAAAGAAAACCAGTCTTTCTACCGTGGTATCGGGGCTGACTGCGGGATACTCAAGTTTCCAGACGGGAAAACTGTAGACGGAGGTAGATTGCTCATGCGCGATTCTTGGAACGCAGCGCTTTACCCTCCACTTGATGCCATGTATGTCGAAGGCAGCAAGTTGGGGAGTAGGCCTGACGTCTGGATCCATAAAAATAGGATGAGCGGGATGTGGGGTGCCACCACACCCCTCAAAGAGTTTCTGGATAAAGAGGGCATTAGGACCTTGTTCTTCACAGGTGTCAATACCGATCAGTGCGTGGGTGGAACCCTGACTGATGCATTCAGCAATGGATACGACTGCGTGTTACTAGGTGACGGATGTGGGACTACGACACCAGACTACGCGCAGCAGTGTTGGGAGTATAATGCCACTAGAACCTTTGGATTTTGTGCGAGTTGTCAACAGTTTGCCGAGGGTGTGGGTGGCTCTTGAATATGTAGTCTATGTATCTTCATTCGAATACAGAAACTGATGTAGAAGAATCGTGAGTACAACTGTAAAGTCAACGGTCTGAGTGGAAATTCTCCATAGAGTTCCCAGGAGCATCTTCATTTAACCAATGGAAGTATCCCATGAAGATTGTGGTACAGCCGTTTCTCGCCCGTTCGATCAAGTGACTACGCAGCGTGGTGCTCGGTTCTTCGTTCCTCAGGATGAGATTGCTCTGGACTAGAATGGCATTTGGCCAGTCTGTACTGAGGCAGTCGATAGCGCCTTCTACTGTTCGTGACCCGTGTACCGCTGCTCGTTGCATCAGGCGAGGCACGCTCTTGTCTGATCAACCGAACACCATGGAACGATCGCCTGCCAGTGTGATGACAAGAATATTGAGCATGATGTGCGAAGCCCTTGTCAATGTAACTTTGACTGTGAACAAAAAAGATGAGTGCGAAAGCAGTAGATGGAGTCTTTCTGTAAGAACAGAAATACGCGCTGAGCAATCTTTGTCTCATCAAACGCATAGGCAATCCACGCATAATTCGGCATCGTGAACAAGCACGCAGGGAAGAAAGCTGCCAGCATGTCTGATAGGCCTGATCTTTAGTGAGCATGAAGCAATGGGAGACGTCCACGAAGGATAACTCCACAAGCTGTACGGTGTATTAGACTACAACAGTTGAAGTTCTGCAGGAGTGACGCTTCCTGGTCTGACGATATCGCCCCGCCAAGGCCGCCGCGGACATCGGAAAAAGCCTCGGCTAAGCAGCGCGAACGCAAGAAGCAGCTCCGATGCTATCCCCCACCCTGGTTCTTCTACATCATTACCGGTGATACCCCCGAAACATTACGCTGCCAGGCGCTGAGGAGGAAACATACACAGAATGTCAGGATTGAGGATATTAGTGCCCGTCAAGCGGGTCATTGACTATGCCGTATGTTCATTACACTAATTCATAGACATGGCGCATGCATGTCCGACTTGGATGCTTGAAAGAGTGGCTTCGAGGATGAGAGCACTCAAGACGGCTGTCTCCACAGCGAATGTCACTGACACCACGATCAGGTCAAACCCCGCGTAAACCGCGCCCAAACCGCCGTGGAAACCGCAAACGTCAAGCATTCGATGAATCCCTTCGACGAACTCTCCATCGAAGAAGCAGTCCGCATGCGCGAAAAGAAGGCCCACCATGCAAATGCCCCCAACGTAGAAGAGATCGTCGCCTTCTCCGCCGGCGTCCCCAAGTCCCAAGACATCCTCCGCACAGCCATGGCCATGGGCGCAGACCGAGGCATACACGTAGTTGTAGAAGAGAAGGACGCCCTGGAGCCACTGGGCGTCGCGAAGCTTCTACGGAAAGTAGTAGACGAGCAAAAGAGCAATCTTGTAATCCTAGGCAAGCAAGCCATCGACGACGACGCCGGTCAGACAGGACAAATGCTCGCAGGCCTCCTCAACTGGCCACAAGCAACTCAAGCCTCCAAAGTCACAATCAACGATCAAACCGTCGAAGTCGTACAAGAAGTCGACGGAGGCGTGCAAACAATCAAAGCCAAACTTCCCATGGTCATCACCACGGATCTGCGCCTCAACGAACCCCGATACGCTAGTTTACCCAACATCATGAAGGCGAAGAAGAAGAAGCTGGACAAGAAGAGTCTGAGCGACTATGGACTGGACACGGAGATCAGATTGAAAACAGTAAAGGTCACCGAGCCACCACCACGGAAGGGTGGTGTCAAGGTTGAGGATGTGGATGGCATGATTAGCAAGTTGAAGGAACTGGGTGCTTTGTAAAGAGCATGCCTATGTACCAATAATCCAAAAAGACTGAAATGCAACAAAAACGGACGGATCCTCGCAGCGTTCGTGCGACTACAACTTGTCGCCATATACGTTGTCCCCCATGACCTCACGATCCTTCACGTCCAGACTCCCGTAGCCTGGTTCCATCTTTCTCACTCTTATATCTTCTTCATTCTCACTACAGTATTGCACGTTCTCGTTCTCGAGATACTCCTCAACCCCATCGCTGTCCATCTCGCTCCTCTTGACATACCCGCCGGTCCAATCATTCGACTTAACCCTCTTGATACCCACCCAACCCAATTCCTTCTGCAGCCCGTCCAACTCCTCCACCTCCTGCTCGCTCAGTCCCTGAACTCTTTTCAAAGTCAGAAGGGAGTTGATCCTTTCCGAAGTCTCCAAGTAGGATGACCGGTCTTTCTCGTTCCATTTTGCGCTGTATATGTCTTGTTGTTCGAAATTGACGCGTATGGTTTCCCACCAGTGAGATCGCATGGCTTGCGAGAATGATCCGTCGGGGTTCTCCTGGTTTGAATTCATGCAGTAGAAGGCCGTTGTGTTGCCGTCCAAGGAATCTGTCCAGGCCACTCTTGTCTTCTTCTTCCCCATGTTTCCCTCTTCGCCCGTGTCTGCATTAGACTTACAGTCTTGCAACACGCAGTCAGCCAGCTTCTTGTCCGCTGCTTCTAAATCGTTGAACCACGCGACAATCTCAAGATATTGCTCGGAATTTCGGGGGTACTCTACTTCGATTTTCCATTTTTCTGCGAGCGGGGTACCGGAAGGGGTGACGAGAATGTTAGTGTATGCATGTTTGATGCGATCGTGGCCGGTCCACTGAGAAGGGAGCCTGGGCAGTTCGACGGAGGCGACGCGGAATGTGGGTCTGTCTTTGGAAAGTGAGTGGGAATGGACAACCAGGTAGATGGAGTTGACTGGTATTTCGGGTATTGTGCAACTTCTTGAAAGAAGACTTGGAACAGGAGATGAATGTACTTCTAATATGACTTAGGCTTCGAGATGGACAAGCTTTGTGTAGAATGACCTAATTTGCTAACAAACTAGTATGGTTGCTTGAAAGCATGCCTCAACATTTGCTACTACCCGCTACCACCTACATTTGGTCTAGGTGTGTCCCTGACATATCTTGGTTCCCCAAAACTAACAGCTACAACCTCCCACCAATACCTAGTCATGACACTCGCAGTCCCATCATCAAGCGTCATCGGCTGATGAGCAACGTAGAAAGTGCGTTCCACCATGTGATCATTTAGTTCCGAAACATCCCAAAGAGACTCTGGATCTTCTGTCACCTTGATACCGGCTTGCTTGAACTCGCCTATATGCTTCTTGACTTCATCGACCAGGTGCTGCTGAGCGACGTCCCCGATGGGGCTATGATCAGAGATTCAAACGTCTTCCTCGCAAGACCTGCTATGGACTAACATCGTTTTCCACCGTCCACCGTCCACCGTCGGCAGCTTCCGCTTCCACTTCCACTTCGTCGTATGTGTTGTCATGGTCTTCAGGCCGGGTGAAATCCTGGTTATGCCGGATCTTCTCCGCCCAGCTGAATGAGGGTCTCCTACGTTTCCCACCGGTCCTTATCTGCTGAGCAGTACGGAAGTGGAGCTGGAATCTGAGAACTATGTAGATAATATCTGTGGCCATTATCTTTCGTGAGAAATGGCGGAGATGAATATAGACATTCTGTATTGCTCATGGACGCTTTTATACACATCTCTGGTTACTAACGAGACCGCTGATGCTAGCCACGTAGAGGAGCCGTGCTACCAGAAGCACCCCAAATTACGAGGACTGTGCAGCAAAGAAACTGAGGAAGCTTCCCGTTGTAAGGCCGCCAACCAAAGATAGCGACATGAAGCTTCCTGCTGCCTCAAGCTCTTCCGGTTCAACCCACTCAGCGAAACCCATCATGCAGCTGCTACCCAAGTAGCCATTTGTTATGCCGAAGAGTAGCTGTACAATGAAGAGATAGAAGAAATCGGAGTTGACGGCAGCGCCTTTCCCACCGATGTTGCAGAGGAAGTACAAGGGTATGAAGAGTACACGCGCGATAGACAGAAAGAACAAGAGGCGTGGACGATGCGTAAGACGAAGGGCAGGCAGAGCGGGTCCTACTCGACCCATGAGGTCACCAAGGTTCCAGAAAAAGAAGCCTAGAGGGATGAAAGTTGCTGGTTGGAAAAGGCGAGGAGCCGTTGATGGATCGCGTACACTTAGTACTTGTGGCGTGAAGACGGGGAAGAACATAGTAATTGCAAAGGTGATGAAGACGGCGCCGGCGAGCCAGAAGAGCTTCTTGAGCATCCTCGTCAGTGGTACACTCTTGCGCTCGTTGTGGGTTGAATCGTATTCGGGCCCCTGGTCGTACGATGCTTGCGACATACGCTGCTTAGAGCTAGCCCTGGAGAGGAGGTAGAAGAAGGCTACCAATGTTGCCGCGGAGACGGCCGTGGCTGTCAAGAAGTAGATGAAGGCAGATGTGCTTGACTCTTGCGGTGCTCCGTCGGTATGCTGTTTTTTAGGTACAGACAGAACCGATATGATCTGGGTGATGGAAGGCAAGACACCGGCAATGCCTTGGCCAGACATGATCCCTTGGGTATATTCCTCTCTTCCAAAGCCCGATACATACGCAAAGACGCCGTTCTGGCACAGGCCTGTCGCAAGGCTGGCGCTCAACACCATGACCATGAGGAAGGCGAAGTAGACACCGACGGATATGTCCAGGAAGAACTTTGTGGATATGGCGAGAAGGGTGAAGACGACAGCGTTCAAGGCGAGCGATGCGACGATGCGTTTGGGGTAGTTGGCACGAGCCTGGAGCTTGGTCAAGACGATCATGGAGCCAAGGTTGCCTACGGTGGAGACGCATAGAATGGAGGACTGGAAGTTGCGGAGGAGGTTATCATTGGACTCGAAGCGTCGCTGGAAGTACGGAGCTGCTGCTAAGAACATGTTCCTAGTACAGTCAGTATCATGTCTGCAGTGATGTCTGAGGTACCCACCAAGCCCATAGCATGGAGACACCCAAGAGGGTGAAGACAGCATAGTCCGTCCATGAGAATGCCTGATCCTCGCGCTCGATATGCTCGCCATCTGGCCGCTCAGATCCTCCTTCTAGTGGCTCATACGATGCCGAAGAGTTCTCGCGATCGAACATCTGCCGGATGCGATCCATGGTGGGACGTGTCGTCGCGTTTGAGGTGCTCTCGGGGATGTACTGCGGAGTTGCGAAGATGCCGATACACGTCTACGAGGAAGAGACGTCTTCAAAAGGGAGGCGAGCACTGTATGAGTGGACACGGGCGGACATGTTCAAGCCGTGGCGGTGCTAGTAAGACTCATGATCATATCGCGTGGGTGAGCTCGAGAGTCGACGGGTGACACGCGGGTGTAGATCACGCTAGTGGACTGGGGCTCTGCCTGCGCGGCATCTGGATTGCTTTGATGTCACACCTCCCCGCGCTGCCCCTCCGATTCGCTGGACCGACTCACCACCAAATACTTAGCTGCGAGCGTCAAGGAGACCAGAGGTCACTGGCTAGAACTACGTCTTCACTCGTTGCCACAAATATGTCACACCAACTCCCACCCAATACAATCTCCATCAAGCGAAAGCGCACCGATGCGCCTGTCGACTCCCTCAGGATCGAACACGGCGGAAAGGATATCAAGCGACAAAGAAGCAGCGACTTTGCATACAAGCGTCTCACCAAGCCGGGCGACGATGTCCAACAGGTATCAGCACCACCAACGCCGACTCTCGCGCGACGCTTTCGCCTCGATCCCGTGTCCAGGATTGGCGCTAAACGGCATTTCGTAGAGGAACAAGAGATCACCAAAGAGAACATCCCAGCGGGCGGACAAGTGCAAGCGCCAATACCAGAACCTACACCAGACTCTACACCGCGACCACGAAAGCGGCCAGGTGCCGGCAGCGCACTACACCACTCAGCCAAACCCTCGATACACCGGAAACCACCTGTCACCGAGCCCTCAGAAAACGATGTACGCAACCTGGAAGCCCTGTCAAAAGAGGTGGAGAAGGTAGACAATCTCGAAATACCCCTCCCCTCGCCTTCGAAACACAAGCCCAAAGCGCCAGCGAAACGCTTTGCAGAACGGCACCCGGATAAGGCGGCAGCCCTCGCAGCCCAAGATGGCACAATGGCTGATGGCGACGCCATGGATATTGACAGCGAATACGTATACGACCATTACGTCCGGGAACCCGTTCTACCAGACGCCCCCGCCCCGACAGGCACAGTCGGTCTTCTAGTCATCAGCGAAGAGGACGCAGACTGGTGGGATAACGACGAGAACAGCGACCGAGAGTTCGACACGGATGACGAAGACGAGAACGCAGAGGATTACTACGCCAACGACTATCCTGAGGACGAGATGAGTGACGACGACGAGTTCGATCGGAATCTGTACCAGTCCAAATACCGCCATGGAAGTGACGATGAAGAGTACAACATTGGAGACGACGACAATGCATTGGGAAGCGGCGAGGATGAGGACGATCTGCATTTCAAGATGACGGTACCTAAAGCACAGAGAGTGGGATATTGGGGTATGCAAGGGGAGTCATAACACAGTAGTCTACAAAGACACTGTCTGTTTTCGCCGCCCATCAGCCATGTCATCTTCGAATCATCTATCTCTCGATACAGTCTCAGTGTCTCGTCAGTACTAGACTAGAGAGATCAAGCCTCTACAAGAGATCAAAGGGATGCCATTGATTTCAAGTGATGAAGTACGTCCATTACTCCCGGTAATCATAAAATCAAAGAGGGTATCATGTCAAACTCCCGACCCCAAATAATACATAACCCAAGCCCAGGGGTACGTAGCATGGCCCCGCCCAAGCCTTTCTACCCCATGTAGAACCATCATGTGCAAGTCATGTCCCATACGTGAACGCGACTACATCTTTGTACGCTTCGACTCTCACACCAGATTCCTCATCAAAGAGCAGCGGTTGACGGGGTACACTGGCCGTGTTCCGCGTTCTCCTTGCCTGCTTTATCTAACATAGCCTCCCAGGGAATGTCAACGTTCGTATTCGTAACCTTTTCCTCGTCATCGTCTTTACCCGTGGCATGGGATGGCCCCTCCAACACAGCCTTATCGGGAAGATCAGCATCCTTCTAGGTAGCGCTAACACTCGCCATACTACCCTTCCGCTGTTGGCCAGGTCCGGGTAGTTGTCCAGGGAGTATCTGTCGAGGTCCGCCTGTACCGATAGCACTTGGCCTCCTGCTCCCTGCTCCGCCATCCAGACCAGCGCTCAGAGGTGCGCCGAATCCAGCGCTCTGCGGAAAGTGCTCATTGGTTGCACTCAATGGCGCGCCCATCATACCGAGTGCCATCCCCCGTCCAGTACTCATATTATCACCACCCGAGAACATGGACCCGCCTCCGCCTGGGGGTGCCCCAAGTGCTGAGCGGATCATGCCTTTCATGCGGATGTATTGGTATTTCGAGCGTTGTGAGGTATGCGTGTATGTTGCCATGGGCCGTGGCCGATGTCGAGAGAGGGCAGCCATGATAGAGTCTTTCTCTTCGTCGGAATCAACAGCGCCTGAGGGCTCGAGATCTTCAGGAAGGGGCGCGTTGGCATCAATGAGGGACCCTGAGAATATGTTAGTACAAAATGTTTCTAGCTGGGTGATTGTAGGATACAGACGTTGAATCTTGGCCTGGTTCTTCTTCTGATATTGCGCCAGCAACATGTCATACGGTAGACTTCGTCCTGGAACAGCCCTCTTCAGACCCATGCTATGGCTCTTGCAAGTTAGACTTCTTGCACAGTATCCGCCGTTTGGTAGGGAGACACCGCACTGCCTCTCAACATCGACAGGGCCTTTGGGCTTTGCTCCCTTCTGCTTGGGTTCATCCTTCTTCTTCTTCTTGGCGTTCGGCGCCTTCTCCGCGTCTCCATCAAGTTTCCGCTTTTTGCCCTTCTTTGCGCCATCGCCGTCTATCGAGGCACCCTTAATGGCTGACTTGCGCGATTTGCCGCCCTCGTCATCTTCCCCCTTCTCTTTCCGCAGGGCTGCGTCTTTGGCTTCCTTGGCCTCCTTCTTCTTCTTTAGCTTCTCCTGCTTCTTGTTCAAGCATTCACGAATATGTGCCGCAGAAGATGCGCGAAGTACAGGTCGGCGACAGTGTTTACATTGTACTGTATCCACCTTATCGTCTAGGGGTCGGCCGCTGGGGAAGCCAGCAATCGTTTTCTCGTCCAGAGGATTAATTACAGGCGAGGTGGTCGATGGAGCGGGGGCTTTGTTCTCGACGTCTAGTAATGTGTTAGACCGCTCTGAAGACTCACGTGCATGTACAGATACAGCGCGTTGTGGGTGACGTACTGGTCGCGTCGCTTTCCTTCCAGTTCCCAGATATCGACGGCTTCGGGACCGGCTTCTTGATCTTCAATTTGATCCTGGCTTTCTCCGATTTGACTATGTCTTTTACTGCGCTTGTGTCCAGTAGGCTAGAGTTGCCTCCAGATTCTGTGGCTGAAGGTGCTGCGGTACATTAGTTCCATCGTAGCGGCGCCGGGGAGGGGTGCGGAGTTGAGCTCACCCTTTCGTGCGCCATTCGTAGCCATGTTGGCGGCTCCACGACGGCTGCGGAGTGCTTCGGTGGACCTCTAATCGCTCCGAGAGATCTTCCCAAGTGTAGTGGAGACGTATCCGATGTCAAAGTGTCTCTTGTTGATGGAAAGCAACAGGTCTGGTTGCATGCGCTGCTGATGGCGGCCTCCGGTCGCGTCAAGCAGCCGCGCATCGCGTACTAACCGGAAATGGCCAGCCAGTCAGGTGCTACCAATCGAACATGAATACCTACGTAATTCAAGGATTGATGCCGAACGTGGAATACAGCGCGAAACAGATACTTCACATGACATACGGAATTTAATTCAATCTCTTTTTGGTATTTCTAGCTATACTAACAACGTACGCTCATGACAAATGCTAAACGCCATGCACGTCAAGATCGACAGAACGTCGACTGAGCACACTACCGAAGAACCAGCCAAAGATAAATATCCGGTAAAACCATGAATCAAGTCTGCTGGCAAGACTGACCATCGCAACGGCAGTCAGCTCTGCATCATTCCGAACTCCCTAAAATGCTCAACATGTACTTTGAGCACCAAGGCTCATGGTATCAAAACGCCGTAGATCGCCAAAGTATGCTGTGTCGTCATTCGTAAATGTACTGCTGTGTTGCTAAGGTCCTCAATAGCTCTGCGGAGCTCGTCACCCTCGGGTGCATTGCTGCCCAGTAAGCTGATATATATCTTGTGGCCTTGGTTTAGAGCAAGCCTGTGGTCGTTTTCACTTTGCTTCGCCTCTTGCGTGGGCTTATGGCACCAAGAGACCGCATTAACGGCCTCGGCCCTTGGCCTTGAATGCCTTGACAGGCTTCGCCTTACCCTTCTTTGGCGGTTCGTACTCTTCGATGTGGTTGTGGCCGAACTCCTCACGCATGATGCTGTTGGTCCAGAGCAAGCAGCGATCCTTGGGGGTGTCCTTGTCGACATGGGTCTTGTTTCGCGTCGACACTCTTGTCTTGTTGTCATCATCGTCCTCTTCCTGGGGCTTGTTGGAGTCCTCCAGATGCTTTCGCATCTTAAGCATGTATTCGGCGATACGGTCACGGAACGCTTGTAGCTCCTTACGCAGAACACGTTCTCGATGGCCGCGCTCATCGAGCCACGCAAGTAGCTTGTCAATGTCCTCCGGGTCGTCGTAAAACGCCCACTGATTCGAGTTGGACAGGTGCGTCGGGCCTTCTTCTCGTTCTTTACGCTGCGGGATAGTGTAGCCAAAGCGCTGCATATCTTGAGAGAGGGCAGGCTCCTCCAAGTTTGGACCAAGTTCATACTCGCTCGGTCCCTGTACCCAAATTCGCCCGTTGGCGTACCCATACTCGGCGGTAGAGCTATTAGGAACACCGCCGAACGGCATACCATTGTGCTCGAACCAGTAGTACTTGTTCAAGAATCGATCCTTGCCAAGGATCTTGCTACGATGCACAAGAGTTTCGCGCAGATCATCGTCAAGCTCGCTGATGTTGTCCTCGCACTCCTTGAGCTCGTCCTTCTTCTTCTCAATCGCCTGTAGCAGTTTCTCCCATTCCTTCTGCTTCTTGGTCTTCTCAGCATCTGCCTTGGCCTTCTTCGCCTTCTCCTTCCGAGCTTCTTCAGCAGCCGCCTTGCGCTTGTTCTTGTTCGCCGGACGGGTTCTGCCCTTGGAAGTAGGTGCATCGTTGCCACCGTTTGCTTCGGCTTCGGCAGGTTCCTTGGATCCATCGTTAATGCTCGTCATGGATGTATCCACATCCTCGTTCATCTTGGCATCCGTAGGCGACGCCGGCGTGTTGGCAGGAAGGTGGATCTTACGCTCCAAATCCAGCTTGAAAAGTTCATCAGCCAGCTCTTTGCGTTTGCGCTGGTACTCAATCTTTTCCTTGCGCAAGCGAGTCATTTCCTGGGCGGCAGCGACCAGCTGATCGCGGAAATTCTCAGTGACAATAGTGAGATTCAGAATCATCTCGAGCGCAGAGATGCGGAGGTTAACATCGAGCTTCGCGTAGTTGGTGGCAATGGTGGTGATGGTAGGTTCTTCATCAGGAGGGACAAGCTCAGTAAGGATTTCGTCACAGGCTTCCTTCCGCGCGGGATCAAAGGAAAGGCGATAGAGGAGTGCGACAATGACTGCCTGCCATCCACCGTCCGCAAAGTTGCGAGTCTTGCACTGCTCGACCCAGTCGAATTCGTTATCGAATTCCTCGGCCTTATGGAGTTCCTTCGGAGGCTCAGGCGTAGGTGTACGTGGTTTTGCAACAAGTTGGGCTGCACCCGACTTCCTCAAACTACTACGAGTAGTTCGAACAGGCGGCTCGGGCTCGGGCGTGGGCGTTGACTCCTCGCTCGAATCTTCGTCTGATGAATCCTCGCTGTCGGCCATGTTAGGTAGGGACGTCTGGATCTTCCCCGAATCATTGATAATCTGCTTCAGGATTGCACAGTGCATCTCTACAAACAACTCACACTCGACTGTCTCATGTGAGAACCGCATAGCGTCGACAAAGTCATCGAAGGTGAAAGAGTCTAGCATGTAGATGGTATCGTGAACGTTGAGAGTCTCCCAGATACAGAGTAACGGGCCAATACTCTTCATCAAGATGCCGGTCTTTTTATCGTCAGCCGGCGGCTCGACTCCTTCGGGAACGTCGTCGGAGAAGAACTTCAATGGTGGTCGGTTGACCTGTAGACGAGGTTGCTTGATCTCTAGGTCCTCGCATGGGTATTTGACATACTCAATAGTACGGGGCGGTGGAGGTGCTTGTTGAGGCTGTGGAAGGTTTGTTGGCCGGGGACCTTGTTGATGGTTGAAGCTGGTTTGGAATGGGAAATTGATGGGCGGGCCATGACCAGGCGTATGCATCTGCATTAACTGCGCAGCAAGGTGAGGCGGCACCTGAGCCAGGATATTGGGTGGTGGACCAGTCACTATCTGCGGAGGTCCAGAGTAATTAATCGGTGGGCCGTTGACAAAATACGCTGGCCGATGAGGGTTTCCAGCTGCCCATGGAGGCATCACACCTTGTTGTGCGTAGGGCGGAGGGCCGCTTGCGGAGAAATTAACAAAGGTAGGCTGCGCTTGTCCAGGTGGTAAAGGCAGTCTATGGCCATTGACATGAGGACCATGACCGTTGGGCATCTGCTGTGGGTATTGTTGTTGAACAGGTTCGGTCACACCGTTCGGTACGCCAGTGGTAGCCCTCTTAGCAGCTAAAATAGCCTCCCGGGTCTTCTTGTCAGGAAGCTTAGTGGGTATGTCGTATCGCTTTGCCAAGCTGTCTTTGACCATCCATGGCGCACCAATCCATGACTCACGCTTAAGGGCATTGCGAAGGAAAGCTTTCAGTATGAGCTTGGAATAGGTCTTTCGATCGCGCTGGAGTTCTGAGGCTTTGTATTTGGTGACGGTTTCACCGCTGTCTTCCATAGTGATGACGTAGGTGTAAGTCCGAATGTTATCGTCCATGGACTGACCACTGAACATGCTGTGTAGTCGGCTGCTGTCCGTGATCTCAGTAATCTTGCCGAAGCGGCGCGAGTGGTCGCCTTCAACGGAAACCCGATCATTCAACATGAAGTGCTCCTTGAAGTGCTGCAAATAGGTCAGCGTGGGTTTCCTTGTAGGTTTTGGTTTCGCTTCGTGGACATACATCGTAGACATCATTCACTGTGTAGTATGTCAGCAGCACTCCTGGGCTAAGCAAGCAAGACTGACTCACCTAGGTCATCCATCCGATGGTGGTCTTGAAACTGGACATAGTGAAGGACAGGAGACCTTAAGCCATCCGGGAAGATGCTGTTGATCTCTTTGGAAGCTTCCGTCTGCACGGATGTTACCTCTTCATCGGCCTTGACGAGTATTGACGTGGAGCCTACCTCGCTCTCCTGGGCCTCGAAATAGGTATAGCCTGAATGACCAGTCGCCTGGCAAGTGAAGCTCCGCTGTTGATAGAAGTCGTATCTACATCTCATTAGCGACATGTACCTACCTGACGTCATTCCATATATTTTCCTACCTCTCAAGGAACCGCTCATAGTCTGTGAAGACCTCTCCAGTCTGTTCGATATGCCACACCTATCCAGCGACTTTAGCATATAAGTTCTATGGTCCAACAGAGTATGTAGCGTACCTCAGTGCTGTCGTCGAGGTTCTTCGGCAGGGGTTCGAACTTGACGGGTTTACGCTTGTAGAGAACCTGGAAAACAATCAGCACACGCTCCTGTACAGAACGCGACCCAAACTATACCATGGTGGTTTGATCCCTAGCTCATGTAGCCCGTTCGACGTCCACGGTACCGCGTCGCAAACTTCGGAAGTGTCGCGACAATCGAAGCGCGCCGATTACCTCTGCTCGAGGTAATTCGCGGTAAGAGGTGGGGGCAATGGCCCCTCTGTAGGCAGTTGATCAATTGTCTGTCTCTACGCGCCAGGAAAGGTGTTTCGAAATCGTCGTCGCAGTCTTCGGTGGTCCGAGTAGCGTTCCGAGACGCGTCGATCAGTTCCGAGAGCGCGTCCAGGCGACGTGTTGGTGGGTTCGTGGATGGTAAGAGCGTGGTAGTCGGGAAGTTGTGAGGTAGGGTGGAGAGGATTAGTCGAAGAGTAGTCAATGGGGGAGAAAAGCGAGCGGAGGGTAGTGGAAGAGGCCCGTAGTCCCTTGGCACTAGTTACCATACTTGATTTGGCAAGGACTGCCTTCGCACCCTACCACCCACGCATCAAAGCTACACACCCCACTACCATCAAAATATCAACATATTTGGACTCTTTCGAATCGTAGCAATGAGCTCTATCATGCTGCGATATGCATGCATCAGTTTATTCACTTGCTGCAAACCCTGTGCATTATCAAGTTCTGTGATAATCGGTCATGAAAAGCTCATGCCTCGAGCCACCCCGAGCAAACCCTTGGGGGCAGCCTGACCCACTTGCTCAGACACACCAACTTGAACAACCCTACCCCAACATTTAGCCGCACGTTAGAAGGCATAATATTGTATGTTGTATCAAACATCATCCTGGATATCTTCACAGTATCAAGTTTACCCAGGAGTGCTTGTTCACTACCATGCTCGCACTGCCGTTATCATGGTTCCCATTTGCAGCACTGGTAGCAAGCGTGCCATACCCTTAGAGTATCCCAAGCATCCGCGAGACTCTCCAAAGTGACCCAACAGACAGAGCTCGTTCCTTTTGAAGGCCACCACTGGGCCGCATGCGATTGCACTTTCGACAAGTGCTGATCAAGAAGATATTCAGACGACAAATTTGCCACATCCAGAGGAGCTTACTTCCCAAGTCATGGAACTAGCAAGAGCTATCTTCTAGACTTATTGGATACTTATGCATCTACAAATCAAAGTAAACTACCAAAAAGCCGACCCAGCTGCCCACCACTCCGACGGCTGAATACGAACTTGTGAACATGAGCGGCAGGAATTCATACCGAGAACCAAACACCAGGCCGTGAACCAGTGAGCAATATGCAATCAAAGGTATCGAAAGGGCGATGTAAAGCAGGGAGAAGCGATCAAGTAAAAAGATCCTAGGCTTGGGTGAACTATTGTATGTTAGCGGAGACCTGAAAGAAAGGACAGGTTACCTACGCAGGAGCTAGCCTATCGAAGGCGATAAGGAAGAGTACGAGCCAGAAGATAGTATAGACTGTCTTCACAGGGAACTCGGCTGCCGTGTAGAGGAGAGGAAAGAGGGATACATGACCAGCGACAGCCAAGGGTCGGAAAGCGCCGAAATATCGACGATCCTGGAGCGCTATCAAGCTAAATGGGATTATCACGAGCAAGATTGCCTTCTCGTGGACATGCCAGCCGAACAAGAAAGACGCGTAGCCACAAAGCGTTACAGCACCAATGAAGGCCTCCCAAGTAGGTTTGTACAAGAGGCGCAGGAGGACGGGCTGGATGACGTTAGTTCAACCGATCACCCAGGGTATAGATACACGTACTATTTGTGTTCCAAGAGTAAGAAGGAAGCATATCAATGGGTCTATGTCCGGAAGTACTGCGAAAGACGTGTCTCCCACAAGCCCTCGAGTGACGCTATTGACTGCCTCTTGGTCAAAGTGCAGCCCAAGGCGCGGGGCCACTGGCAGTGTTAGCTTGATACAACGTGGTAGTGGGAAGCTGCATACGGTGAATTAGGACTCGGTCAGAGAACGAGTATATCGCCCAGACGTTCGGCGCCCAGTAGGCATGACACAGACCTCGCGAGAATGGGAACAGGCGACTAAACACTTGCCCTATCTGTCCCCACATCGCGAAGGGGCCAAAAGCGGCAGCGAAGACAGAGACGATACCCACGCCCAATTTGATGCAATTGAAGAATCGTATAGTGAAAAGGGGGAACGACGACCGCTGCCCCAAGCAGTAAGCGCGCAGAAGATAGACAAAGTACGCAGGCGCGAGGTACAGGTAGATGTGCTTGAGACACAAAAGCGCTGCAAAGAGCAGACCAGACAATAGGAGGGTCGAGTTGTTGCGAGCCAAGACCATAGAGAGGACCAAGAGGCCGTAGAGGAAACCATTATACTGGAAATGGACATGGTCGATTATCAGCAGTCCTGGTGACAGTAGGACAGAGAGTGCAGCAGCATGAGCAGTGACTTTGGACTTCGACGTCTTCACATAGCTGGCGAGCATTTAGTAACGGACAGATCAAGTAGGGTGGTGTGTAAGTACAGGTGCAACGCGTAGACTAAGACGAGCTCGGTAACAATGACTGTAGTACGCTGGAAGTATACGGTCTGCCAGCTGTTGTAACCAAGATCTTTTACATTGAGCAGACCGGGATCAACATAGGGTGCAGCTTGAGACATTAGCCATTCAAAGTAGGCGAAGAACGGCGGATAGTCCAAGGTCCATTCAGACGTTTTCTGGAGCGTGTTAGAATGAAACTATTGCGTGGCGCTGATGACATGGTTGTCTGACTTCGTAATACCACTCCTTGATGGGTAGGGAATGCGTTAGAGCAAGCCAGTTACGATGAACCTCGAAGTCGGTCGACTTACTGCCGGAGATGGTCAGCCATGACGAGGACGCAGACTTCAAAATTGTGCAGCAAGACATACTAAGCAGGGAAAAGCAGCACCTTGAGCGCTGTGGCCACGACGGCGCACTGCGCAATGGACGGAGACAGCTGTGCCATGGGAGAGTTGACAGCGGGTTGATGCATGATCGTCGGAAAGCACAGATTGACCAGTCGCTCGTAGTCGGACGTCACGTGCTCGCTTAGGGATGATCCCTGTCCTCCAGCACCCGTGGTCTGCGTATCTACCGAACACGGTCAACCTTGGAAAGAACAGCATACGCAAACGTCATTCTAGAAGTCAGCAAACCCTCAGGGGTAAGCATGACACACGTGGAGGTTTCGCATGATGGCGTTTGACATCTGATACCCCGAAGACGGAGCGCTCCGTGTTTGTTCCACACATGGCGAACGTTCGCAGTAGTATACCCCGGAGCCAGACCAGACGGAAACGCTCAGTACGGCTTGCTGAGACGAGGCGATGGGCAGGCTGGCACTAAGGGCTATCCTTACGCCTGGAACTGGAGCCGCCGCAATACGATCTGGACCCTTTCGTGTTCGCGTGACAAACGAAAAAAGGGACCCGTCTTAAGAGCAGCACTATCAGGCGGCTCGTCTAGTCAGGGACGGAAGTGTGCATATCTGCAATTACCCGTTGGCCGCATCTGCTGGAGGATACCGAGCTGCGCCGTTGGTAGCACAAGACCATGTACGCCAGGCACGGGGGCGCGTCGCTGCACGAAATACCACGCCGCCTAGCACAGGCGTCTACGGGGCCAGAGAACTGCAGGGCAGCGGTTCGTGGCGACGGTGGTTTGCACGATTCAGACGTGGCCTGCGCGTTTAAAATGGGCGGTGCGCTAGTCGTCCGCTTTGGGCTGCCTCATTTGCGGCTGCCTCCTAATGTGCCCTGCTAGTTAGCATTTCTCACCGACCTCTTTCTTCTCTCCTCCGCTCCGACTTCAGGTCGCATCCCTCTTCTTCGATCCCCTTCGTTCATTATCTCCTCTTCTCCCCGCATCGAGGCTCCCGGCAAAGCTTGCTTCTTTGCACTTCATTTTTATTGTTCGCTCTTTTGGTGCACGCATCCTCAAACAAGCCAAGCGAGTTTGTTCTTTGGCAACTCTGGCCCACGGCATTTAATTGCGCCTCCGCTGCGTCCACTGTGCAAGCCTGCGACAGTACTCTTCTGGACCTCTGTGCCTGCATCCTTTAGGCTCCGATTGCCTGCGTTGTGAGCGTGTCTTGTATTGTTAGACCTGCAAACGACTCGTTGCCATTGTGCTTTTGGAAGTACGTCTTCTCCAATGCGTCTTCCCTGCCCTGAAGCTAATGTCCCCTAGAACGCTCTACATCTTGTAATACAGCAGCATCTTCGCAAGCCCGGCGACCTCTCTGCAACCGGTTGCAACTTCACCTTCTGCCATACATATTTCGCCGTCCGGTCCAACGAGTCCCGGACGCAATAATACACCTTCACCACGGCGGTTCTATCTCAAAACGCGCGGGACAGCTTCAGTCTGCCTCCGCACCTCCTCGGTATGCAGCAACACGACGGCGCCCCGAACGCCCCCAGCGGTCCCCGTCTACAGTCGAGCTTCCACAGGCAGATGAACGGCGGTCACCACGGCTTCTCTCACGGCGCCTTCGCTACGAACCAGCCCGGCTATGGCGACCGACACCCGGAGAGGGCGAACAACATGTCCATCAATACCGGCAGACTCAACCCTGGTAACCAGAACGGCAACGATTTGCAAACTCCAGGAACTGGTTTCGACATGAACTTCACCCCTCTGCTCCCTTCGCAGTTGCTCCTCGGTAGCCCCTTCCAGCCAGGCTCGCCCTCGGCCTTCGCTTCCCCGCAGTTTCAGAACTTTGCACAGTTTGCTGGCCAGAATCAGTCTCAGCAACAGAACCACCAGTCCAATCAGATGGGAAGCCCCTTGCAACAGCCTCTTTCGCCGCAGCTGTACCAGAATATGGTTTCTCCCACCAGTGGCTTTTTTGGTGGACCCCAGTCACCTACTGGAGGTTTCCCTGGTTACGGCGCGCAGGGTCTCGGTGGACTCGGCTCCTCAATGCCGATTGCTCCCGGTCTTGTGTCCGGAACTAGCAGGACTGTATATTTGGGCAACATCCCTCCTGAGACTTCTGCGGAGGAGATACTCGGCCATGTACGCAGTGGTCAAATCGAGTCCGTCAGGCTTCTGCCAGACAAGAACTGCGCATTCATCTCCTTCCTGGACAGCAGCTCCGCCACCCACTTCCACTCTGACGCCATTTTGAAGAAACTGTCAATCAGGGGTCAGGACATCAAGATTGGATGGGGAAAGCCGTCGCAGGTTCCCACATCTGTGGCCTTGGCTGTGCAGCAATCGGGCGCCTCTCGCAACGTCTACCTGGGTAACTTGTCCGAAGATGTTTCTGAGGACGAACTCCGCGAAGACCTAAGCAAATTTGGTCCCATCGATACCGTCAAGATCGTCCGGGAAAAGGCCATTGGTTTTGTTCATTTTTTGTCCATCGGAAATGCCATCAAGGCTGTGTCTCAGCTTCCCCAGGAGCCAAAGTGGCAAGCGCCTAGGCGCGTATACTACGGCAAGGATCGGTGCGCTTACGTTTCGAAGACCCAGCAGCAGAACGCCGCGCAGTACCTGGGTATCGCGCCTGGCTACGCTCATGTTCTGAATGGTGCGGATCGCGACATGATCTCCAATGCTCTTGCTCAGCAATCTGTCGCTGCCGCCGCGGTCGCGACCTCTGCTGGTGGTGTGAACAACTTGGGTAACCGAACAGTTTATCTAGGTAACATTCATCCCGAAACCACCATTGAGGAGATCTGCAATGTTGTGCGCGGTGGTCTTCTTCATCACATCAGGTATATCCCGGATAAGCACATTTGCTTCGTTACTTTCATCGACCCCACATCGGCTGCCTCCTTCTACGCTCTTAGCAATCTCCAGGGACTTATGATCCACAACCGTCGTTTGAAGATCGGATGGGGTAAGCACTCTGGTGCTCTCCCGCCTGCGATCGCCCTTGCTGTCAGTGGTGGTGCCTCGCGTAACGTCTACATCGGTAACCTAGATGAGTCCTGGACCGAAGATCGCTTGAGGCAGGATTTCTCGGAGTACGGCGAGATCGAGCTGGTCAACACCCTGCGCGAGAAAAGCTGTGCATTCGTCAACTTCACCAACATTGCCAATGCCATCAAGGCAATTGAAGCGATCCGTGGCCGTGACGAATACAAGCGATTCAAGGTCAACTTCGGAAAGGACCGATGCGGTAACCCTCCTCGTCAGATGAACAGCCAGCAGGCCCAGGCCCAGCAAGCCGGTAGCGATGGTCTCCAGTCACCATCGCCTATCAACGGACTGCATCCCAACCGTGCTGGTGCTTCAGTCTCGCCGACTGGCTCTGGCGCACCAGGCTCTGGCCAAAGCACTAACGGACAATTCCCTTCCGTTCAAGCACCGGCTTCAGGTAACATCATGAACTCCGGCAACAACAACCCTCTCATGATGTACCTACAAGCTCAGCAACAGCAGCAGCAGCAACAACAGGTTGAGGCCAGCATGCAACAACAACAGCAGCAGCAGCAGCAGCAAAACCAGCAGCAATCTTTCCAGTCGCCGCAAGCTGCTTTCTACAGCGCCGACCTGAACACTCCTCAACCGCACCACTCTCATAGCTCCCATCAAAGCACATCGAGCTTCAGTCTGATTAACGGTACGTCAGCTGGTGGCTCTGGTGCTACTACCGTTGGTGGCCTCCTCGCGCCCTCGAACCTCAACTCGCGTGGTCAACACTCTCGCGCTGTGAGCCTGCCCGCTTTCACTCAGGGCCCCTTCAACCACTCCATGCAGCAAACCCAAGCACCTCAGCAGGGCTCTTTCGGTAGTCTAAGCTCCGGTATCGGTGGCTTCGGCAGCGGCAACGGCGGTTACGGTCTTGCCATCCAGGGTGACGGTGGTCTCCCTGGCTGGGCAGAAGAAGAGGTTGGTGCGCAGTAAGCCTAACCTGGATGTCGTGTATCTTCTTCATTGTGCGATACTTACTCTTCATCTACTGGCTGGTTATTACTACTACTCCCTTCTTTCGCCTTCCCAGAAATTTCCTTTTGCATATGTCTGGTCTAGGGTTATGGCGCGAGCTCATCAAGCTTTGGGGATCGATCTTCAACTATGTGTTGTAATCTGAATGTGCGCAAGATGTTGCCTTAATACTTGATCTTAACACCTTCGCTTTCTTTTCTTACTTCTTTGCCCTTTTACGTTGCTGTAGTTTAGATACCTGTAGGGATACCTAGGGACTTGGTAGGAGGCAATGAGACTAGACGGTCGTATGAGTGTCTAGGCAGGGTAGGCCTGGCATATAGTCAATCAAACTGTAAAACTATCATGATCCGCTTGCATGCTACGCTATATTAGTGCGTGTCGCGTCACACCTGTTGCCACGTATCCATCTCAAGCTCTCACATTGGGTATCTGATGATAAATGATGTCATGCAAACATTCGCTCAACCACGCATGCGCAGAGCATCGCACCACATGCGCACCGTTGCCTCCTGCTCCTGGCCCTTCTTGCTCGTTGTATTTGAAGCCATCATCACTTCCCTGATCTCTGACCGACCCAGATCGCGCCCATCTTTGATCCTACTCCAGCAGTCGCGCACCACCGCCTGCGCATACTCAATGTCGACTTCCTCTTCATCGACTTCCATCGCTGTACCATTCTCCATTGTGCCATAGCCTGAGTTCATGTTGCCATCCGTGTCCTCAGCGCCCAACGTTGTGCTAATGCAGACCACGACGCCGGGTGATGAGATAGCGCCTGACTGCGGTCCTTCACGAGTCGCTCGTAGCTCGCCGATTTGTATTGAACAGAGGCCCCCGCTATACGATGCCCCCTCTCGCACAGCGAGTATGTGTCTCGGCGTCCACAGAGCGGAACACTGATATCGCAGTACTGAGGCATGTGCGTCTTGTTGTCGCAACGGTATCGACGTCATAGTCTCTTGTTGCGCTAGCGGTTGTGCAAAGACATATGTGCGGTTCGGCGAGAGGCTCGAAAGGTGGAGGAGGTGCTGGTATGAATGTGCGTATGGCTCTGGTTTACCGTCTGCACCCGCAGGTGCCTGGTAACCCGGAGGTATGGTATCGCGAAATGCGCGGTATGATAGCGACCATGGTGTTTGCTGTCGTGTGGTGCTTTGGAAGCTGGTCTCGATGCCTTGGATGAGGGTGTTGACGATAGCGAGAGAGGCGTCGATGGTAGTGGAGGGGTTGGAGACGAAATATAGCCTACAATATTAATTCTGTGCGAACATCAGATGTATGAAAGGTGAAGGATTACCCGCTATATTTCATCTTGTCTATGTTGCAGTGTGTCAGAGATAAATCCGCTATACGTAAGGTAGAAATGGGTGGATCCGTCGGGTTTAGACTATCGCATTTTTGTGTAGACTCTATGAGTGAGTGGCAGAAAATCTGCAAGGAAGAGCGCACATAGCCGTGTTCGTGACCAAGGGTGCCAAAATCTGAAGTGAAGATGCGATGAGTGACGCGACGCAACCTGGGAAGCTCCCACGCGGGTGGGGCAACTTTTAGCGCGTCAGCGACAACAGCTCTTTCTCATACCACTAGTGACAACATACCCTGAATCCGCTCGCCTTGTTTCTACAAGCTTGTCAACAGAACCTAAAGGGAAAAAGACCTCCACGGCGCTTTCTCATGTCTGTCGTAGCTGGTGGCAAACAAGCGTCTTCCTGTATCCCATCCTGACAGAATTCTACCCTGAACTCGCGATTTGCGGAGCTACGCATATATACGGTACGCGAGGTCCTGTCGATGCTCAACTCTACAATGTTACCCATCACTCGTTCCGAAACCCAGAGTGAGTTGCCCTGGAAGTATAGTAGAGGCCCCGGACTGAAGTCTGTACCCGGAACGTTGATGTTGGTTGTCATAGTGCTGTCGAACATCGTCAAGTCCAGCCTATCTTCGTTGACTATTTGGCCAGTTGTATTAGTCTCCTTCCAGCATGTAATGCCGGCGCCTGGAAAGTAGGCGTCAATCAAGATTCCGTACTCCGCATTGTAACGGTCGTTGATGTACTCTACCCAAGAGTCCCTGAATGGTCCAAAGTCCGCCGAGCCAGACGCAGCACGCCCAATCCGATTTCGTTCGGCCAGTACGCTGGCCCACTGCAATGGGGTCATCAGTCGCCACTGCGCAGAGATGAAAAGTGACGCTAGCAGAAACTTAATAGTCTGCCAGTCTCCGAGGTAGGGCCTCAGTGTGGGCATCCAGCCTTCCTGAAGATTTGGTGGAAATCGACCCAGTGACACACCTGCAGAGACGACGTTGCTCATAGCCCGAAGGAACCGCAAGGGATCATTGGAGTCTTCGAGGTCAATACCAAACTGCCTGCGGATATCTTCGGTTCCTGTAAGCGGTCCAAGCATACCTTCAATCGTTGTACCCATGAGATCAAAGACAGTCTTGATTACATAACTCGAGTCAACCCCAAGCTCCGGATCAAATTCGTCGTCAATACTAGGGCCTACGAATTGAACCACGGTTTCCTGTGCCGGGGGCTGGAGAGAACAGACTGCACGACAGATTGGGCATGTGTTCGGGAAGGCTTCGTCATGCAGCCACCGATCCAGACACGACCCATGGAAGACGTGGCCGCATATCGTCCGAATGACGGTATGAGTATCGGGACTCCAGGCATCTCTGCAGATGGGACATTCCGGATCATCTGAAGGGCGCGACGGCTTGGCGTGGCTAAAAAAATACTGCTTGCGCGACTGTGCTGGAGGGTGGTTCATATTGACGGAGGCTTGATCCATAGTGCGGTGTTGTTCAACTGTGTTGTACAGTGATGTATGGCGAGGAATGATTCAATTTAATAACGGATCTCCAGCCTTTTGAGGATGAAGTGACACCGCTCGCACACAGTGCGACTGCGCATATTTCACACATCATCGTGTGGGATGTGGTTCACCACATAAGTCGCCAGTCCATACATTTTGACGCAGGTAATGCGAAGGTATTCTTAAGAAAATGCCGGGCGTTGAAGTGAAAATTGAAAGTTTGTCATCGATGATAAAGTCTCTATCGTGGCTTCTACTAGACGCCGATGTACAGATAAAGACACGATAGCAGTAGAAATGCACTCAGGCAATGCTTCTGCTGAGGAACTTATTCTCGCTCAATCCTACATGCAGGTTTTGTCCAGGAATAAGGTCTTCTACCAAATATAGGGTGAATGTCAAGCAGCTTACCTGTTGAACAACCAGTGCACCGCCTTGTTAATGCCATAAATACCTTGGGTCTTTATATATTGCGCAATGCCATGGATGGTTTTGATAAACTAATGATTGACATATTGCGATGCATTTCGGTCCACCGCTCTGGTTATTTTCTATTTACTGATCAAAAGATGCTCGTAATAGCGAGGACGCCACGAAAAGATTGGCATCTTTCCAAAATTCGCTGTAAAGTCGTTTCATTCCAGGCTTTGGATGCTACAATGAATTGGCAGGATTCGATGTCTACATTGATCTGTCCGTGATCGCCCTTTGATCATATGAACTGGCCTTGGTGATCTAGAAGATCTACAAGGCTTCTGCTGAGTTCGGTCAAAGCTGGTACGGAAACGTAGTCGATCCTAGATGATACGTAGCTCGCGGTGTCCGGTTCCCAGGGATAGCAAGAACATGGATGTGGATCGAGAGTATGAATGCATTCGGCTGCATCTCGTGTCTCATTGTGTCTCGAGCAGATTACTCATCTGTGCCAGTCGCACACATCAACGCATTGAACTTGGAGTCCAGGGCTCTCAAACGCGCATCTCCTTCAACACATCTCAACACCAACGCGCAAGCCGTCTGCTAAGTGCAGCGATGCAAGCTATATCTATTGGCATGCAAGCTTTCGGATGATAGGGCGACGAGCTTAACTTTTTGTAGGGCTGTATGGTCTAACATCTAACAGCTGTCAGTGTTCGGAAATTTAACGGGATGATCCTGTCAGCAATCTCGTGTTTTTGTATCTTGCGGAGTAATTACCAGTCCCTCGGTTCAGCCTCCAATGCACCTCACGCCCCCCATGTACTGAAGACTGGCACTGCATAGCACTAGCCACACGAAAGTACTGCAGCTCCGTCGTGCGTCATGATTTCCGTAGACCCAATACGCTTTCGGAAGTTGATATCGCAAGAGCGGGGATTAATGCTCGAATGCTCGATAGGACGCATCGGCACCGCGCACTTCGCGCCTGCCTATTCTAGCGTAGAAAGACCGGCTAGCGCCTGAGGCTTGTGAAGCTTCGACAACTCCACGAAGCTTCGCGGTCAGTGTTACAGCGGCCGACTGTCCAATCTCTTACCTGGTAGTGTAAGAAACAAGCGCTTCACTACCATTGCGCCGAGATGCATCCACAAATGTGGGCACTCTACCATCAAAGCGACCCTGTATTGCCCTGAACCCCCAATGCCGTTCAGGATACGATCGTCAATCGCTCAGAGTACCAAGCACACCACGGCCTTCCTCTTCGAGCATACGTGCATGCATGGTGCCCCATTACTCTTAATCTAGTTCCCTATCATATCCGCCTCGCCTATTCGCCCGACCGTCGTTTGCCTTGTTCTACATGGGTCTAGCAATGACAAGTACAGGGTAGCGCCTGCAGCTATGATGTCTTCTTTCTCGGGAACACGCAAGTTCACTACCTGGTCCGCGGTACAAGCTGTGCAGCTATAAAGTGGTGGAGTTCGTGCGACTGCAGCGAGAGTACGGTGAACCTGAGATCTTTGCCTCCAGTTCTTGTCGTGTTGTCTGGGTTGAAAGTATGGCTTCCCTCTTCAATGCCGTCGCGGGTCTCTCGCTAGCCTCAGTCGCGCTATCGTCGCCTGTTGCACCTCACATTCATACGCGGCACTACAACGCGACAAGTCCCTGCGCACAAGTCGGCACTGCGATTGTAGGCAAGAATGTTACTGCAGGTACCGCAATTGTACCTGCTGAACTCGCATGGGACTGCATCAACTCCGTCCCATTCAACCAGAGCGCTGCTCTCGCCCTGGTAGACGGTGTGGTTCCATACTTTAAATGGCAGAGTAACACCGTCTGGCTGAAGGACCCTCCAGCTGAATACGCCGAGAAAGTGCAGCCAGCGGTTGATATCTGGGGCGAGCTCGAGGAGATCAGGGAGAAGGTCAACGCAGGGGAGTACAAGAACGAGTACGAAGTAAGTCATCTCCCTCCTCATTATGAAGAGTATGAACTGATTCAGAATAGTTCGGTTTCGAGCTCTACACCCTCTTGCAAAGCACCCATGACGGTCACTTTGTGTACGTCCCCGATGTTGTCGGCACGGTCTTCAACTTCGCCCGTCCTGTACCACTGGTATCCGTTTCGAGCGACGGAAAGGAGCTTCCCCGGCCTTATGTCTATGCTGATGTCCTGGCCGAGTCTTTCGGTAACGCTACCTTCACGCCTTCGCCTATTACCCACATCGATGGCGAGGACGCCAAGGACTTCCTGGAGAACTGGGCTCAGTACGGTTCCCTCCAGGACCGAGACGCGTTGTACAACAATGTCTTCTACGAGCTCGCAACTGTGTCTCTCGGCCCAGTTGGATCTGGTATCGGAACCTTTGCGGGATCTGGCCGCGGTCGCTGGATTTACCCTGGTCCTACCACCGAGCTTACGTTTGAAAACGGTACCAGCCGTACGTACGACAACTTTGCCAAGGTTCTGATCCCCTTCGAGGGCATTACCGACGGAGAGAGCCTCTACAAGCTCTGGTTCACTGGCAACCAGCCTGGAAGCCAAACCACAGCTTCCAACTCTACCTCGGCAACTCCTACACCCTCAGCCACTACCTCTGCTACACCTGTTCCCACAATCCCCGCGCCGGGATACCCGCCTCCAGTCCTTCGTGAAGCACACAACTTGATTGGTGGTTACTTCCTCGAGGGTGACTACTCAGATGTTGCCGTACTTTCCGTGCCATCTTTCGTCGGAATTGACGCACAGGAAGCGTTCCAAGATACTGCCGCCAAGTTCCTTGCCCAAGCCAAGTCTGCTGGAAAGAAGAAGCTCGTCGTTGACGTTTCAGCCAATGGCGGAGGTACCATCTTGCTCGGCTACGATCTGTACAAGCTCCTATTTCCGCAAGACATTGACCACGCGGCTGCTGACCGCTATCGCGCCTTCGAATCTACAGAGATCTTGAACCGAAAGTTTTCTGAAGCCGCCGCGGGTGTACCGCGTGTGCTTGACAGCAAGAACGAAACACTGGAGGATCTGGTCAACAGTGTTGTGTCCTCGGTCTTCAACTACCGATCTGATCTCGATGTCAACAGCGAGAACTTCGAGAGCTGGCAGGACAAGTTTGGCCCTGGCCTCGAGCAGAAGGGCGACAACTTTACCAACCTCTTCCGGTGGAACCTCAGCGACGTACTGACCCCACTCAACTCTGGTGGTATCTACATTCACGGCTATGGCCCACTTTCCAACTACACCCAGGCTCCTTTTGCCGCTGAGGACATCGTCGTCGTTACCGATGGATACTGCGCGTCAACTTGCACTATCTTTTCTGAGCTCATGCGTCAGCGTGCTGGTGTCAAGTACATCTCACTGGGAGGCCGCCCTCGCGAGGGTATTACGCAAGCCGTGGGGGGTGTAAAAGGAACAAACAATTTCCCGTGGACCTACATACAATCTCTGGCCCAATACACCGTCGATGATCTATCTACGCCTGAAGAAGGCGCTCAGCTCAACAAGACGGAACTAGGCGAGTACTACGATGACACACCCTTTATCCGCGCTTCCAACAATGCGATCAACGTCAACTTCCGCGATGGTATTCGCGATGGAGACGAGACCGACACCCCTCTCCAGTTCGTCTACGAGCCCGCGGACTGCCGTATTCTGTACACCAAGGCTATGACTGTCGATGTAACTGCTATTTGGAAGGCTGTTGCTGATTCAACCTGGGGCGGTGTTAGCCACTGCATTGCCGGAGACCTCGGTGGTTACTCAACATCCCGCATGGCGAAGCGTGAGCTGAGCGTATCCGAGAGGGCGCACAGCAAGAGGATGCAGTCTTGGAGGAGGGACCTCAAGGCGGCTGATTACCCGCTTGATGTCAGGACTGATCTGACCGGCATGAACTTCGATGGCAATGGCATGATGTGGCCGTAAATTACGGCTTGTCGACATGATAGAATGAGGGCAATCATGCATCTAGAGACGAAATGAATATCGTAGTCTTCATGCACCAAATTTTGGACCTGTGACATATGTTGTAATAGCACATGCAATGCTACCTGTGCGTTGAGAACAATTGTCTTGCTTGAGTCGAAGCATGCGGAACTTGTTTCACTTTGATATTTCAGTGTGAATATGCTAAAACTACGAAGGTTACTCAAGTCAGTAGCCTTTTGAGATGGTGAAAGAACTGGGACTAACATGGACCGGAAAGGTGATGGCACAGGCAACTACATACTGCTTCCGGCCTGCCATGCCAAACCTTTACTCAGCCATGTGATGGTTTCGCTTCAGTGGCGTCACGCGCTTGCCATTGAAAGTTCATTTTGGGTTGCTTTGAGGTGGATGTATCGAGTGACGCATCTAGTCATACGATGGGGACGATTGCAGTGTTGGGATCGATTCTGACCTACCGTCCAATGGTTGCTACGAAGCTGAACAGAGGCCAACTTTCATCATCTGGAAGCTTACCTTTGAACACAGTCGCTTGACTGTCCAAGGATCCACCAAGACGGTCAGTTTTAGTGTCGTCTGAACACTCATTCCCGCCCTGTATCTCGTTGAACATGACCTCACGAGCATGAACGGAAATGCGGACCGGTTCGATACCTTGCAACTGGACAAGGCAACTACCAAGGCGATAGCTGTCTCTGGAGAGTAACCATATCGATGCTCCCAACTGGGTTCATCGGCGCAGAATATACAGAAACTCTGAAGCAAGATACTGAGGGCTCCGCGGTGCCTCAACGCCAGGTCCAATAATTGACCTCTCCGAAAGCGGAACGTTGGGGACAATGCGTCGGGAAAAAAGCTATCCGCAAGAACAATTAAGCTGCCGTCGATAGGCGTATACTGCTTTTGAGAACGACGACCCTACAGTTCGTTGGTCGTCATGGCTACACCTTCGCTATGTTTAGAATGTGGTGCCTGTGGAAGTCATGCTTCTAGTCTTACTTTTACCGTTGCTTCTGTTATCAGCGCATAGAGCAGATGAAGAAGAAAAAACATCCGAAATTTTGCGTAGTACGATCTCCAGCGATTTTCTCCGATGCAGCAGAGGGAACGCACGTGTGCTTTTACCTCCGGTGTTACAAAAAGCGGCAGAAGGAGAAAACCACTAGCGTGGGGTGCTGGATGTCGGCATTGCAAGCCACATTGACGCAATCGATCGATCTGACTACTCCTACACCACAAAGCCACATCGTGTGTTTTTCTCGGGGGCCGGGGCTGGGTGTCAGCGGGGTGTGGTAGGGGTTTATCTCCCCTATTACACATGAGCTTCCTGATATCGCGACCTGCGGCACGGCATCGAGCAGATGCAACGGCTCTGCCGTTTCTCCGGTGTTTGCTCTGCCTCTCCGTAGGAACGTGGTTAGTATTGCTAGCCAGATAAGGTGATCCTCAGGTGTCAACCCGATCGCACGTAACAACGCATGAGTAGCCTGCTATATAGCGCAGTACGGAGGAGCCTACGTCTTTTCGGCCACCGGGGTAGGAAGGGTCTAGACGCAACGATTAGGCCAAAAAGCAGGTTCTCTGCGAGGCTTCATCGCGCAACGGTTATAGCGAAGTCAGTTTTTCTCCGTGTGCATTTTGGCATGTGTCGGGTAGCTCCATGCCGGCGGTTGGCTTTTGCATCGTTCGATGCCCTTTCGAGCGGGGCCGCGGGCCTTAGTAATTTGCACGTCATCGTCGATGTTCCAGAAAAGCACATGCGGGTAATCTACCCGCGCATATGATCTACTCAAATGTTTACGTTGACCATCGCTCATGTCATGTTGATCCGATTGCGGTTCCACAGAAAACCTGACAGGCAATACATGCACGCGGGTCGCACGTTTAACGACCAAGGGCCTGGGAGGAGAGTGCACGGTGTACGGGAGAAAGCTTGCAAAGCCCATTGCGCACGGGAGATCTTCGATGTGGGCTTGACATCGTCGATGTGCAGGTGGCAGGCGTTGTGTCAAGCTAAGGCTGACGCTAGTAGAAGCAAAGGCCGGGGTGGCGTTGAAGGCGGAAATACGGGGAGTGTGACCTAATGGTTGTTCCTTGGGAATAGATGGTTACGCCCGCGGCGAGTATAGCGGGATTGGCAGAGCGAAACGGCGTTTTGTGGAGCACGCAATGTGTTTACTATGATGATATGCGTCGTTGGACATGCGCGGATGACGGTGGATGTCCGAGTAGCTTTTTCCCCCCAGCCGGGACAGCTCTCTGCGGTTGCAATCGGTGATGAGCTGATACGGATAAGGAACCTTATCACTGAACCTAAGTGATCACCGAGCCACGCACATGTCAAACAGCCCAGGAACCTTGGTTCAGCAAGCCTCAGAGCCATCTCAGCCAACAGTAGATATCGGTCCTTGATCCGTTGTACGGAGTCAAACGGTACTTTTGCTTGCGCGGTCACCATCTTCGATCCCCAAACTATGACTCCGTGACCCCCAATGTATTCTCTTTTCTCGATTAATCTGCAACGGCACCATCAAGGCGAGCAGTTGAGAAAAAGTCAAACACTGTACACGGTTCATGCAAACTCTCCGCGCATCACGCGTCTGGCGTGGCATCGACCAGCTATCGCATTTTCAACAAACCGATACCCACAATAAAAGCCGTCGAGATCAGCGTGCCCTGCATCGTGCCTGGCGCACGCCATCGAGCGATGTCATCCCGCCCCCTTCGACTCCCCTGCTTGAAACAGCATAGCGCTTTCGTGGAAAAAGAGGAGAACAGTAGATCCTATGAATATCCGGTCGAAATGTAAAATCCCATGCATGAGTAAGTAATCCACACGCCTGGATGACAGCGGGGGAGCGTGTCCGCGGAGGACCGAGGTAACCAGGGAAACATTCCCCAAGCTATGTTTGACTTGAGACGTTGTTTGGGTGATGGCACCACGCGCGAGGATGTGCGTTCGGCGTGGTTAACGTGATCCGCGTCGGATGTTGGTTTTTCGAGATAGCAGTCACAGGGCACTTCTCGTGCCCAACAGGTCAAGTTCAGATTGGCAGTTCACGCTAAGTTAGTTGCGGGACTAGCGGGGAACGGATTCTGTGCACACGGGGGTTTTTTGTTTTCCGAAGATCGTCGGATCGCATTTTGCTGTGTATTAATGGACCTTGGCCGACACGGCGCTGCACTGCAAATGGAATAGGGGGACGGGGAATATTGAAGCGGCAAATAAACCATCACGATGCAATATTGGAAATGGCATGGTTGGAAAAATTGAATTTATGGGTCGGCGAAGTGCGCGACTGATGTATTGTACAAATGGGTATCACATGGTCAAATGCTCCTGCAGGCCAGCTGTTGCAGCGTAATAACGTGAAGACCAGCTCCATGATTTCCAACTCGTGGTGCGGTGGACCACACCAATAACTGCCCAATGTCCTCAGGACACGGGTGAATCCAGACAAGGCCAAAGTGCGCTACCGACTGGCCCAGAGGCCAATGTGCGGTGCATGTTGCTCGCTCGTGCAGAGCTCCACGGCCGGGGCTGGAAAGCAAAACGGCTCACGTGGCGTGGGTTGACAGCGGATGTCTGTGTATGCGTGCAGTAGTAATGAGACGATAATGGTAGCCGGTAGTCGAGATATGGACTAGGCGATGGGGTGTAGAGCGTGTTGGATGCTGGAGTGGGTTTCAGCCAGCACTGTAGCCAGTCATCCGTGCGCAGTGGCTGCAGTAGTAGCGGTTGGTGCCGATCTGGTACATGTTCGCCAGGCACTCGCGGCGGCAGCGGCAGCAGGAGAGCGTAGACGGCGAACCCATGCCCATGCTCGACGTGGAACTGTTGGAGCTGCTGGAGGAGGTGCTCGAGGTGCGCTGTTGCTGGATGGGCTCGGGGGCCGGGCGGTGGGCAGCCTGTGTTTGCAGCTGCAGGAGACGCGAGGCGTCTGAGGGGCTCGTCATGTAGAGAGGCGGCGCTGGGCGGAAGGCAAGCAGCGGGTTGGTCGGGTCTGAGGGTGTGTAGGGCTGGTAGTCGGAGACGGGGCTGTGCGAGGGAGTTTCCTGGGAGAAGTGGACGGCGGGCACGATGCTGAAGTAGCAGGAGGGAGCAGTGGGGAACGAGTCGGGAGTTAGGTGATCTGCGCTCATGGTCTGGCTTGTATGTGTTTGGAGTAGGACGACGGCGGGTGTGAATCACGCTGAGTACGTGGGATCGCGGTCGCCTATATGCTCGTACGGCCATCGAGCGATGGCAGATCGGCCAGTCGCAGGCCGTGTGCTGAGCGGACGGTGCGGCGGGCTGATTGGCGCGTGGCTGGGCTGTGGAACACGTCTGGCAACCATCCAAGACGCTGGGTCCGAAGTCCTTGCTAGGCCACAGCCAGGCTGAGACGCGCCCGCGCCGATCGGCCGGCTCGGTCTCGATCGTGGCTGCTCGAAGCCCCCCGCACACGGCCAATCCTGCCCGCCCACAGCATAGCGACGCCCGTCCATCGAGATCACGCTGCAATTCCATCGCCCACGACGGCCATCGCTCGATGGGGCTGCGTCTCTGCGACATGGCCTTTTCTGTCCCGCTCGCATTTGTCTCTGGATGAGATCACTCGTGCCATCGCCCGTGTTGCGTACGCGTCGCGGCGGCCTCGTCGCCGGTGCTGACTGTGTTTGTGCCTATACCTGAGGCTGTGCTGCGTACTGGTACCACCGCCGTCCGTGGTTCCCAGAGCCCTCCGCGTCCTCCGCAGTCCGCAGTCCGCAATCCGCAGTCCGGGCGCCAGAACCACCCGTCCTCTACTGTCCATCCAGGTACCATCACAACGCCAGCCCCATCGCCTCATCTACAACCACCCCAATGCGGCAGTTCCTGCAATAATCCATCGAAAGTAGCTCTTGACTGCGGACATTGCGACCGCAACCCTCGCAGCCTGTTGCTGCCCATCGTCGATGTCAAAGCGGGCCGTACCGCTGGCTGGCGGTCTAGATCATGGCCATGAACCCTCCTTGAGCCTGGGGGAACCACGCAACCTAATACATGCTTTCAAAGCCCTGCGTCGCCGATAATGAAACATTGCTGTTGCAAACTCTACTACACCTGTCTCGCCTATACCACTTCCTCCCTGCCACAACCTTCACAACTACCAATCTTCACACGAATAACATGCTCAACAGATGAATAGTCGCCAGACATATACGTCCTCTGTTTCAACACCCTACAATCACGCCGCTGCGCGATTGGCTCCGTCTACAAGCGCTTACGTTGTATTCGGAAATCTCCACCACCCCAGAATGCGAATGGGCACCTGCATACAGTGTGGCACGATGATCGACCCAGGTAACAGCAATAGCCTGCGGTAAACAAAACAGCTGCGCGAGCCGGATCTGCTACATTCCACTACATTCTACACAGGTACCAGCCCTGCATTGCCCTGTTGCAGACAAAGTCATGGTGGGCAACGGTCTAGACCCTTTGGCCATAGCTGAACGGCGCCCAAACAATCGTCGCCCTAAGACTCGTTGCACCCCATGACTGGATAGTCGCCACTTCGATCGCAGGCCAAAGAGGTAGAGGGGCAAATGGAGTCGTTTCTTTTGCTAGATCGAGACCGCCAAACTTGGTGGAGCTTGATCCTCCAAAAGCAACGTGGTCTCTCTGCGCTTTGTCCGGTCCTGCAATACCGTGGCTCTGCATGGTCTCAGCCAGTGATACGACCCGGAGCTTCGCCGCCAACATAGTCAGCTGAGGATCCTTCCGGAGCTTCCAGTCAACATAGTACGGCTCGGAAACCCAACGGAGTTCGCGACGTGTACCATATCAAGCAGGGCCACGTATGGAACCAGTCCAGTTCAATACCTCCAGTGAAGAGATGGCATGCACCAAGTCGGGCAGACAAGGCAACATAACCTTTCGAGTCTTGTTCGCGTGGCGATGCGCGACAGCTTCTAGGATCCCAATTCAGCTTACCTTGTTCTGCTTTCCTGTGACAAATGTATATTGCCCCTTGAAGACGCACAAATCAAGCTTCTCTGAAGGTAAGACCGTGGGCGATCTACAGATTTGAATAGAGAACTTCACATGTGGCCGTGGTTCCGTTCGTCACCAGTGGCTGAGCTGCGACTTCGAAGAGTACCTAGTACTGTGGATCTGCTCAATTTGTATCGCCCGCGTTTGATACCGAACCATAATCATGCGAGAAACCAGGTGCAGCGCCAGCACCTTGTGGTGGCTTTGTACATGTTAGATACTGAGAAATAGGCTTCATGCGAGCAAGCTCGGTTTTGTGTGCACTATGCCTAAGAAGAAACGTGTGGGTACACACTAAATATCTTGATACCAAGATCCTGCGGAGGTCTTCAGGAATGTGCTAGACACATCTCAAGAAATCCAGTTTTCTCTGATTCGTAGGTCCCTTCGAGCGTGAACCAGCCATGAGCCTAGAGCGTAAGGATCAGATAACCGATGCTAGAACATTCGATCTTGCATCCTCAACTGGTCTAGATGGGGGCTAGATACATCGTCAACATCGTGGGGTAAGACAGTCTTGGAATTGACGCAGCGCTGCAACCTTGGAATGAAGCAATGCACGTGATAAAGTCCAATGCGGGCTAGCTTGTGATGTTTTCTTGATGGTCCAGACAGCGCGTCATTGGCCAGTCCAACGGCGACGGTCATGTGCAATGTGCGAGAATACATAACTCCTGTGGATATTGATCCTTCTTCTAGTCATATTCCCTATGGCACCATGCCCTGTTGTCTGCTTTTCAATCACGACGCAAAACCGACCAAGGCCGAGCGAAATGATAGCTGCACGATTGGCTCAAAATGCACGTCGGTATCGAGGCCCGATCGTCCATGAGGTGACACCATAGGCACCCATTACCGCCATTTTTTTCGCCTTGTTCTGCTCCGTTTTTTCACGATCGTCGTACCGTTGCGCAAACGCTGCTCACGTCACTATCGTGGCAATCGTCACCGACCCGCCGCTGTCGAACGAAACAACGGCACATAGCTAGGTGCCCCACCTGTCTGAACCCCTCCATCGCGCGCCGACAAACTTCAACACACCAACTCTACACACACATCAACACCATGGGCAAGCCTCCGAATCTATACGCTTTCCAGAGCGCTGCCGAGCTCGCCCCGAGCCTGCGCACCTACGTGCTCGACGCCCAAAACGCTGCGCTCGAGCGCCACCAAGTTTTCCGCGTCGCCGTTTCTGGCGGCTCCCTGCCCAAGACGCTTGCCCAAGCGCTTCTCAAGGAGACCAATGGCGAAGGAAAGGTGCAATTCGACAAGTGGGAGATATTCTATGCCGACGAACGCGCGGTGCCTCTCGATCACGAAGACAGCAATCACCGACTGGTCAAGGAGGAGCTTCTTGACAAGATACCGTCTGAGCTAGGCACACCCAAGGTCTACCCAATCGACGTCAAGTACCTCGATGACGTACAAGAGCTGGCCGACCAGTACGAGAAGACGCTCGTCAGTGTGTTTGCCGCACGCGACAGCGTAAAGTTGCCACTCTTCGACCTGCTTCTGCTTGGCTGTGGACCGGACGGACACACCTGCAGTTTGTTCCCCGGTTCTGAGCTTTTGCGCGAAACCGAAGCATGGGTACTCTCCATCTCCGACTCTCCCAAGCCTCCCCCGAAGCGCATCACCATCTCCCTTCCCGTCGCGCAACATGGACTCAAGATCGCCTTCGTCGCGACTGGTGGAGGAAAGAAGGATATCATGCGCCAAATCTTTGATTCTGACGAGGGTCAGCAGCTGCCGTGTGGTTTGGTGAACCACAAGGGCGGAGACCGCGTTAGCTGGTTTGTTGATTACGCTGCTATCGAGGGTGTTTCTTTCCCAGCGCGCCGTGGTAGCCTGTGAGAACAGGGAACGGATTAGCTGTGCTTTCGTATGGGATGGACGTACGCGCCATTTCACGAAGTATGCATTGGTCGCTCACTCGGCTTAGATACAATAGATAACGAACTCTGACGATATTCCCATTCCATTCTTTGTTACTGGACATGCTCTTGCCATAGCTAGGGTTCTAGCCATATGTGGTGTTAGCGCTGTGGCCCGCGCTCATTGGATGTCAACAACCGGTGTTTTGTGTGTTTGTGCATGCCCGGCAACATCAAGCCGAGCTATCAACACGTTCACGATAGCGCCGCGACCTGCATCAAAGATGAACTCAAAGCCGCGCTCACAGATAGGCAGAATCGGCCATGTGCCCGCACGAGCTCGGGTAAGTCATGCCTCGTCCTACAACAGACAATGTCTAACAGGTTCCAGAACGCTGCACCAGTCGCGCCGACCAGTGACAACAAGGAAACAGCAAGGCAGGGCACAAGTGGCATTGCGCGCCCTTCCTCTAGTAGATTACAGTCATTCCAGGGCGATTCGGAGAACCGTCGCAGCTTACTGTGGGTAAGACCTGGGTGTGTGAGGGATCTGGCTTAGACTAATCATTCTCTTATCTAGTCCCCAGCCTGGCCAGCATAGATACAACACCCGCTCAAGTATATTACCTGAAGTACCTGATAGAGACGCTGGATCGGAAGATGCGGGGGATGACTTGAACGGGGCGCAAGATCAGCCAGACACAATATCACCAACGCAATCCGTTCAGGTTCCGGGTGCAGTACCAGGGCGACTTCGACCAAGATCCACATATCAGACAGGCACTCCATCATCTCAGCGCACGGAAAGCGCTGAAAAGACAAGTGCTCCCCGGACGATGCTGCCTCCGGCTTCAGTCAGCAAGCCTGCAGAGTCTCAAGTACGAGGGCTTGCCCGATCGCAGTCTTTACGGAAGCCGGTTGCTACGTCGCAGTCAGCTCAGGCTTCAGGCCCTCCTGGTCATTCCAGGACCCAGTCGACCAGTACCATATCAGCCCCTAGACGTGATGTTGCTAGATCGAACACGATCTCCGAGCGGCCAAAGTCTCTTTTGTTAGCACCAACGCGTACCTCAAGGAATAACAACACATCTGGCGATACCTTATCTGGCCCAACACAGACATCGATACGGAATGCAGGGCTCAGTCGCTCTGCTAGTACGAAAGCCAGGCCAGAGGCATCCAGTGGCCTGCCGAGCACTCGTACGGTGCGCAGGGCCGAAGAGCCCGTTGGTGCTCAGTCAAAACGTAAAGACGTTGTGTCAGAAGAGTCGAAGAAGGCTAATCGACCAGCTTTCAGCACGCTTCAACAGCACTTCACACCACGTAAGGTTGGGAAAGCTCCAACTGCCACATTTATCAACCCTGCACCTCAAACAGTGTTGCAATCGCTTTCTCCAGAGGCGATCAGTTTGCAATCAGAACTGCTCCAACTTCATCTTCTACATCAATCGTCAGCGGAGACTTATAGATGCTGGGAAATCAGTGCGAAGCGCAAGATGCACACGAAATTTGAAGAGGTTGCTAGCCTTTATCAAGTCATGTTAGAGAGCGAACGTACAGTTCAGGAACAGATGAATCTGCAATCCTTGCTGGAGTGGAGTGCTGGCGGCTCATCTGCGGGCCTGGTTGAGTACATCCAGGTTCTTTCGGAGCCCCTGCACGAACTGCCGTCGCTGGTCGAATCGGGTGGTCGACTGCAGCGTCTGGTGAAAGATTTTGAGCATTGGTCGTTCTGGGTCCGGGATATTCGGTCCGCCCGACAAGGTCCCGATGGAGCCAAGGCGGCTCTTGGGACAGTTGAAGGCCTTGGGGATTCGTGGAAAGCCGAAAATGCTGCGTTGACCAGGAAGTTAACAGCGTTTGCCCGCGACCTGGACAGGCTGGCTTTGCCAACACCCGGATCAGGCATTGCATGTATAGTCGAAGCATGTAAAGCCATTCTACACGGCATCTTGGATGAGCTGCAGACGATGCAGAAGATTGAAACTGAAGTGGTGTCACGCGAGAAAGAATGGGTTGAGGATCGTCTTCGACTGATTGCCCGGGATGTCGGGACACAGTGGGTGGACACTGATGGGCAGAGTGCAGCTTGGCGCATGTGAAAAGGTGAAACCTGATGGAAAAAGACTCAGAGGTACGGCGTCGGTGATGACAGGATGGGAAGAGATTATGAAACTATTGTGGTAATACAGAAGCTTTCCTTCCATGGCGCTTGTAGCACATGTGCGACGAGTTCCACATTCGGGATAGTTGCGATTACCCTGTCCCATTTCTATTTCTTGCAGCTCAATACGGTGCCTCGTGTTACCGCAAACGCATGCCGGCCAGGACACAAGACCTGTCTTCAGTCTAGATTCGGCAGATGTTGTAACAGAGAGCTTCAGAGATTCCGTGCTGACTGACGACACTAGTCTCGGATGATTTACCGCTCATCATTACCGATAACCATCTTTCCGTCTTACTCAGCCGTCATCCTTCCACAGGCTCCTCCTGTCGTTGGCTGTGGATGCGTCCGGCAAGCACTTCCTCAAGATTCCCTGATACTTTATTCGCGCGAACCGGCGTGTCGGCCCCGGTGAGATCCTTCAAAGTACTGCATCGAACCGCGTCTCTCGTGACTATGGCGTTGACAAGAGCTCTTTCACTGGCATCTTGGCCTACAACTTGGCTCTCGCTTGTCCTCGCTACCAAGTGCAGGTATGATTGAGTGCAGCAATGGCGCTGACTGACTTCGGTACGACCTAGGGAGCGATTCGCACGTATTTGCATACTACAGTGCGGACCTTCGGCCTCTCTGTAACGGCCCCTATGAAAGACCCACCGGATGCACCGTATGCATTACGCCTAGTTGTCTGGACGTTCCTTTATTAGAAGCCATACCACCGAACACGAGCTCCGACCTTTAAGCAAAACTCCGACTGTACGGCACTCACACGCGGCTCCCATAGCGCTCTTACACTTCAGCTATTACATGTCATGATATCAAATTTCTTACAGTCGGATTCATATTCCGAAAGAGCTCATGTCGACGCTGTTCCTCAGGCATCCCACCAGTTCTGGTGGTGAAGGCCAACTTCTGTATCCGGTTTCTAGGTTCAAATCCCACCTGTGGAGTGTCGTACGGACAGGGAACGACCACAGGAAGATACCAACACCTTTGAAGTGCGGTCCAAGCGCCCCGGCCCGACTGTCACAGCCTTCATCAATCAGCGTCATCATCCTCGTTCCCGCCACGAGCCGGCTACTATACTCACGGCGGTTACATCCCGGACGAACAAAGGTTTTCTACTGTGCCCTGGTTCATTCCAAATCATCTCAGCAAGACCTATCATTTCGGATCCTACACCGCAGCTGCCGTCGCTGCAAACAGTGGCATGACTGTATATACCTACAAAGACCCAAGTCTCAGTTTCTCTTCCATATTTTTCAACGTATGCATTGAATCGTAGCTCAATCGTGCGGTACAGATGTGGAAGCTTTTCCATGTTTGTGTATACCAGCGCGTTAAGCGGGAGCGCGTTGCCCGACATGTAGCCGGCGCATGATGCTTCCATCTTATTGGAGTGCTGATTCGCACCTTCCAAAATGGCTACCATAGCTGACTTCATTACACAAGATCCGCCAATATGTTGCCGTAGTACTGGGCGGGCTTGTCTCCTGCATAGCGTTCTGGTCATGCATCCGGGTCTAGGGCCTGAGCTGGCGCACGCAGTAGGGATGGTTACTTATGCTTGCCGAGCTACCAGGGCCAAGTATTTTGCAGCTCGCGTTTATCAATGCGCAAAGTTGCCACGGGCTTGGAAGTGTGGACCAATAGAGATAGAAGGTTGACGCGTACAAAGCATAATCTAGTCAATACAGTGAGTTGCTCTATCTCCCCCTATTCGCGCTCGATTAGCACCTGGCCTCGCCATGCTCGGAAACAACTCTCATACGCTCAGATAGCCGCATGTACAAAATATTGCTAGCAGTGAAGAGCTATTGTTATGGGTGCTTCGTTTGCTGCATGAGCATGATTTTCGGTTGCAAGGGCACATGAAGCAAGGCTCGTCGCGTCGCCCAAGGTCCTCGTCGCCATTTCACAAAACTTCCAAGATGAGAAGAACTCAAGACTACTCAGATGACGGCGAGGATCGGTCGCCTCCACAGGGGCAGTATTCAAGTCCCCGTGTTCATGGCAACTTCAGTCGACCCAAATCCGCATCATTCGCAGGCAACTCTTCACGGGACACAACGCCATCTTTCGAGTCGATGAACGCCCCAATACGGGCTCAACAACCCCGACACTCGATCATCCTACCTTCACCCTCTTCATTCAACTTTCACAGCTCTCAAAGCCTACCGTCAATACCACCACCAGCGATGTCGCAAACCTCGGGACCAGGTGCGAGCTTACAGGAGCTCCAACAGCAGATCAGCTTCAGAACTTCGGAATTACGTACCCTGCAGCGCGAATACGGTACTCTGCTCCAGAGCCTCGAAAGACAAAAGACCACATGCGCCACGCTCGAAAGGAAACTCGAAATCAACGACGGAGAGATGAACAACCTCATGGATGAGAAGGACAGGCTGTCAGCACAAGTTTCCACAATGGAAGGTCAAATAGAAGAGCTACAGCAGAGTAGGGATGAGGCTCGGCGGCAGCTTGTCGCTAATGGAGCACAATACATGCAAATCATGGACATGGCAAACCGGCTCCAGGCACAAAGCACTGAAGAAAAGAGGACATGGGAAGCTGAGAAAGTCGGGCTTGAGCAACGGATACGTTTACTGGAAGAAGCCATGGTAGCTGGAACTGAGACGTCGGTATCGATATCAGACACGAAACAACAACCTGGCATCACTCCAGATCCATCGTCCGTCGATTTTACACACAGTACCAGCACTTCGCTCTCCTCCCAGAGAGAGACTATCACCGTCCTCCGTGCTGAAATCAGTCGTCTTCGCTCGAGAACCCAGACACTTGAAGCGGCGGTGCAAACTATGCGGTGCGAAAGTCTCTCTATCCAGACAGCAGCACGGCAAATACTCGAGTCCAGTGGGAAGATGGGCGAGACTTCAATCGGAATAGAAGATGGTCAAAGATGACATGCTTTGCGCAGTACAAAACACTGTCCCCACAAAAGTTTTATCCACTAACAGCGTCGCAATCTTGCTAGGGTTTCGTGTTGGAAGGAACTTAGGCCTAAGGGACGGATCACGAGATTTTTATGTTACTCTGCTATCTATACCCTATCGTAGTGTATCGTGTAGGACCGAAATGTGGATGCTCATGTAGAAGTACGTGTTTCAAGTGCAATAGAAGATTGAAAAGGTGCTGAATTACCTACATCATTTTGTGTAAGGAGAACATACACCCTCACTAGTCCCAGTTACACCTAATTCCTCCAGCTTTCTCAGCGATACGTACCAACACAGATGATTTAATGAACGCGCCATGAGTTTGTTGTGTTTCTCTGGTGATGTTCCGGTCTCTGGCTCAATTCGTACGCTGACCGATAACTGGACAAGACTGTATTTATTGTCACCCCATCTTTATTAAGCCTGATTACTCCTACAACTGTATGCCACGCATTGCTTCGTTGCCTCGCCATCGCCCTTGGTACACATGCTTGGCGTTATTGGATGGCGCTATGCATGCTGGGATGGTGAGGAGGGCAAAGAAGGCCGAGATGCTGATTGATAGATTGGATTAGTCCGTTTGCTTGCATTCGTACAGGGCCAAGGTTCAAGGGTCAGCTGGGTCTCGTAATAATGTGGAAGCCCGTATTGACCGTTTCGTGCTGACGATTATCGCCACCACATCGTAATGCCTTTGGTTGTTCTGAAGAGCATGCATTAATTTCGATGGCTAGTCGAGCGTGTAATAGCTTATGGGAATCTTCCTGTCATTGGACTCGGCCGTTTCTTCTTCGACAGAAGGCTAGTGGTGTGGATTAGTGACTGTAATGTGGAAAGACGGGGGTCAGAGCGGGGGTTACAACTCTATCACGTCGGAGATCTCGTATCTGTGTTCCTGTTTCTGCAAGACGCTAAGACATGGCGTTGGATTGCTAAGCTTTACGTTATGATCACTTTATGAAGCGCCTATCGGAGGGAAGTGACTCTATACTAGAGGCTTTCAAAGCGTTGCGGGTGTTAAATTAGACTACACAACTGTTCTGAATCTATCCTTGCTTCAATGTGCGATGGCTACCGGGCACACAGCCCCATATGCATACCATCCACCAGCAGGGCTTTACCGGCCGCTTCTCGCCAAATAGTTCCATGGTCGTTCTCTGTGGGTGTCGGTAACCATCCGCACCTATCCCTGGGTGGCTTCCTTCTCTTTCCGGGCTTGGTCCTCTTCAGGCGTTCGAGTGATGAGCTGCAGCGCGTGTATACCGCCTTCTTGTGCTAACTCGTCCTTCATCAGGGAGTTGATCATGCGATGCCGTGCGAGCTGCATCTTGCCTTGAAAGACTGGCGATGTGATGAAAACACTGTGAGTGTTAGGAACATAAGTCACGTAGTTCAGAAGATTGCAGGTCGACGTATACCGGAAGTGTGTCTCTCTGCTGGTGACTCCTTGCATAGCTTTGTGGTGGGCATGCTTATTCGAATCGTTAAAGATCTCGAGTGAAGTCGGCTTCAGGGCTTCAGTGATCTACGTAAACTTTAGATGCGATTCTGGGCACACAATTGAGGTACGTCAACTAAAGTGTATAACTACCTTCGTTCTCAGAGCATCTTCCATTGGTGTCATGGAGTGAACCATGGCTGACATGAAACGCTTTCCAGCGAGCGCGGTAGTTGGAAAGAACATTCACAACAGTGTCTCCTAGTCGGGTAGGTTGTCAAGTAGGACCAATGAGAATACTGGACCGCAGTGGTGGAAGTATTGGATTGCGTCGGCCCTAGAATTCGTGCCGAGGCAAGCGCCAAGACGAAATCGGAAGGCGTCGCGTCATGGTTCCGAAAGTTTGAAGCGCAGTCAGACAAGGCATTGAGGCCATGGAACTGCCAGAGCACCCATTGAAAGATGATTGTGACATGTAGAATAGCGTCTTGATTACCCTGCACGATAGTCTAGATGGCAACCTTTGCGCTCCTGTCTGGAGACTGCAGTGACAGGATCGCTACGACGCGGCTCTAAACACAGCGTTTCTCCCACCGATCTGCCGTACTCCGAAGCCTCGAAACCTGCATCAATTGCGCTGATCCGGGACATCTCCCTGCCGCTATGTGGGCGCGTAATCTTTTCGCTCGCACCCTGACACGACACAAAATATCTCTGTCGGCATACAACAGCCATTGCTGCCCACCTGTCGCACACGCGCCCTTCTATACCGTGAGAATGGCCTCCACGCTGCCCCGCCTCCCCGTCTTCGAAGCCATCAAACAGCATGATGCGCAAAGCACGGCCGTTGTCCACTCTCTTTCCGGGCGGTCCTTCACATACGGCGAGCTTGTAAACGATGTCGCTGCTGCAAAGGACAAGCTGCAACGGAACTGCGGCGCGCAGAGCGCAGAGGGCCAACGGATATCCTTTTTGGTAGAAAATGGATACGACTATGTAGGTGCGCGTTCCTCTACGCCTCGTGTACAACAGCCAAGAACAGCAGAATCTGACGCATGCACAGTAACCCTCTTGTCCATCCTCGCCGCACATGCAATCGCCGTACCGCTATCGCCGACCTTCCCGGCACACGAGCTGCGATACATCATCGACCAGAGCGAGTCTCTGATGCTTCTCTCGTCGGAGAAGTTCCAGAGTCAAGCCGACGATGTGCTGAAGGAGGGAATGGAGACGCAGCCCATCAACTACAAACAGGACAAGATTATGATGGGCAAGACGGACGACTACGTCACGCTGGAGGAGCCCACAAGCGACAAGGGAGGCATGATGCTGTATACATCGGGCACCACAAACCGACCCAAGGGCGTTTTGTTGCCTCAAGACGTGTTAACGGCACAGTCGCGATCGCTGCTGGAGGCGTGGAACTACAGTAAAGACGATGTGCTATTACATGTTCTTCCTTTACACCACATTCACGGCACCGTCAACGCATTGCTTACGCCTCTCTTCGCCGGCAGCACCATCGAGTTCCAGTTCCCCTTCAATGCTGCCGCTGTATGGGATCGCCTGGCAGCTCCCTTCCTACCGAGCCCCGATCCAGTCAAGAAGCCCATTACCTTCCTTACCGTCGTCCCAACCATATACACGCGCCTGCTCGCATCGCATCCTACCCTCTCGTCCGAACTTCAAGCCGCGACCAAGACTGCGCTTCACCCATCGAATATGCGCCTCAACATCTCAGGGTCCGCTGCCCTTCCTACACCGGTGAAGTCAGCGTGGACGCAGCTCAGCGGGGGCAACGTGCTGCTAGAGCGATATGGCATGACTGAGGTGGGTATGGCGCTTTCCTGCGGACTAGATTTCGCAGATCGCGTAGATGGCTCGGTAGGCTGGCCGCTTCCATCGGTACAAGCGCGGTTGGCAGACATCGAGACCGGGGAAATCATAGAAGAGGGCAAAGAAATCGATTCCGAGACACAACGCGAACGCCAGGGCGAGATCCAACTGCGCGGTCCCACAATCTTTAGAGAATACTGGAAGAACCCCGAAGCCACTTCCAAAGAGTTTACAGAAGACGCGGATGGACAAGGGAAATGGTTCAAGACAGGCGATGTCGCTGTTCGAAGGAATGTCAAGGGAGCGGGTGAGAGCGACCAAGCATGGGCCAAGGGACCTCTCTACTTTATCCACGGGCGCAAATCAGCCGATATCATAAAGACTGGTGGCGAGAAGGTTTCTGCGCTCGAGATTGAACGCGAGATGCTTTCCCTCCCTCAAGTCGACGAGGTTGCCGTGGTCGGTCTACCATCAGAAGCCTGGGGTCAAAAAGTCGCTGCCGTAGTGGTACTCTCCGAACAGGGTAAGACAGCAGGCAGGGGAGGTAAAGCATGGTCTGCGTTGGACATGAGGAGGGCGCTCAAGGAGATGCTCGCAAACTACAAGATCCCTCAAGAGATGAAGGTCGTGGATACTATTCCAAGGAATGCAATGGGCAAGATCAACAAGAAGCAGCTTGTTAAGCAAATCTGGGGTGAAGCATTGGAGGGGACGAAGGAGAATGGTGCCATACAGGTACCCAATGGAAGTGTCTAGTAATGTGTAGATAGTAATAGTGTAACATCTCCAATCACCAGCAAATATTGTTTTGATAAGAAAAGGACAATGTTCTGCCCCGTCGTGCTAGTATTGTGGGATTAGCTGCCACTACGGCTTCGAACTCGATCAAACTGCCTGAATGTGCCGTACCTCTTACTACAACCATAATGCATACGTTAGACGACTGTAACAGCAGTAGAAACCCCTCACCTTGGTCGCCATACTTTGCAAGGTGAGCATGACAACGCCAAGATTGCAAAGCCACACCCGTCATACTGTAAACTCTCCATTTGCCGGGTATGCACTCCCCCTTTCCCCACCCACCCGGATATAATCATCGTAGCTTGCATGAGCGCGGCCTTAGAGAAACCCCATAACGCCTCTGACCTCAGCCCAGAAAAGGAGGCTTGGGGTGGAAATGCTTGTACATCGTGGCCTCACGCCACGCCAAGGCAAGCCACAACTGCCATGCTGTGACGTGTGCCATGCCTCCTAGTAGCAAGCCGTTGGCGCCTGCAGCGGAGGAATCGACCGATGGCTCAAGGGAAGTAAGTATATTGGAAGATCTGCAATGCGGGCGATGATTGTGATGTAGACTCCGGCTGTGCGAAAAGTGCAGGTCGTAATGTAGGAAGGATTGGGTACGGCGAAGAATGATTTGGAAAGGGGACACGCGAGTATGGATTAGACGGTAATGCATCGCATCGCGACATTGTGTTCGAGCTATTCAATAATGGGTATTCGAAATGATATTAAAAAGAATACATGCTCGTCACGGGCAATACACGTGGTTTACGCGTAACTGATCCCATGCGGTGGTCATCAACTTCGGGACATTCAATGCTGATCCTCGATAACATATTCCCGTGTTATCATCTCCATGCATCAAGAGTCGATTCGTGGTTGTAATAATGCATTCCACACACTACCTTACGCGGTGTGGCCAGCATCGGCACGGGCAGCCGAGTTGTCGACCTTGTTGCGACGCTCGCGGCCCTTCTCAGACCAGGGGAAGTGAGCGACGGGAATCACGAAGAAGCTGTAGAATATTAGTACGGATTGCGACGATAGTAATGGCATAGACAACTAACCTGTTTGAGCTGTCCGCGATACCAGCCAGGGCGTTGTACCAGGCAATGAAAGCAGCCATAAGACCAAAAGCACCACCAGCGACGATGCAGCTGCTTTGTGGGCCCGCGGCATCAGCGTTGAGGTAGCCAATTCCAAGGAGGAGGAACGCCATATCGAGAGTGAAGAAGAGCATGAAGAAGGCTACGGTGGATCGGAGGGTGCAGATCAACAAGAGGAAGGTAAAGATAAACCAGCCCATGAGGAAGAGACCGAAAGAGTTGTAGAAGTCGCCCGAATCCAGGAGAGTCTCCTCAATCGCAAATCCACCTGGGGTAAGGATGATGGCGAAGGAGATCCAGAAACCTCCGTAGGATGAAAGAGCGGTCGCACCAAATGTGTTTCCGACAGCCATTTCCCTAGTCTTCTGTTAGGACGAGCATGGAAATTGGACTAATACTACGTACCACATGCCAGCCAACAGCTGCACAAGACCTCCGTAACCGTACGCAGCAGCCACGACAATGTTTGGGTGGCCAATGCCTCGAGTCTTGACGTTGATCAAAGACAGGACAAAGGTGGTGAGGGCGAAAGCCGACAGACCCAGAGGAGCTGGGTTGGCGAACTTGCGGTTCGGCGGCCTGTATAGACCAGGCTGGAATTCACCACCAAAAGCTGCAAGACGAAGATCTGGGTCGTTGGTAGCAACGTGGGCGAGAGGGTTACCGCCATAGTCGTATGGCACCCTTTGCTTGGTCATTCCTGCGCCGTTGACTGCCGCGTGATCGGTCGCGCTGGTGCCGTTGGTGTTCTTCTCGAAACTTGGGCCACGCTATGAAGACGGTTAGGTTTGGTACATGTATTTGGCATGTTCGAGAGACATACCATGGTGTCGTTGTGCTCACGAGCGGTCGCCATGATGTCTACGATGAATGACAGGTGCTTGACGTGTTCTGGTCCGGACTAACTCAATCGACGGGGGGAGAGTCTGGGGAAGGAGAAATCAAGCCGAGTCTGGGGGAGCGGAGAGACTGATATATGTCCAGAACAGATCAGACCTCGCAGGGGAAGCATGGTCCATCTACGTGTGCCATGAGCCGTCGTCCCATACTGGTGCTAGTCCCGCGACTAAGGCTAGGTAATTAGATTTCCAAACAGGTGCTAAAGCGGACCACTCATGGCAGTTCCCCATAGACGCCTCTCCATGCCGGGTAAAAGGACAGCATGCGTCTCCACTGCGAATCAATCAACTGAGGGCACGGTGGACGGACGAACGACAATCAGTCGACCCCAAGCCACCATGCGCCGTGTGATCGGCGCCAAAGCTGCCTTAGCGAGGCCGGATGGACACCGACAATGAGGATGGCAGGTGGTGCGCCAACCGATCCAGCAGTATTCTGTCTTGCTCAGGCGGGCTCAGCTGCCGCGATGACGCGGAGAAATAAGATGCGCTGCTCGAAGTCCCAAGTGCGGATCGCCGACCAAGTCCCAAGCATTACATCATCGTCACTTGTGACCATGACACATCAGCTTCCTTCGAGTGTTTCGATCGCGAAAACGGCAGAACGAGCCTGGGTTTTCGAAACTTCGTATAACACACAGACCGCTATTGATCTCTGCATGTTAGCGGTCTGACTGCATGTCTACCCTTGAGGAGGGCCCCTTGCGAGAAACGTGTGTGGTAGTGGAGCCCCAGTCAGTGCGCCAACGCTCAATTTGCTCGGAGTAGATAAACGCGAAATCGGGCGTTCTGACATGTACGCGAGCCTCCCAGATGCGTTCTCTGCCCGTTGAACTGGGATGCCGGATATCGCGGGTGCGATATGGTAACACGATATAAACGCAGCTCTTCTCTTGGCCTTTGCGCGGTTGTTGGTCTATGCCTCTGATGCCATTGCACTGCAAACAGGCACAAAGCGTCCTCTTGGTGTAGAAGCAATTTACTGGGCGTGCTTTGAAATTCAAGATCGTCAAAGGCCGCGGAGGAAACGGGATGATGGCCTTGTGCATGAGGTAAGGCGGCTAAGCTTTGTCCAAGAGCCTCGGCATAAGCCACCGGCATCTTCCAATATCATGACATAACGAAACTCTAGCAAAGGCTGCGAAAATGCGCCGTCGCAACGGTTCGTGCAATCGCCGAATGCCTGAAATTGGAATTGCGTTCTGGAGAAACGACGAACAGAAAAAGTCTGTCCATCAATTGTGGGATCAATAGTCCTAGCGTAGCGTGAAGCCGCCATGTCCTGGCCGTCCGGGGCTGCGTGGGGCCCCCTAGTGGAGCAGCAGCTCACCACCCATCCTAGAGGCGCGGTTGAGACGCAGGTTGGCTGTTGCACGTCCTCGGTCCAGCGGGAACAGATGTCAAGTCATTTCCACCTGCACCCTGCCGTTCCGTGTCTGCTGTGTCCGCGACAGGAGTGGTGTGTATGCCAGGCATGGCGGTTGATGCCGTCTCAGAGCCTTGTAATATCCTAGGCAGGCACACATGGATTGTCCCGCAGTGCCTCTATTGCCAAAGATAGCTGAGGTAGAGCGAGAGGACGAAAACCAAGGTCCAACCAACACCGATATCTAAGGGCTTCCACGACAACGGGTCACTCCAGGCATCCATGTCAGTTGCGTGAGACAGTGAGATGGCGCAATTGCGTGGCACTTTAGGCTAATAAAGCACTGTAAAGGTGCATCTGTAATGTTTGTGGTGGCATTGCTTGGAGTGCTTCGTGCCTGCCACCGCGCTTGACTACAATCTCAAAGATAAGGCAAGTCCTGCGGACTGCGCAGGAGGCTGTGGGCAGGAACTGATGTCCGAAATTGCCTATCGTTCAGGATGCTTTTGTGAACAAATTGCCCCAGCAATGATCAGGCTCTGCTGTAGTTGCGAAAGCCGCATATACTACAGACATGCATGTTGTACAGCTCTCTAGAATATCGACCATTCTGCCTAATATACAGAGTGCTTTCTATTGCCTGTAATTCATGTTGGGCGTTGCAGGCTTCGCGACAACATTGAACTAGGATATACCGCCGTTGAGGCGCGTTGTGGTACCTGCATGAAACAAGCAAGCTCCCTATGTATTGCACGATAGACAAGAGAGAGGCCGGGCTTTCCATAGAGCCGCATTCACGCGACAGACAGTCAATGAGTGTTGATATGTCACATCTTTGTTTGCCTGAGGTGATCGGCTACGGCTCCGCCGCACTGCCAGAAGGTTTCGGAGACGAGGAAGAAGGGTCCACCCAGATTGTGGAGAGACAAGATCTGGGGACTCCACTTCGACCCTGCGTAAGAGCGTGCCAGGAGTCAGGAGTCTGGGAAAGCGGAAAGACAGTCTGGTTACCCGCCAGTTACCGAGGAGCCAAGTGGTTTCCGCGGTCCTCCGGCACGCTGCTATCCATACAACGGCCGGGAGTCGCTGGTGTCTTTTCGCCGATAAGTGACGAGTCTCAGTATCGATTCCCAGTAGCCATCAGATGACTTGTCATGAATGTGTGTGTGTGGAGAGGTAATGAGTCCCATGCTATTTGTCGTTGTCTCAACCTGTTGTTCAGATTTGGCTAAAGCAGCAGCGAGCCTCGGAGGCCCCAAGGCTGACCATGGTCATACACTTCAGCTGTCTGGCCGATGCCAACTCACCTATAACGTCTTTGTGGTTGCGAGACAAATATTGCGCCTCGAAGCATGGCTTCTGAGGTCGAGAAGACGAGCGGACGTTGCAACAAAGAGGACATGGGCAGAGAGGTGGCGTTTCTTGTCCCTCTCTGCCGGCTTGTCACCTGCTTGGCGCATCTCGCTACCAACACAGACACCGGCAGGCAAAGGAGGGCCGAATACGGTGTCAAAGTCACCGAGCGCGTTATCGGGAACATCAAGTCGCGCCTTGAAGCTGGTGCGCGATGTTTGGTTTGGTGTTGAGGCGTCTCGGGCGGACAGCTGGCTACGTAATGGGCTGGCGATCGAGAGGTAGCGCGGGGAAGCTTGGAGCTTGGAGCTTGGAGTGTGGAGCTTGCCTGTACTCGGGGTTTAGGCAGACACGCTCGACGCGTGAGGAAGTCATAACCGCATCCTGGCAGCGACTGCTTCGAACACGCCAACTCATTCACATCACACCCAGTCTATCCTGCTCGTCATGTCCGACAACACGATGTCCCAGGAGGACATGGCCGCCCTCTCTTACTTCGACCACTCGTCGGGCAAGCGCATCAACACCGATGTCGTCCTTATCGAGGCTATCCGATCGCAGTACCCCAACCTCGACCTCACCGTCGCGCCTCAGGGACGGCTGAACCTCCTCGCATACGCATCTGCTGGCTTCGCAAAAGTCACGCCCCTCGAAGACGTCGTCACGGATCCCGTCTACGGGCCTGGGGTCAAGTGGCGCTCCTATGCTCCCCCAAGTCACAGGCTGGACCCCAGTCCTGGCTATATGGTCGAACGTGTCATCTTTGGCAAGTACATGTACAAGTGGAAAGACCAGGAGGCTATTCTATACATAGCCGAAGGTCGCGACGGGGGGTCGTATTACCCAAGCCCGACTCTACATTATGTCCTCTCCAACGCATCGCACAAGGTGGATGAGTTGATCAAGGACGCGACAAAGTGGGGTAGCGAATTGCACAACGAAGTCTGGGTCTTTGACGGTGGCTACTGGCAGAAGAGCGCAGAGTTGTACCGCTCCGTGCAGAAGAGTACATGGGACTCCGTCATCCTCGACGAGGACATGAAGAAGGCGCTCATCGCAGACGTGGAGAACTTCTTCGATGGCAGACAGACGTACGAAGACCTAAAGGTGCCATGGAAGCGCGGCGTCATCTACTACGGACCCCCAGGAAACGGCAAGACCATCAGCATCAAGGCCATGATGCACAGCCTTTACCAGCGCGGCAAGGAAGGTGACTCCAGACTCGCCGTCCCCACCCTCTACGTCCGCACCCTGACCTCTTTCGGGGGACCTGAATACTCGTTAGCGCAGATCTTCGGCAAAGCTCGCGAGCAAGCGCCCTGCTACCTTGTCTTTGAGGATTTGGATTCAATCGTCAGCGACCATGTACGATCCTACTTCCTCAATGAGGTAGATGGTCTCAAGTCTAATGACGGCATCTTGATGGTCGGTTCCACAAACCACCTAGACAGGTTGGACCCAGGAATTGCAAAGAGGCCTAGCCGCTTCGATCGCAAATACTACTTCCCAAACCCTGACTATGATCAGCGCATGCAATACGCAAAGTTCTGGCAGGGAAAGCTCAAAGACAACGAGGATCTCGACTTCCCCGACGAGCTCTGTGCAAAGATTGCCGAGATTACGCCCAAGTTTTCTTTTGCCTACATGCAGGAGGCTTTCGTTGCGTCGCTCCTTGCTATTGCCGCTCGGGGTGGTAAGAGCGTCGAGGAGACCGACCGCGATGCAGAGAGGTGGGCAGGCCCCCAGGATCCGATGAAATCGACCACCGGCACTCTGCATACCAACTTCGCACGGAGATTGCCCTTTGGCGACATATACGACCCTGCTTTGGAGTCAGACTCCGATCTTGACAAGCTAGAGCTGTGGAAAGAGATGAAGAAGCAGGTCAAGATCCTGCGCGAGGAGATGGAAGAGAAGAACCGCAAGGGTGATTGGGAACTCCCCAGTCGGTCAAAGGCAGCGGATCCTCGACCAAACCCGACTCAGTTTAGAGATGAGCTGGACGCCATTCTGCACGGAGGTCAAGAGAGGCGCCCCAAACATCCGCACCCAGAATTTGAGTACCTAGCCAGTCAGACCAGGTTTGAGTAGCGACCGCTTAGTCGATATTACACAAGACAGTATGGCGTTTTGGCGTGACAGTAGCTAGCCTTTAGTCTATCATGAAATGCTCACAAAGAATTAACGATTCATGGAGTTGACTTGGACTATATGGTACAACAACCTTGAGCAATCCCCTTTGGTGTGCTTCCATGTTCTCTACCGTGATGTAGAATTGCCTCTCTGGTTGGTAATGGTGCAACGAAAATCTAATCGCCATGGGTAGCAGCCTCCTCCATAGCCAGCACGGCGTTCTCCAGCTCCCTAATCCTCTGCCCCACCCTCCTCTTCACTTCATCTGCGACCGGCCTATCTTCACCTTCTACAACCCCTTTGTAGTACTCGAGCAATCTGTCCAACTCTTCCCTCGCTGCAGCCCGATCGTCAGGCGCATACGTCGTGTTCTTCTCGCTCTCTTCCGACGCAATTTCAAACTCGTCTTTGGCCGTGCCGTAGAGTTCTTGTATCTCCTCGATCGCTTCCTCAACCGCTTGTTGTGCTTCTGGAGATAGCGAGGATGGGGCTGACGATGTGGCAGATGCGAATTTAGCGCGTGGTGTTGAAGTGAATGTGCGGACGGCGGAGAGGGTGTTGTAGGGTGTGGTGAAGCGCGTCCATTGGTTTGGCGCTGCTAGGATGGATGTGTTGCGTGCTTGGTATGGTGGAGGTGGGGAAGGCGACCGTGAGCGCTGCTGTGTATAGGTTTGGTAGGAGAACTGTTGGGTGACTGGGTAAGACGCCCGCTGCGCTGCTATTGCGCTTGCACGGAGGGTCGTCTGGCGGAGGAGAGTGCGGATGGGCGCTGCGCCGGATGCCATCTTCGGGGATGACTGTCTGTGGTATGAGGCGCGAAATTGGCGCGGGATGGAGCGTTGGGCTACATTGCGCAGCGAAGGCGCTTTGGTGAAGAGGGTGTGCGACATTGTGGGTGGTGGGTGGTGGGTTGGTGAGATGGGGCTGTGGTGAGCCTTAGGTTCACCGGAGTTAAGCCTGTCATGCGGACATGACGGTGATGTGAGCCTTCTTTACCGTACCACCCAACACGATTATGTTAGGTACAATACAGAAGAATGAGAATATTTGAAACGATGATGGATCGGCCTTCACCGCCGGTTGCTCTACGCAACATTGTTCTACTTGCCACCCACGGATACCTTGGGTTTCCTGACAGTATGTTGAAACCCGACGTTTACATTACCAGCAGATTTTATCAGTGTTCCATTTGATGCGGTCGTCGACTGCACATTCAAATAACACCTTATAAAGCGGGGAGATGCTACACGGCTAAGATGTGCTATACGACTACAGATATACGTAGGTAGTATCTGCGCGTGAAGACCAGAAATATTGGAGTGGGTGGAGGAAAAAGGTTCTCCCATCACGTAGAAGATATAGCAGGTGTGGTCGCTTCCTCTATAGCAAGGGTCATCGCGAACCGCACCGCGAAGCATGCGTGCAATTCGCGCGCAAGTTCCTCTTTCTGCCCAAAAACTAGGGAGTGCTCCCGAGTCTGTCCCTCATCCTGTTTGCCGACACCTTCACTCGATGAGCACTTAAGCGGCCATAATCGCCGTATATGGGATATCATGCAATCAATCCGGAGCTGAAGTCCACGTGCATGGAAATTGCTCTCACTCCCACGACACGATGTATACCCCCGAGAGACGAGTTTCCCGGACCGCACATGGCACTGATTTACGAGCAAACACAGGATGATATCACGAGGGAGCTTGTGGTTACCCACTTAGGTAGGATGCATCCCAAGTACGCAGGTGTACCGCACCCTGGAGCTACACATACTGCATTCTGCTTTAACGAGCACAAGATCTAATACAGTTGGCATCTCCAGAATTTGGAACACAGTCTACCAATCATGATATCCTCTGTGCCCGGGTATACAAAAACAAAAGGAAGAAGATATCACTAAAAAAAATATGTCTTGAAGGTCGTGCCCGGGTTCTTCTCAACGTTAGAAACATGTCTTAAGGTCACATTATATGAGATATCTTACCGAACCGGGGTTATCAGAATATTGGTGAAGTCAAAATCTGAAGTGATAACCACTACCTAGAATCGAATGAGCGCATGCTCTATGATGTTACGATGGTGGATCAACGTACACTACACAACCTGTGGATGCTTCAAATGGTGCAATATGTCAAATGACTGCGATACACTACTCATAAAGCACCCAACGTACTACTCATACCGCTCCCGAATTGTTCGACATTGTCATCTGTATCATTTTTAGACAAGCAGCTGCCTCGTCAAGAAGCATGACGCCTAGACTTGAACAAGCCCACAAAGTGGTGGGGCATCATGTTCGCAAAAGTCAAAAAAGAGGGGTCCAAGTTACCGATTTCGGCGAACTTCTCACGACTAACCAGGACGCCAGGGACGACGTACAGGATGTCCTAAATGTACAAAATATGCAATACATGCGTATAACAACTGAAACTAAGCGAGGGCAAAATTGACCCAGGGCAAGAAAGATTGTTCGACATACTAGTGGTGGCAAACTTTCAAAAAGCAGAGCCCACAACCACACGTCTAAGGCAGCTGTGAAAGCACTTGAGAAGGGCAAAAAGAATGATGCAATAGCTCATACGAGCGGGGAGGATCGAACTCCCGACCTTCTGCGTGACTTTACATTTGGAGAATGTAAAGCAGACATCATAACCACTGGTGGAATGTTAGGAGATGTTGGTGGAATATGGGAAGGCGATGTAACGAACCTAGACTACGCTCGCTTGAGAACTGATTGATGGATAAAATTGCATCAATTTAAAATATATTCGTGAAATCGACCTCCTTACGCTGCTGATCGTGTGGGTCATCTGGCGAACGCAGGTTATGCGCGGGATTGAAGAGCGGCGACAGCGGGGTTGGTGGGGCCGGTGCCAAAGTCGCTTCTTTGCATTCCATCGTACTGTCCGCCTTATACAAGGAAAAAACTAAACAGGTGCTCTGCCGTCTACATTAGTGTAAAAGTTGAAGTTTACATATTACCTAAGGTAATGTAGACGGCAGAGCACCCGTTCGGTTTTTTCCTTGTGAGGTGTGTCCAAGTACACGATACAAGACACTCACTTTGTGAACATGTATTACTCACGCCACTCCTCATTCTCGGGTTTTGGTGAGTTGGCCGTTTTTCTTTGACAATCCTCGAATCCCCGGAGCGTTTCAACTAGACAGTGCCCAGATGGCGGGCGACAAACATGCCTGTCCCAAATTGACACGCGATTGAAGAGACCTCGGGATGCGAGGGCATAAATTGAGAGCATGGAAGTGAAAGCCTTTTTGGTCCCAGTTCCAATCTGGGTTCCGCAGCGAAATTTCCAATCTTAGCATGCCCCTTCCCAGACTGTACTCTGTGTGCCTCCCGTATTGTCGCAAGAACTATGTTACCTGGCTAGTGCATACCGAATTTGATACTTTCTCTTCTATTACATAACACCTTGCCTGGTATGCAGACTTCGAATTTGTTCTCCATGTTGTGGAACTTGAGTCGTATACTATCCATAGCTAACTTTAGCTTTCACGATAGCACTCCAGAGCTAGCACTTGTTGTTCTCACCACCAATACCGCGGTACTTATTGCGACCTTTTACAAAACTCAAACCAGACCGTGGAAGTACTCATTGTCTTGGAGCCTGGGGAGCTTTATGTAGAACAGCAGAGAAACGGTGATGGACTGTCATGTATCTATATCATGCGTTTCTTGGAATTCGATCAAGTCTGAGAGACTTCTGCACATGTGCATAGACAGATCATGTATAATGTTGTATTAAATGTTTGGTTTGAATTAATGCAAAATATGAAAGGGGTATACTACCGTTATTTGGCCAGCGCTTGATCCCATTGCTGACACCCGTACGCCTCGCTATACAACAATGCTAAGAAAACTACGCTGCCCACAATGACCGTGCTATGCACGAACTATCTTCACACTCCACTCTTACCAGCACCGCCTCAAATTCCTTCCACTGGTCGCGCACTGCAGGCAATGCCTCGTCGATGACACAACTGCACAAGTCCCACATACGTTGCGCCCGCAATCGCTGCATGCAAAAGGACTATGCGCCACAGCTCCGCTCATGTCCATATCCATGTTTACATCCATCTCGTCTCGTTCACTATGTAGTGGTGTATCGCAGTCTTCGCATCGGGGCACTTGTGACGAAGCTTGGTCCTGCCGTACAGGCATTGAGAAGATGGGTTGAACAGGCGGCGCGGGTAGCTGTTTCCAGAAAGAATGCAGCGTAGACTTTTGTGGTTTCGACGAGGCCAAAGTTGATGGCTGGTGTGTTGGAAGAGCGTCGGACGGGATGGGCGAGGCCTCTGGATGTTCACGTTGCGCGGCGAAGAGCATGTTCAGCGTGTTTTCTGAGATACGATTAGCAACTAGAAGCTTGAATCAGGGAGTCAATAAGCCTTACTGTGTATTGCTTGCTCGTCGGGTCTGTTGTCGCGAACCCGCTTTTGTGTGCGGTTGCCCCAATCATTGCTCTTGACTCGACTCGCGCTTAGGAAGTCCCAGCCATTGGATCTCGAGCTCGCATGTGCATGTGTATCCGTCATCTTGTCATAGCCCTTGATGAAGGACATGGGCGATTGCGCATCCGGTGTGGAGACGGCGCCGAAGCTGGAGATGGAGAGCGGCGAGTCGTCGTAGGAGTACTTGCGCTTGAGGCCCATGGCTGTGGATTGAAGTGTTGACGGATTGCGATAGATGATGGGGTATTGTTCGTGGGGTGTGGAAGGTAGCAAATGTCTGTTTACGATGTTGTAGAGCGATGTGCGAGAGGGAAAGCGAGATGGGATGAAACGGGGAACGATGATGCTAAGTGGCTGGCCTGGCGGACGCGAATTGTCGGCGCGAGCGCGTCGCGTGATGGCGTGCCGGGATCGCAATTGCATCACTACCCTCCGAGTGAGTACCTGGGCAACAACACCGAATTTCCACGCGTGACGTTATGTGCACTCACTGCAGCAGACATGATGGAGCATGTCTGGGAGGGTTTATTGATCTGGCATTTAAAGACGTCCCTCGCACCTGCCCAGCAGGCGATGATGGCAGATAAAGGCATTACGTCGGCTGTACGAAGGTCGCGCTCAGCTTACCCCACTGCCCCTCACGCTTCCAACACCAACTACGTGATACCACATCACGATATCAGCTCCCAAGATCTCTAGCAGAGCATCCCGCTCCGTCGCTCAATACCTGAAATCCAACATGGTCACCCGCAAAGCCACCCACGCCGGCTCCTGGTATACGGACAATAAACAGCTCCTGTCGCAGCAACTCGACGGCTGGCTCGCAGAGGTTCCCGATACCACCACGCCTATCGGCTCGGCTTCCTCGCAGCAGGGTCAAGTCTCAATACCGATGCCGAATGCGCGAGCTATCATCGCCCCGTATGCTCTCTGAAGAAGCTAAAGAGAACATGAGGCTCATGGACATGCAGGCATGCCGGATACTCGTACTCAGGGCCTGCTGCTGCATGGGCCTACAAGAGCGCTGACTGGGCGAATGCGTGAGTGCAAGACTGTGGAGCGAAGCTTTAGTGCTATACTGACGGCGTATAGCAAACGTGTTTTCCTCCTTGGTCCCTCCCACCACTACTATCTCACTGGCGCTGCGACAACAGGCTGTGACAAGTACCGTACACCTCTCGGCGACCTCACGATAGATAGAGACCTAGTCGAGGAGATACAACAAGACTGGGATCTGGAAATCATGTCAAAGGGAACAGACGAGGACGAACACAGCTTAGAGATGCACCTGCCCTACATTTACAAGATGTTGTCGCTCAAGAACACCAGCTTCCAGAACGACACAAAATCTGTTCCTCTGGTTCCTATCATGGTCGGAAATACTGAAGCAGCCCTAGAAGCGCACTATGGTTCTATGCTCGCTCCCTACCTCTTCGATCCCCACAATATCTTCGTCATTTCATCCGACTTCTGTCACTGGGGCTCCCGTTTCCGATACACGTACTACCAGCCCGCCGACGGTTCAGCGGCAACTCAGCTGAAGTCAAGCTCCTCTGTGCCGAGCGACTACCCCATACACAAAAGCATCGCCGCTGTCGATCACGAGAGTATCGACGCTGTGGAGAGTAGGTCACACAAACAGTTCTTAGACCAGCTCAAGAAGACGGGCAACACCGTGTGCGGAAGACATCCCATCGGTCTGTTCATGGCCGCGGTAGAGAAGGCAGGTGAGCTACGTGAATTAGGTGAAGGAAAGGGCACGTTCAAGTTCCTGCGATATGAGAGGAGCAGTCTAGTGGAGGGCGTGCAGCATAGCAGTGTATCGTATTGCAGTGCTTTCACAGTGCTGTAGGGGGGAATTCTTTTGTACAGCTTCATGGGCCTTTCATAGTCAAAGATAGTGATACGGATATCAACCAACGACCATAACCATGCATAGATACCGCTGATACATCGTGACTGAGCGCTATAACGCCAACCCATGCAACCCAAATCTATCTCATCGCAAAGACCAAAGCGCCCCCCAAACATACATCAAGATGGCCGTGGCTTCGGCATAGCACTGTGCTTTACACTCCACGGCTGCATGCTCCTCCTCGCGCCCAGTGTCTTCCTCTGTGCCGACTGGTTTTGTACCTGACTTATTGACGTTGTATGAAACGTCGACGCCGGACGGAAACCCGCTGCCGAAGTGAACGACGATGATGCTTGCTTCAATGGACTTACTGGTTCTCCGAGCTCTTTCTCTGCTTGGTATGTATTCCCCACCTCAGGTTTAGGTGGTGAGCTGGACAGAAGAACGTACCGCGTGTTCTCCGTCCCAGGTTCTGGCTCTGCACGTTTTGGTTTGGTGAGGATAGGTCGGGTTGTAACTTTGTGACTGGGTATCGAAAGGGGTTGGAATGGACGTGGTGGACGGGTGACAGCGGGCTGAGTGTTGGAGATATCGTGGAGTAGAGTATTGGTAGCGAACGAAGACTGGGAGCGTTGTAAAGACGGCGCGTCGAAAGATGGCGGTGCTTCGGTTTCCTCAGACATCGTGCTGTTTGATCGCTTGAAGAAACTCGTGATGGAACCTTGGCCAGTTGCGCGTGGCTTGGTAACCTTTGCGCGCGCAGACTTTGCTTCTGTTTTCTTCGAATCCCTATAGGCTTCTCTACCAGCCTCTACGTGTTGAGCACTGGCTAGAGTACGAATCCGCTCTGCTTCTCTTTGCATTGCTTGCAGGTCTCCAAGATCCCGTGCGCTAGTGAACCCGGCTTTGACACTTTGCATCGTGGTTGTCGCTGTCGAGAAAACAGACGTTCTGTTCATCGTGGCTGCTACTGAGTCTTTGGACAGAGAGTTTGACGTTTCCAACTTACGCCGCTTGAAAGATTGATCTAGCCCAGCACCGCTGTTTTTGCCACCGTATGCACCCCATGTTGGGTCATCTCCGTCAATCTCCTCCCGAGTCGTTGGGTACCGGTCATCCTCTGGATGTTCCAACAAGCAGAGAGCCGTCTTCATATGCTCAGATGATGGACATTCTCTGCGAAGGATGCGGGCTAACTCTGGTACGGTACTTCTCTTGAACGCAAGATCTGGCCCTCGATCGCTGAAAAGCTTTTGTATTTTCCGATCCGATATGAATCTCGAAAGTGTTGTCTGCTCCTGGCCCGACTGTTTGACTGGGCAACTTAAGTATAGTAAGCCTTGTGCTCGAGTCATGCCAACATATAGCAAGCGCCGTTCTTCGTCGTGGTCGTCCGCTCGGGAATGGGGTATGGATCCGTCGTAAACAGCAGGCATGAAGACCACAGGCCATTCAAGACCCTTCGCTGCGTGAATGGTGGAGATGGTGACCTGGTCTAGTTCACTACCCTCCTGGTCTGCCGCGCTCGAGAGGGTGACATTGGCTAGAAACTTGGACAAGATATCAGCTGCAGTGTCGTGCCGCTGTTCGATGCCTTCTACTACTGGCAAGGCGTCGTCAGAGATCTCTTCTCCATTAGCAACTGCTGTAGCCATTTGTGTCGCCTGATTCACTAGCTCCTCCACATTTGCCCATCGATCTTGCCAGTTCTCCTTGTGCGCCTGCTTGAGATAGGACTGGAAAGAAATCTTGGTTGTGACGTGCGATATAAGACCGAGTAGGTTGCAGTCTTCGCCTTTAGCAGGAAGGAGCTTCTCGCGAGAGGTGATGATAACATTAACGAACTGCTCAATACCCTTCTGCGCCTGGGCGGACACTTTGCTTTCCGGCTTTCTCCTGCCTTGAGCCACGTCAAGCACTAACTTCCACAAGGTCACTTTCCTAATCTCTGCTTCTTCGAGAAGGGCCTTGACAGTAGTGTCGCCAACTTTCCGAGAAGGTACGTTGATGACACGCGCTACCGCATCGTTGTGTTCAGGCTGGCTTACCACACGGAGGTAGTCCAAGATGATTTTGATTTCCGCACGGTCGAAGAATTTCGTACCAGCGACCATGCGATACGGAATTCCAGCTTGTCCAAGCGCTCTCTCAATCTGCAGGGTGAGTGGAGACGAGCGCACAAGTATAGCGTAGTCATTGTAGCTCAACAGCCCGGCTGTAAGCGTTTTGGTCCGCTGTATCTCTTCAACGATCCACTTCGCCTCCACATTCGCCGATATGAGATGGCGAAGAGTGGGTTGTTCGCCGACACCGTGGGTAGCAATCAACGACTTCTGTGGCCGACTCTCATCCTGCTCAATGACAGCCATTGCGGAGCTTAGGATGCATCCCGAAGATCGATAGTTGTTCTCCAAATTGATCACAACTGATTCTGGGTAATCGGTGCGCATCCTCAGCAAATTCTTTATCTCGGCTGATCGGAAGCTGTATATGCTCTGGTCCGGATCACCGACAATGGTAATACGTCTTGTTTTCTGAGCTAATAATCTCATCAACTCATACTGGATGTTGTTGGTGTCCTGGTACTCGTCAATGAGTACAGCTTGTATCGTCGAGACACAAGATGGTGATTTTCTTAATAGATCCACACAACGGACAAGGAGGTCGTCATAGTCGAGGAGATTTGAGGCGGCTAAGTGTTCTTGGTAGGATAGATATACCATGGCAAATTCGTTATCGTTGACATTCTTGGCTGTCCTTCGAAAGTCGTCGGCCGTGACGCCCTTGGCTTTCAACTTGGAGATCCTGGAACGAGCATGGCCAGGCTCTACTGTGTACTGATGACGCGTAACGATGCGTTTTAATATTGCTGTGCTGTCGCTAGTATCCGCGATGCCAAAGTTCTTGTCAATCCCAATCTCTTGACCGTAACGAGACAAGAAGCGACGCGCGACCGAATGGAAGGTACCCAGAATCAGTTTCGCCTCAAGTTTCTCTCCAACAAAACCCTTGATTCTTTCCTTCATCTCCCGTGCGGCCTTGATGGTGAATGTGCATACGATGATGTTCCATGGTTGTAGTCGCTCGTGATTGATGTGATATGCGACGCGTGCTGTAAGTGTTTTGGTCTTGCCTGACCCAGGCGGCGCGAGCACTTGGACAACATTGGCGGGACTTGTCACCGCGCTCTTCTGCGCGTCATTGAGCCCTTCCAACAATGCGTCCATGACGGTTTGTGCGAAAGATGACGTCTCATTAAGGGCTGGCCGAAGGCGTGTGGCGTGAAGGGACTTAAGAACGCGCTAGGAACACGCTGCACGTGTCGATAAGATAAGCCAGTACCTAGCTATAGCCGAAGAGCGGCAACCTTGATAGCTCACAACAACGCTTCAACCGAGTCTTGAGTGCCCAAGACTAAAAAGTCGAGCTAAACCTGTTAATTCGAAAAGCGTAACACTTCCGCTGGGCTTTGCGCCGGCGGAATCTCCGTGATGAGAGCGCCAGTCTGCCAAGTACTAATTTCTCGTATGTTTCCCCGCAAATGCGGAGGATGTACCCTTACTCGGACAGCTTTTATCCGACAACCCGGCGAGAAGTGACGATGATCATCGGATTTTGGCTTGCATTGAGCAAGCCTACCGACGGAAATTGAGGCTCTTCCCAGTTAGCTGTTCACGATGGTTGTACTGAGAAGTATAAAGGTCCGAATGTACCCAGTGTCTATGGCACACCCCGCAAGGTATCACTCAATCCACTGATCATGCTGGGACTACGCGTTTTAATTGGCACAGCGTTTGCTGGTGCTGTCGTCTCGGCAGGATACATGCCCGAAGTGTCAGGCCACACTGCTTTCCGGTACAATGCGCGTCGACAGGCAACGAACAGCACGTCTCCATCTTTCAACGGCCCGTACAGTACCAAAGGCCGAGATATTGTTGATAGCAATGGCGAAAAGACGACTTGGGCTGGTGTCAACTGGCCAATGAGTGGTATGTAGCAAGTCCAGACTCAAGTCTCATTGCAATAAACTGAAATCCTCTGCAGGCGAGACTATGATTCCTGAAGGACTTGAGTGGGCGTCAGCGGAAGAGATTCTTAATGACATCGCGGGTGTTGGCTTCAACTACATCCGCATGGGCTATGCTATCGAGATGATCGACCAAGTCTACGATCGAAACGGCGTGGACGTGCCACTCGAGGTTGGCCTCATCAACGCCCTGGGCTATGTGAACGGCACCAAAGTGACCAACGAGATCATCGAGAAGAACCCTGGTTGGACAGCTCAGACCACTCGATTCGAGATCTGGAGCGACATCGCACGCATCGCTGCTACAAAAGGCATTTTCATTAGCCCAGATGTGCACACTGGCAAAGCGCAGTGGTGCTGCTCACACATCGACGGTACCGCATGGTTTGACGACCTTGAGTTCAACGCAACGCACTGGCGCCGTGGTCTTTCCTATGTTGCCAATTGGGCAAAGGATCACCCAAACGTAGTTAGCATGTCTCTTCGCAACGAGTTGCGCGAATCCTGGAACGTCACGGATCTCTACTACAACTGGGACACCCTCGTCGGCAATATGACTGCTGGCGCTGACGCAATCCACGAGGCCAACCCTGATCTTCTTATTCTCTGGGGGGGTATGCAGTACGGGCAAGATCTGTCAGCACTCACTAGCGGCAAGAACATTCTCACAGCTCCCTGCTACAAGTGCACAGCAATCCGCGACGCCGCGAGGAGGGAGCCAGTGTACTTCAATCTCGACGATCACCCCTGGGCTGATAAGCTTGTCTGGGAACTCCATCTCTACAGCATGAGTGAGGACATCGACACGGGCACCTGCGACATAGTCAAAGCAAACTTCTACCGCAACGGCTTCAACGCTCTGGGCATCGATGCACCAGCCGCCTGCAACATTACGGGTGACTGCCCGAAGGCTGTGCGCGAGACACCAGTCATCCTGAGCGAGTTCGGTAGTGCGCAAGACGAGACACTCTTCAATAACACACTACAAAACTGCTTGAAGGAGTACACCATCGATAACGACATCAGCTGGATGATGTGGTCCATCGCCGGTTCGTACAGAATTAGATCGGGTGTTCAAGGTTTCCCTGATACGTGGGGCATGACAAACTACAACTGGACAGGTTGGAACTACGAGCGCGGTATTGAAGAATTCTGGAAACCATGGGTTCAGGCGATGAACACGACCAAGATTCATTAATTGTCCGCATCTACTTACGGAAAGTGCTTAAAGAACATTACTATCGAAAGACGCATTGAAAACGTGTCAACTAGTATCTGATATGAACTACTGTCCTTCCCGTTCACACAACACCTTGCATCTCCGTAAACAGTCTGCTTCCTTTTCTCCAGCCTCGATTCTTGTTTCGCAAATGCTAAATCCAGCCAGGAGTACAGGGTACTCAACAGTTCAAGACACGTTATAACCTATAGCCCTCATGATCGCCTTGTCTTCCTCCACATCATCCATCTCCCAGATCCTTAGCCTATACGACTCCAGAAAATGCTTAAAGCTATCGAAGCCCAAGTCTTTGGAGACTTTGTAAGTGGTAGTAATGGTCGACTTGTCGCTATTCGGAGACATGTTGCTGACCCTGAAAGTTGATGCCGGGCTTTTGAGGATAGACTGCAATGGGAGTGGACTGTAGCGGGAAGGCTTCGTTGTGTTGATCTCACAGATAATGAGATGATATTCTATCTACAGGACGAATGGGCTTATCGTATAGGCCGGAAAGTTTACTACCTAACAGAGGAATAAACTGATTGTCCATGGGTCGAAAATTGCAAACCAACACGTTGTGTTGGTCTCGGAGGGTGCGCGTGTCTATGTGAGGGGCATGATCAGGAGACAACATAAAGCGAAGTCGGCTTCAGTGAAATACATAGTGGGGCACGGCGGAAGCTGGGGAACCCACGAGTAGACAATTTGACATGTGATTGCGCGCATGATTGTGAATCATTATTCATGAGAATAATATTATGTTGGGGCAGCATGAATCTGAAGGCTCATGTTACCTGTTGCTAGAATACTGCACCGAAGCTAAGTGCGCCAAAGACGGCACCCATCCACCACTCCAGCTCACTCCTTCTACCAGCTCCAGCTTCCTTGCTGGAGGTAGTAGCCGAATCGCCAGTTTGCTCACCAGGACTTGCAGGATCAGTGGTACTTGCTTCGAAGCCAGATCTTGGCACAACCATGGTGGTAGGCGCAACACGCACAGTGGCAATGACAGCAGTCCCGTCCGAAAAGACTGAGACCAAAGTGTTACCTTCGGCGTCAGTCGTTAATTCTACAAAGGTAGGGAAGAAGTTGCTCCCGATGTTGGTGCTAAGACCAGCCGTAAGCGTTAACGTCTGTGTTCCATATACAAATTCGCCAATGGCTACTGCTGGCGTTATTTGTGGTGGAGATTTTATATCCGTATTGCTTGCCATGCCAGAGTCGGGAGTGGCTGCTGGCTGGCCAAGCGCACTATTTTCTCCATTTTGGTTATTTGCGGGCGCTACAGTTTGACCAGGGCTATCGGTCGCAGAAGATGCGGGTTGAGTTGGCTGCACATTCGATGGTGCGCGCCCAATCTGAGAGACTATCTGCAGTAGGAGACTGTTCTGCTCTATCTGCTGTTGCGCCGATCCTGTAGCACCGGGATTTTCTACCATCGTGTTCGAAGCCCTGACTGTGCTCGGTCCCATAATGAAGCCCGGCTGTCCAGCACTGCCCTCGCTCTCTTGTTCGGTCCCCCACACGAGAACATTGGTTTCGAGGTTGAGGATGGTCGGCCGAGTCGTGGTGACAGTGGTCGCGGTCGGAGTAAGTGTTACGAGACGATTGGTAGCTGGACCCGTCTCTCCCCAACCTGTGGCAGACGGAAGAATAATCCATTGCAAGCCACCACAACTACCAGGATCGATAGAACAACAGCTGTCGGCGTCAAGAGTACACACTTCGACCTTCACGTCCACCCAATCTACAGAACTCTCGGTGGCAGTGACATCGGACGGTTCTGTTATCTGCGCCGCGATCGATACGGTGGACTGTTGGCTGGGAGCAATCTCGGTGACGTTGGGTAAGAAAGAGACCTCTGCTTTTAATTAGCCTATATGCTCTCAAATTGGTACGACGGTGGTCGCGCACGAGGGACAGCTGCTGCGGCGTTCGCTAGGAATAAGAGCGTCAAGAGCTCTGGCGGAAGGTACATGTCAGTACGACGCTCTCTCATGCCGTCAATCTGGCATTGGCAAGGAGACGGTGAAAGTCTCCAACGCCCTCAGACACTCAGGCCCCTTGCGGCCCGCCATGTTCTCGAAGTGAGTAAGTTCGCGCGCTGTGCCGCAGGGCAAGCCTCATCGTGGCTAGCCGAACGTCGACGAGCACGCCAAGCGCTGCCGGGCGTTGTCACAATCTCCGGAGTCTCATGCATCCACGCTGCAACTTTACGACCAACGACAGCTGCGATTCAGCAATCCTCCGAGATTCACGTCAGCACTAGGACCGATACCTGCCTTATATGGCCACAATTCCAGGTGTTGTGCATGTACTATCGCGGCAGTGGCGGTACAAAGAACGCGTTACAGCTGACCGGCATCTGAATCCCTCCGCCTCCTCAATGCACAAGCGTCTAGATGCAATTAACCACTAACGAGAAGGATCGACTTCAACGGAACGTGAAGGCATCCATTCTTTTTTTAGTACGCTCGGATATACTTCGCTTTGGAAGCATACCCAGGTACGCTATGGCTCACACCCACATATTCTTGAACATACCGTAGTGCATACCTCCACGTCAGACGTAGCAACTAACAGCCTAGTCCCGATCGTGGTGTCGAGTACGTTTGAGCCTTCACGTCAACCAGGAAAGAACTAAACACCCTAGAGCCTACATTAACGTTAAGTAATCTACGTTGCATGCTTTTATCTTAATGTAGTCTGTAGACCTGTTTAGTTCTTTCCTTGTATAAGGTGCCTTGGTAGTACCCCGGGCTTACTCACCCGAGGATGTGCGGCTCTTTCGCGTCGCCGCTGTACCCGTTCATTTGTAGCACTCCAATGCCAACCGCCTGGCTTCTGATCTGACGTTTACGAGCCACAATACTGTCTACATTTTATCAACCTGATTGATATGACTACTGCGCTGAAGAAATCTGAACATGCAGATAACCTTGGAAGGCTATTCCGTGAGGAGCGCTAAGAGAAGTCATAGGAATAGAGAGAACGGTACAAGAGCTGCGTAGGCAACCGGTGAGGAGACATGTCGAACAGGAAGGCAGCGAAGATCTGTGAGAAGCAGAGTAAAGGTTTGTGGGTAACGCTTTCTGTGCAGCTGGCGATCAATGACACCTCCCAGGCAGCACACTTAGTCGTGAGGGTCACATGGGGAAGATCCTTCATGCTCTTCAATTAGTATGCGTCAACTGCCTGGTCAGTCCTTATTGTAGGCCTCCTGGATTAGGAGACCGCAGCATCCGAGTGACTACAACGTGCAAGTGCGCAACCGATGAGTTACTACCATGGCGACGAAGGACATCTCCTGTATGGATCATACTTTTGGTCATGCTCTTCACTGCCCACATCTCAATTGCGACATCGTCATACCAACACTCGCTCTTCTTGACCAAACCTTACTAACGAGAAGGCTGACAAAGGAGCGCTGACTCCAGCAATGATTCATCCAAAGCGCATGATCCTTTGAGCGTCATAAGCTCCAACCGGCGAGGTACCCACGAGAGCCAACGACCGGGGAACATCAGCGAAGACATCGGAACGACACGGGGTTTTCCTATAGGCATCCATCTCAACATCGGCGATTATCCGCTATGTTATTGCACTTTGATTACACCAAACCAACGTCCACCGTCGTGTTCCCGGCCCCCACACCTCCACATTGTCACAGCCTCGTAGTGGCGACCGCAGATTCAGCTGGCATGACCCCTCCACAATACACACGGCAGGGGCCCTGAGGATGACATAACTCTAAAGATTCGATTCAAGCCTCAATGTTCTGGCGGTCAGGAACTCATCGGTAAAGTATCGTTCACGCGGAGCACGCCAACAGTGGGCGCAACCAATCAAATCACAGAGCGATTTGCACAAGCCACAATCGAGCCGCAAAAAAAGAGGCGGTGCACGTTGGGATTCATGGAGCCCATGCTAGCTAAACAAGGTGATTCTTAAGTCGTCTAGGCAGTTGAAACATTTCGTCGGATGGTATATAGAGGGTTCTGGAGGACAGTAAGCTTGCTTCTCCGGTCCTCATATGCACGAATATAAGTACTTGCAATCCATCGACATTGCAAAACGCACAACTTTCTTCTGAGCATTATCATTACAACCATCCTGTACCAAATCACAGTCATCATCTTAAGGCTTGTCCTTTTAGCCGCACCAGTCAACTAACCATGTCTTACCTGCACCTAACGCGTACTCGCACCCGCGAGCGCACCCCAGAGTACGAATCTTACTACTCACGTCCCCTCGTCCATCACGACTCTAGCAAACGCCGTCGGAGCATCACACTCTCAGATCTCGATGACGAAGATGGCCATGACGACTACCCCTACTCGTCCAACCATAAGCCAGCCAGGCCATCCCGCGCCCTAACAGTACGGGATCAGCCCTTTCAACTCGAGCGCTACAACGTCTGGACTGACAATCGGCGCCCCCAAAACGATGCGGAGGACGAGAACAGACGCCGTAGCTACGAGACAAGGCGTACGTACAAATACTCCTCGGACCGCGCCGCTTCTTCCGAGCCAGACGACCAAGATTTCCACCTCAGCATCAACGCTAAGTTCGGCCGTCCACACTCGTCGCACCACCACCACACTTCCTCGCTTCTCTCACCCTCTTACGACCCTTTCCATCGTAGTGAAAAGTGGTGGGTAGATGAGCGTTGGGAGTCTCGTGAGCGGTCTGCCTCACGGGAAAGGACCCGTACACGACGAGACAGTTTCTGGGGCGACTCTCCTTTCGAGGAGAAGGAGACTGAGGAGGAGAAGTGGAGAAGCTATCATAGGGTTGGTGGAAGGGAGGTGGAGAGGGAGAGCGTCAGGCCGTTGAGTGGCTGGAGGAGAAGGAATATTATCTTGGGTGACGACTAGGGAGGGCATCTAGGGATAGAAGGAGGCGCTCGATCCAAACTGTGTTTCTTAGTGTTGTGTCCTCCTCATTGTTGTTAGTCTTAGATGATTTGAGTCTGCTTTAGGCTTCGCGATAGACTGTCTTCGTTTGTTTTCCTGAGCAGCACATGTGGCTAGAGCTGCTTCTGTACCCTGAATATAATATTCGATTAGTAGCTCAATGAGAAATATTTTGAATTGTTCATTAGGATGAGAACATGAGCAAGTGCCGGTTATCATCAAGCAGTCCAACTATCGATTCCTCAAAAGCCGAAACCGAGGCCTCATTTTCCTCCCAATTGCCGTATCTGTGATCCATTGCTCATATTCCAAGTCCCTCGTATCTGTGAAATCCACGTCTTCGTAGTGCCATCTGCGCTCCAACCAACTCTCCTTGTCCTGCTCATATACACTGGACTCGAGTGCGCCCAGCACCTCATCCTCAATCTGCCACTCCGTGCTATGTCCTATATTTAAATAGCGCAAACGGCCTAGATACCGTTCATCTATCAAGGTGAAGAGATCGGTCATGGTGAAACTGCGAGAGGGGTCACCCGTCCGTCCACAAGCAAGGAGAGTCAGTCTGTATAGTGGCTTGGCTTCTTGCCATCGCGCTGGTGAGAAATCTGGTGGCATGTTTCCGAACCGGCTGTCGATATAGTCTAGTGCTATGGTTAGAGAGACGAGGTTTGGTAGCCAGTCTAGTACACTGTTTAATCGGCCTTGTTTGACGGCTGGTAGATCGCGGAGTTCGACGACAGTAAGCGATGCAGATAAGCTGTCAAGTAGGGGTCTGATACCTTGCCTGCCGTCTTTATGTTAGCATTCGATTTTCCAGTAGCAGTCGTCCCGTGACTTCGTTGCAATAGAGTCTTGACGTACTGATCTAGCCCTGGACTATGGTGAATACTCAGCGAAGAGAAAGTCGGAGGGAAGTTATCCGGTTGTCGTAGCATATCCCATAAGAATTGACCAGAGACCGATCCGGATAGAGCGAGGTGTTCCAGCTTGGGTGGCCAGCGAATACTGGGACCACCGGGTGTGGCTGAGGGTTCATATCTAGACGAACAGCGAGGTAAGTAAAGCTCGCGTAGATCCCCAAGTTGTCGTATTGTTTGATTCAAGCTCTGAAAACTGATGCATTCGGACACCCTAGTTTTGGAAGAGTATGTCAGTTCACGAGTCGAACGAAGATCGTGTGTCTGGGGATTACCAACAGGCTCAAGTCGAGAACGCGTAGCCGGGTGCATTTGCTCAGGCTGGCCCAGCAATTGATTGCAAAGCTAGCTTGGGGTGCTACGAAGACTTCAAGAGATAATCTCGTTCGGCCTAGCAATCTAGCTGTTGTCGATTTGGCGCCTTGATGTACGATGTGGGATAAGTCCAGCGACTTTACTAGACTTGATAACGCTGTGGGCTTGTGATAGGTTAGCAGTTATCGCCAACTACTCGGAAGATTCTTACCTTGATGCGGGCTAGCACGGAAGGACATATTGTTCGTAAAAAGAGCTCGTACGCACTTCCGGATAGGTACGGTGATTCGTATAGCGGTTGAACTGCTATCTATGCATCGGACAGTCAAATTAGTCACAATACGTCTGATGACCCGGAGCACGACATTCACATACATCATACCACTGTCTACTATTGTAAGCTCATGTGACCAAGATCCTCAATGCGAGATATTACCTATTGACAGCGGAAAAGCGTGCCAGCGTGGTTTGCCTCTCAATCTCGCCCCACAATTCAAAGTGCGCCAAGATTTCAAGCAGCAGTTCGTTGGGTAGATAGTTGGCATAACTGGAAGAGGAAGTAGACATGATTAGCGCGGTCGCATGTGAGCATGCGTAAATGCATTTGGACTCGTGAAGAAGTCATTACACAAGCGCGTGCGCGCAGAGATGGCGACATGACGCACTAGCGCGATTGGTGATCTAGGCTATCACCGAGTAACACCGAGACACAGCTCACGTTCAACCCCCGCACTCGCCAATCAAGACCCTCACACACTCGTTTACGGAAACACCCGCCTCCTTAGAGCTGAACTCGGTGCCTAGGATCTGTCGGTCCTACTAAAACGTAAATCCCTATTGACAAGACTTATGGCGGTTAATGTGAAACATGCGACACGCATCACTATATACGCACGCGATGAGAACAAAGGTTGTGATTCCCCGTATCTATTCACAAGCACCCATTTCACATTCCATACTCTGTCTCTCTTTGCATTTCACAGTTTCATAGATCTTTGATACAAAATATAATCCCTACAATACAACGACCCTCCTCCTTCTTACAAACAAACAAGTTTTGGTCCCTCTGTATTACTACACAACTTCATACCTTCATTATCAACAACAATGCACACCTTACTCATCGCGTTAGCGACTATAGGACAAGCAGCCGCGGGTCGGCTCCTAGTCGCGTCATATGGAAATGACACTTCTCCTGGCGCTATCCAGACTCTCGAACTACCACCTAGCACAAACGAAAACATTGACCAAACGATGAAAGTTACTCATGAGAACCATGAGTGTGGGAAGTCACCCACATGGCTCGATTTGTCCCTTGGTCGCGAAAGGATAGTCTGTCTAGACGAAGTAGAAATTGGTGCCAACCTCACAATGTTGAGCGTTGGTGCTGATGGCAGCCTCAGCAAGATTTCGAGCAGCCCGGTTTTGGGAGGAGCGGTCTCTTCGGCGTCCTACAACAACGGATCGGCACTTGCCCTCGCTCATGTGCGTACTCCTCTCCCTTTCTAATCCTTGATGAACATGTACTGACAAACCGAATAGTATGGCCCCCAAGCAGCAATCTCACTCTTCACAATCGATGGAAACAACAAGTTCTCATCCCTACAGAACTTTACCTTCGAGAAGCCTGAACAGATCCACCAGGCCGTCCTTGACCCCACAGGCCAATTCATGATTTTCCCTAGTCTCGGTGCCAACCTGGTCCACGTATACTGCATCGACCCCGCAAGCCACCAACTTACGGAACACGAGCCACTCAAATCAAAGCCGGAATACGGCCCTCGACATGCAGTTTTTTGGACAAGCCCCGATTCCAAGACCACATACCTCTTTGTCGTCCACGAGAAAAGCAACAAGATCATCAGCTACAAAGTAGACTACCCTGAGTGTGGCGGCCTGGAATTCACCGAGGTTGACGAGGTCAGTACGTATGGCAACACTACGCTCCCGCCAGTGTCATATGCCTCGGAGATGACATTGTCACCTGACAACAAGTTCCTCGTCGCAGCGAATCGTAACGGCACGGTGTTCAAAGTAGACAATCCCGACCCAAAGAACAGCACCCAGGTTCCAAGTGACTCACTTGCAACATTCAAGCCGACAGCGGATGGAAAGCTGTCATTTGTCCAACTCGCCAAATCAGGCGGATACTACCCTCGCCACTTCAACATGAACAAGGACGGATCCATGATTGCGGTTGCGAACCAATATAGCAAGAACGTTGCTGTCTATAGCCGAAATCTAGAAACAGGGAGGATCGAAGACAGCAAACCGGTGGCCACGGCTGAGGGCCTTGGGCCTGGCGATTTGATGTTTGTGCAGTGGTTGGAGCAACAGTAGATTGTGTGAGATCCTATTGAGAGACGGTTCATGTACACTGTTGAGATGACGTGTACCAGAAGATTGGGGTCATGTCTTGTTATGAGACACTCCATGAGCATCATCATATTTGAAATGGCAAAGTATGTACATAGTTCAATATCACGGAGCATCTATTGAAGATGCCCACTTTTCCTGCGCGACAGCCCACGATACAGCGTCCCAAACATCGCTCACAATCTTGCGCGGCTCAGGCGACGGTATTGTACCCTTCTTGTAGACACCAGTTTCCACTAACACACTAGCCCAATCTGTACCATGCGGACTCTGGTAGTTGTTACCGCCAGCAATGTCACTGGCGGGATTGTCACCGACCATGTACACGCGCTTTAAATGGCTGAGTGGACTACCATAGTTTTGCATCAAACGATGCCGATGCGCTATGAGACGTTTCTCAGCAAATTCGTACGTAGGTCGATGGGGCTTGCCCATTACGACCTTCTGCAACTTAACACCTTGTGCCTGACCACCAGTTATCGCAGCCCAGATACCCTCGAAAGCCTCGCGGAAGCCTCCCTGACCCAGACGTGGTAGGTGATATTTTGCTGCCCACAGCAGGTCTGGGTTTGAGAAGTATAGTGGGGGCTGTCCGTCTTGTTGGTAGCCACGGTTCTCCAGAGCTGGATTGCCGTTCTTCTGTGATAAAGTTCCAACGATGCCACGTTCTGACAACAAGACATCCTTGATGATCTGCGAATCCAACCCCCAGTCTCGGGGATCGTTGTATACAAAGACAGCATCGATGCGGAGCGATTCGGATGGCGAGTCAACGTCGATAGGGACAGGTAGCGGTCGAGTAAAGGTCTTGTAGTAGGACAGCAGTTGCTGCGAGAATGGCCAAACATCCGGGTGAGCAACCATAATGTCGCCAGGTATGACTACGTTCTTGAAACTAGGCAATCTGTTAGAATGCTGCTGCACCATGTAGTGTCGTTCCGTCATACCCGTATGCCTCAGCGACCTTCCTGCATTTATCCTCAACGCCACCCACGACCATGACCGTCTTGTCCTTGAGGTCTTCCATGTCGGCGAAGGGAGTATGGCTTTGAACAAACATGGATGTATCAATAGACACGTCCAGTTTACTGCTCAACTCGGCCACGCGGTCGGATTCGTGTTTGCCGCCGCCATTGGTAAGAAGTATGAAGGGGATGCGCTGTGACTGCAGATACGAGAGGGCCTTTTGAGCTCGCGGCAGCGGATCTGAGCTCCTTAGGAGTACTCCATCGATACTGACAGCCGTCAGCTGCTGTGTTGAGAGGCCGATGGTGTGAAGGCCTTACTCGAAAGCGAAAGCAAATTCTGGGGCACGGACGGTGGGAGCAGCGGCCGTCTGGAATGCGCGGCGTAGAGGCAGGCCGTAGCTGCAGCGAGCAAGTAACCTCATCGCGTGCATCACTATTGGTGGATTGCGAATTCCTTGTGATGATGTGATGTCTTGCCTGGCTACCTGCAGCAGCATGCGCGTCGGGAAATTATTAGTCAGCTGGTCATTGTCGCGTTACCCAATATTGCGTCACACGATTTGAATACTACACATGAATCCTAAGCTTCACATATAATCTATGCTTTTGAGACCATGTACCAAGTAATTGATTCGGTCAGTTTTGGTTATTGCTCGTAGTGAAAATTGGCGCAATCTGAAATCCTAAGGTCCACGTCTGCTCGGTGGGAGCTCCGTGGCAGCTTGCCCGATCCTCATAGCCGACTCCTTCTGTGTACAGGCACGCTGACGTCTACTGACTGGGAGCGTATACAACTCGGAGCAAATCGTGACTCTATCATTCGTTCGATTGACACTGTTGCTACGAGTCTTCCTGACTCGGAAGTTATGCATATCTAAGGATTCCTCTTGCCATCCGGAAGCACGGGAGACACATGGCGTTGAGTGCTCATACACCGGTACCTTTGCATAGCTCATCGAGTCTCCAAATCACAGCTGTTGGTCGCATCATTACAATGCTTCTGTTTAAAGACACTGTATACTCATTAGTTCCTTGAACGAGAAGATATTGTTGTCGGTATGCTTGTATTCGCTCGTCCACGGCTACAGGCGAACCTTCAGCAGTGGATATTTCCCATGTGGAAATTTACTCGCTCATCTCCAACTGACATGAATTGCAATATATAAGGGCTTTCCTACTGAGGAAATTTCACACGGGATAACTTCTTGGTAGGGGAGCCAAACTGCCATACTGACCAATACGATATCTACATCGACCGACTCGTTGTTGAGATCGTAAATCTGGCCCACTCTACTGGACATAGTAGTCGGCGACTCAGACTACCCCTTGCTTAGAACTCGGCATAGAACCTTGCTGAGACTTCTCTCTACCGCTGAAACCTTCTTTGTTCCCATTCTTAACAGGTGCAATGGCGTTGGAACAATAGTAAGCAAAATCACGTGGCATGACATACCGTATCTGAGAACAATAGTAAGCTAACATCGAGTCCCCTCACCGTTGTCGGGACCATGCTCTGGATCTTTTGACAACAACAGCCACAAAGGAAGCTTCGTTATTTCCTATACTGTGATACTCTTCTTCGTTGTATAAGACGATGCTCATGTCCCCGCAATTTCTTCCTCTTCCAGCCAACAGAACACTGTATCAGCAATTACAAGCTCTCTAAATATTCTTTGATCGCCTCGACCTACCCAAGCCAACTCAACTGTCAGCATGGCCCTTTGTCGTGGCACCAAAGGCAGCTGCACCGTCCAACGCAATACCAAAGGCGGCATCAATGGCCTGAGCGGTTGCACCGTCCAACGCAGTGACTTTCCAGGCCACTACACCGCCCAACTTGGTGGCGTCAGTGGCGGCTGCACCGTCCAATAGATAACTCCCCTCTCCTTCTCCCTCTCTCTCGTCAGAGAATCGACAGAGAGACGCTGCTTGTAGTTGCATTACACCCAACAACTACAAATTGATGCGGTTTCGGCTCATCACCGCTCTCACTTCGATCATTCGCTTCTATACGATAACAAGAGGATTGTGTCTGAGTACTTACGCCAATCCAAAAGTACGCAGATACAACTCGCCTCAAAGCCTTGCTATAATACCGATAAAGAAACATGCGAGAATCTTCCGACATGGCCGATCGACCTTAACAACACATGCGGCGATGGGATTGGAGTCTTGTTCTGCCTACGGCTTGGCCTCTTCTTTCCTTGTAAATTATGTACCTAGCACCTAATGCGCACGCCAGATTGAGTCCTCGGGGGGTGGTTTCTGGCTTTGGTCTTTATATTGACAGCAGCGATTGTTCGGAGAGAGCTTAATGATATGTACATACTCGTTCGCCTTATACATCTTCTATCTGTGAGCGCTGGTGACTAATGCGTGTCTCAATGTGTCAGCGTGGTCTTTACCGCCGTGTTTGGTTTAGCACGGCATAATGCAGTCCCATCGAAACTGCGATGGACAGCTGTTTGTGTATCACAGATTTTGATCTCTCTCGATTGATTTAGATATCACCAACAGGAAGAGCTCTACAACACGACAACTTGGGTAGCAACGAAAATGCGAAAAAAGCATTGACACATCACACCGCAACATTTACTGTTCGCAAGAAACCATCTTTTCTATTGTCCATGTTGAAAACGGAAAGGACTATCTGTACATACACATCTGAAATCACTGGAAACAGCCCAACAAGCCTGTTTCAGTCAGATAGCCCTCAGCAGAACTATGCCGCATGATGTGGGTTGAAACAAGGCTACGATACAATGGAGTTTAATAACACGTTCATCACCTTCCTCGTAGGCTCCGTACCGAAGGTTTGCGTGAAACACTGTCTTTCACTGCAGTCGCGGCGCCCTTTGCAAGAGGCTCTCGTGAAATAGGGCTTGTATAAGGCGATTTCTTAGAAGCGCTGCGTAAAGATGCAGGGGTTATGTTTGGTGAAGCATTATCCTCTGAATCCAGTACCTCAGTGCTCGTTTCTCGATTTGGCGTGCTTGGTCGTTGGGGGCGAAGTGCCTTTCTACTTGGCAGTGACCGAGCAGGCTTCTTGACCTTCTTCAGTGCACCAGGCCTAGTAACCTTCCTTTGAAAGCTGACGGTTGTGTGTCGGGTAGATTTGACTGTGAATGGCTTGGCCGTCCGGAGATTGGCTGATCTCGTACGTTTATCAAGAGTTCCAGAATTTGATCGCTGTAGAGCGCGGTTTTCGCGAGATGCGTTCTGGCGCGACAGCGCATCTGCTTCCCTTTCGGCTTGCTCACGAGCAGATTCCGATCGAGCGACAGCGTTCTTCGCCTTCGCGCTAGCTGAGTTGCCTACAAGCATCCTGCGCTTCTTGGGGGAGCTTTGGGTGCTTTCAGAACCAGATCTTCGAGGACCGAGCAAATCCTGGAGTTTGCGTTTCGTGCCGGTGATGAGCGCTGAAGCTATTGACTTCTCTTCAATGGGTTTCTTTGGCTTGGGACCGAGGACCCCACGGCATGATTCAGTACCACAGCGGCATTCCTGAATGTTTTTTTGAGAAAACGGACTAACGAAGTCAGAATGGTTCAACGTATACGTCATGAGACATGACTTACTCAAAATTGTAATCGTAGGTGAGCTCATCGCCAGTCATGATGCCGCGGGGACCGGCGAACAGCGCCATGCGAGGCTCTCCACCCACAGTCCACTTGATCATCTCGCAGTTGGGTTCACACGAGTGATTGACGAATCGAGCAATAGTCCCACGAGTCGCATCGATGATCATTTTGTTGTCGAAGCTCATGAGATAATAGCACTACAGAGAATTAGCGGAAATCTGTATGGCAAGACCTCGACAACGTACCTTGTCTTTCTTGTAGACCTGTTTCATGCGCCGCTCGCATTCAGACTGGGTGATGATCTCTCCAGCATACTCTACGATGATCTGGTGTGGCTCGAACGTTCGCATAGCACGAACACCGAACCCTCGGTCTTTTGTATCGAGAACTTCCACACCATAGTCATAACGGTTGCCTTTTGCACGCTTCTTGAGCTCTGCGAATGGCCGATTGTTACATAGTTCCGGAGGCAGTGGACAGTTGGTATTGTCACATTCATACGCCATGATCCGATTGTGACAGGACTCTCCACAGCCATCCTCTTCATCGCAATAGCATTGAGAGGAGTCTTGCTTGTCGCGTTTCCACAGCGCAGATGCGTCGCCGATGAACCTATCTGCAAGCCGTTAGCATTGTTGACTGAGTGGGATCATACTAAGCTTACTTTTGTTAAGTTTGACCCAACCGTCGACCTTAACCTTTCTGGGTAGAGGACTGTAAGTATCGAATGGCAACTTGAAATCGCGGAATACATGTTTGGGGTCCTCGTTCAATAGACGCTCGCAGGCAAAGATTGGGAGGGGCAAGATGGAGGCCTGCCATGGTTTCTTCACCCTCTTCTTCGCACGGTTCTGGCTTTCTGAGAGACGAGGATCAAAGTCGCGGTCCTGGCCAACATACAAACCTTGCTTAAGCCAGACTTTCGACTTGGGCTTCGAGAAGATCTTTTCTTCCTGGTCTTGGCTATCTGCGTCTCCATCCTCCAGGGCAGCGCGAGACCGCTTGAGAGAAGCCGCGGAGGAAGCTGATTGGCCGGATTTGAAGGATGGTTCTGAAGTACTACGCCGTAAAGTGCTTTTGACGAAAGCCTTTCCTCCTGAGTACATGCTTGCGACGGTGTCGCCGACACCGCTTTTGCGGAGGACCTCCTTACGAAGGTCCGTCACGCGCGAGGAGGTGCGACGTCGTGCCGCCTGGGCGGCTTCGGCAGCCAGCTGATCCTCGACCTGGTCGCTGGCATCAGTCATCTCAGACTTCCGCTTCAGCATCTTCTTTCGCATGGGTGTGGCTTTCTCCTTCCTCGCGAGCTCCTCAAGTGAGCCGTGCACGACATTCTTGTGGTGCTTCTCAAGGTATTTGGTCGGCGTGTGAATTGCAGTTCCGGCGAGAATCTGCACGTTGTACGTGGCGACGGACTTGCGCGAGCTCCTAGCAGGGCGGCGGGCCTCGATGTTGACGGCGTCGTGCGTGGTGGTTTGCGCGGGCGCTGAGGTCTCGCCGAGCATTTGGAGGCCCGGAGCGTCCTCGTACACTTCGACGGCTTGTTCGATCTTCGTCATCTCGGACATGACGCTGGCTTCGTCGCCGAGGCTGGTAGGTGGCGTCGAGATGGAAGGCGACGCGCTGGACGTGGCGCGAGCATCGCCTTGCTTGTCAGTTCGCACCGTGATGTTGGAAAGTGTAGAGGATGTCGAAGTTGGGGATAGATCGCGCTCGGCCATGACAGCGGACGGGCAAGGCAGCAGCACGCGTCGTGGTCGTGGTCTTGAGGGGTGAGGCACTGACGCGCGAAGGAGGTGGACGGTTTGGGCGGGTCAACGGCGCTCACGAAGCAACACTGCCAAAGTCTACGCGCGATAGGCAAAGAGCAAGCGAAGAAACGTGTACAACTGTTGATCCGATTTAGGAGAGTGTGTGGGCATGCATTGGGAGGCGCACCGAGCCAGAATTGGGAGATAGATGGACGGATGGACGATTTGGGGAGGTAAACACATGCAGCTAGTCAGTCAGCCGATTAGGCCGTCGTGCCCTGTATATCCAATGTTACCAGCACCACCACTCTTCGCATTCCGTCTTATTACCGGCACGTACGGACCAGGTCCTCGAAATCGAGCCGGCTGGGATAATGTCATAGAATATACACATAATCAAGAAACCCACTAACCAGTGCATGCAAACTATCATATGGTGCCGTGCCTGCACTCATGTATTGTGAAGAAGCTATTACTTAAGATGGGCTAACCATATGATTACGCTGATCAGAAACATCGTCTCATGCCACAGTCGCGTCTGCAGCGTCACGTCCTGACCTACTAGCTGGGCCCTGGAATGCCCCAGACCCGCTAACATCCTGCATCTCCACCCCGCCGCCCTGCTGCTCTGGCACTAAAGGCGCAGTCCGTTTATCTTTGCGCGAACCAAACCTTTGGTCGCCCTCCTCGTACTTTCTCTTGAAATGGAGATAGGTCGGCGGACGTGGTCGCTGTAATACAGCGACCCAGTTCTTCAACGCTGAACCCTGTGTGAAGGGCCTATGCCGATCCTTTTTAAGGAACTTGTGTGAGTTCAGATATTCACGCGTGGTTTCGCCCCTACCAACCAGGAACAGATGGTATACGCCAAGACTGAAGGGATATGACCACCCAAGGAGTCCGTATATACACATGGCAAAGGGAACACGCCATCGATCGATGGCCTCGCCAAAGGATGCTCCAGTTTGCGTCCGCCAGACCAGTATGTGTGCCAGACTAGCACCCAGGAGGAAAAGACCTAGCAAAGTGGTGGCGCACACGAAGACAAAGAAGTAACGGTAGTTGCGGCGTCCCACGCAGTTGTTGAGCCAGACACAATGGTGATCCTGCGTCTCAATGCAATTGTCACATACACGGCAATGGTGAGCACGTGGAGGTCGCCAGATATTGCAACTCTTGCAATATTTCGTCGGCACCTCCATGGCTGCATTCGTGCCGGTTGCGGAGACCACCATAGTCCACTCGGTGGTGGGCGGGCCGAGGCTGAGCGGATCGTCATTAGGATTAGGAGGGGGGAATGGGTGTAGATTTCGGGGAAGTATCTATACAGCGTCAGTAATGTTCAGGACAAAGGAGGTGCATGACATACGCCCGGATCTGAAGCTGACGCATGAAAGAAAGAGGAGATGGAGACGAGAAGCAAATATGCAAAGAGGATGGGTATCGAAGGAGAAACGTTGGTCCATAGCCAAGGGGCCCTATGGTAATAGTTAGCGTGAGGGACAATAGCAGTGGAGGGGAGTCCACGAACGAGAAGCCGAAAAAGAGACCAGCAGGTAAGATGATGAGGATTGCCGTGGCGACATTAACTGGACGGTCGCGCGTATTTTGTAATCTACCACCCCAGCAAAATGCGGTATTGCCAGAGAAGTACTGGTAGTTTCTGCCGAGCTCCCGCTTGACTGCCTCCTTGGTAGCTTCTTTGCGCGCTATTCTGGGTGACGACTCGGCAGAGGTGAGTTTCTCGTGTCCTTGATGGGGTCGCATTTGGGCTGAGCGTCCGTCGCGACTGGATAACATGAAGCTGGAACCAAAAGAGCGGGGCGACTTGCTGGGCGTTGGGAGCTTGCCGGAATCGTGACCATGAACGTTAGAGAGATCCAGGTGCTGAGGCCTAGGTCGCTGCAGGGGGGTGATGCTCTCGCCTCGACTGCGCACTGTTTCTGCGCCGGTGGGCGTGGTGTTGGCTGTGGTGCGGTCGGGCATGTCTCTGTCGGTGATGTCGGTGCCGCGCGACGGCGGAGGCTGCGGGTCCAGCTCGTGATGGAGGCCCAGGGTTGGGGCACCGTGCCGAATTGTTTGCGTAGAGCCTGTACTCTGGCGATACGGATTGCTGCCCGTTTCGTGTGTAGTGTCCGAATAGAGCGAGCCGTGGCCGAGGAGGGAATTGGGGCGTTGGTTGCGTTGTTGTTGAAGACGCTGCGAGCTCATGGGGCGAAAGAAGCCGTGGGCTGCCAGCGGAACATGGGTTCTACTGGCAGACGTCGTTGGGCGGCTGTGTCCTAGACTGCCGGCGACGCTCATGCCGCCTCCTCGTCGTGCAGGGCTGGCCTGAGACCATCTGTTCTGGCTGCCCGAATTTGCAGTCGCAATCGACGACGGTCGCGAGGGTGGCAGGCCGGGCTCGCCTGCTGGGCCCGTCATGCCCAACACGCGACTGCCAGTCGAGCTGCGCTTCTGTTCGGACGGCGTCATGGCCATGGTGATGTGGTTTCGGGCGCTATTACACTCTCGGCACGCAGCATGACATCAAAGAGCTGAAATTGTGGCTGGAGGGAAGGCACGGCTTGTACAGCGCGTGGTCGCGACGAATACGGGGAGCGCGGATGGGCGAGGATGGCGACCGGCAGGGAAGGAGCGACTGGAAGTGAGTGAATGGAAGGGCTGCGGCGCCGAAAGGCTAATGGAATGATGGACAAGATGTGTGATTGCGCTGAAAGGGGCGCATAAAGTTGATGCTCGACCCTTCGACGTTGCCCGGCGCACTGCAAGGTCCGCCTGACTGTTTCCGGTATGGCCGTCGCTGTGACGCAGCCGCGAAGCTTGGCGTCCGCGAGATTCAACATCGAACCACTGCTCCGCGCTACACGCATCCCATAGCTCGCATCCCATCCACGCCAGTCACACCCCATCATGTCCTCCATCATTGCCCGCTCGGCCTTCCGCGCCGCCCCGCGCGTCCGTCCTGCGCCTACTCTTCGACGATGGGCCAGCGCCGCCGCCGAGGGCGAGAGACAAGCCGGCAAGAACGCCCTCAAGACCGGAGCGAAGCGCGACCCCGAACTCTACGTATGATGCGACAAGTCAATTGTGAAACACAAGGCGGATGGCTGATTCGTCTACAGGTTCTGTTCGCTATCATGAGCGGTGTTTTCGGCCTGGCAGGATGGCACTTCTGTATGTTCCCGAATACATCAATTCTGCCTTGTGCACCCGTCTTCACATGCTGACAATTGCAAGCCCGCTCTCCTACCAGTGCCTCTTCGGAACGAGCCGTCGCCAAGGCCGCAGGCAGTGAGCCTTGGAAGCAGGATGGTGGTGTAGGCCCATACCAGTACCACCCTGGGGGTGACACCAGCGTCAAGAAGGATGCGCCTTCTGCACTTAATGTGGTCGTCATTCCCAATGTCACTCTCCCCAAGGTAAGCTGAAACCAATGACCACAAGGAATCAGACTGTATTGACGACCATAGGAACTCCACGACACATACAACAAGTGGGGCAAGGACGGCTACTAGACACGCAAACTTCCATCAACTACCCAATTTCCAATCAAAACCACATGGCAGCAGAGTGCGGAATTCTCCTTTAGCTATGCGTCTGTACATAAGACTGTCATTTGTCCCACTGCATAGATCAACAAGTTCTCTTTTACGTCTCCATACAGATTGGTGCTGCACAGTTCTGGTCTTTCTAACAACGCAGCAACAACATTAATGCAGACTCGAAAGAAAAGGACCTGGTGAAGCACCACGGTAATGTTCAGTAGACCTTTTTTTCTCTTTTTTTTTTTTTTTTTTTTTTTTTGGATATATGTGCATTGTATATCTGTACACGTCCGACTCAGGTAATGTTAGGGAGACCATTATGCACCCGACTGGAAAGATCCACGTCGTGTCCGTCCTAGATCGAAGTATACATGCTTTTGTTCTTCTAGACTCTCCCCAAATTTGGTCCTTGCGAAGGGCACTGTGAACCCTGAGTAGGAGAGCTGGTAGAATGTAGTCTATGGGTATCTATAAGTGCACCATCAGTCTGAAAGTCCGCCCGCCAACTGCGATCAAGCTGCACTTGGTAGTCGCTTCCGAATTTCGGCAATCATATCAGTTCTGTTGACTAGTACGCCATCTTTCTCGGGGTCGTTGTCGTCTTTGATTCCCAGGACCTTAATCTTGACCTTGCCGTCTTTGAGCTCATCCTCACCAAGGATAACGAGGAGCGGGACGCCGGCCACCTCAGCTTGTTTGAATTGCTGAGGGAGTTTCGGCTTCAGTTTGTACGAGAACTCAGCCTTGATGCCTGCAGCCCATAGCTCTTGAGCGACTTGCATACGTTCTGTCAATAGGCCAGTGAAGCCTTTACCACCAAAGGCTGCGACGAACGCATCGACATCTTTGGCACGCTGTGTCGACTGGCCGCGGGCTTTCATGATGCTAATGATTCGATCAATGCCGAAGGATATGCCAACGCAAGGAATAGGCTTGCCACTGAACATGCCCACAAGCCCGTCGTAACGACCACCGGCGGCGACACTTCCTACACCGATTTCTTGCTGCTGACCTTGTACGCGCGGCGCTGAGCCTTCTGTAACTACCTCGTAAATGAGCCCAGTGTAGTAGTCTAGACCTCTGGCGAGTGAGAGATCGAAAGAGATCCTCTTGCGGGCACCAAAAGCATCGAGGTATGAGAAGAGCTGTTCCATCTCCCGAACACCCTGGCTGACATCTTCCGACTGAGAGAGAGTCTCGTTCGTCTTGAGATAGTCGATGATGTCGTCACCGCCTTTGCGCTGCACCCATTCACCAATCTTATCGGCAATGTCTGCTGGCAGTCCCTTGGTCTCCATTTCCTGCTTGACCTCTGACCATGGTAGCTGCAGCGTGTTAGTAACTGGCAGAGACCTGGAGCTCTTCTGCTTACCTTGTCTAGTTTGTCTACTGCCGAGCTGATTGGCCGTATCAGTTCTGCCTTGACGCCAGCAGCCTTGAACATGCCGTCTAGAATCTTCCTGTGATTTATCTTGATTGTGTACGAATCCCACTTGAGCGCATCGAAAACGTCGGTCGCGATCTTGAGTACTTCGGCATCTGGGATCATGGCGTCGTAGGAACCCGCAATATCGAAGTCGCATTGGTAAAACTCTCGCATGCGGCCCTTGGTCATCGCTGGTTGGTCGCGGCGATACACCTTAGCGATTTGGTATCTCTTGAAGTTCTGAACGCTAGGATTCATGGCGAGCCATCTTGCAAGCGGAACGGTGAGATCGTAGCGCAGTGAGCAGAGCTCGCCGCCTTGATCCTGTAGATCGTATATCAACTTCGAGTCTTCTCCATATTTACCGCTGAGGATCTCTTTCAGTTCAAAGACGGGCGTGTCGAGTGTCGTAGCACCGTGGCGCTTGAAAACTTCCGTTACGGTTTGGAACAGGTTGTCGCGAAGTGCGGCATCCTCGCCGGTCCCTGAGATAGTTAGCGAGTCGTTTGGGCGCAATGTGGGCAATACGTACAGTCGCGTGTGCCCTTTGGCACCTTCAGGTTGAACGATTTGTTCTTGTCTTCTTTGCCCATGTCGTCGTCGAAGCCCAAAGACGAAGTTTGCGTACAGAAGCGGCGGCGGGGTGCGAGAATGTGGGTTCGGATAGTTGTTAGGCTGACTTTACGGTATGCGAAGGTATATCGGAGGGCGTCCTGGAAGAGCGCGGGGCAGACAAAGTGGGGTGAAATGCGCTGCATGGACCTGGAAAGTGACTCAATCGCCCAAGAGCAAGCGCGCATGTGCAAAGAATCGTTCTACTCCGCGACTTGGCCCGTGCATCTTCACACCGACGTCACAGCGGTAGCCAAAATGTTGTCACACAATTACAACGAATAAATTGATGCATGGGTTTCTAGTCATCTCTCTGCGTGCAACTACCAGGCCAGTCGAAATTTTAGCAGATCTCTTTGTCCATAGCACTCAGCTACAACTGTCAGAATCATGTCGATGGCTACCCTGGTGTTCCAGTCACTCTCGGACAATGGGGTAATGGACTGTGGTTTGGCCTGCGTCGGCTCGGAAATTGGGGCTAATTTGGTGGCACTCGCAGTTTGCTGCAGTTCTCCCCGGCGTATCTCTTGTCGCTGCCTCTCAGCCTCGACCCGTGAGAGGTGATGATGGACTTGCGTTGGGGGCGTATGAGGCAGAGGCACTTGTGAATGTACCAACCGATCTCCGAGTTGCGAAAGAAGACGCGCTCGAGCCTCCTCGAGACCTCCATCTTCCGGAATGCTTTCGGATTTAACTTCATCCTCAGACATGATCATCTCTGCGTCAGAATCATCCGTCTCTTCAATGACTGTGTTTTGACCCAGCGCGACGTCGTCATTTCTGATGGACGTCGAGTCTAGTACATTGTCTTTCTCATCAGGCACACCGTGCAGAGTTTGTGTGTCTTTTTGCGCGAGATCCCCCGCGTCATGAGTTCCAGGTGTTTGTTCTCCAGGATTGGTCTCTGGGACTTCGGGACTAGTGTCCTCGTCTTCTTGTGCATCACTCGTCAATGTTGCGTTGTCTGCGTAGAGTCGGCCCACTAGCCGGCCTGCACTGAGCCCCAAGTCTCGGATCCTGCTCACACGCTCATGGTCCAAAGTACCGAAATCTCCAACCAGGGCCAACAAGGTCCATATCCAGCAGCTCTTCTCCTGGGATATCTTAGCTGATCGACCCAAGGCTAACGTGCAACCTTGTAGAGCCATATATAGCGTCGATTCGTCCATGTACACGATCTCGTGAAGGATCGGCAAGTCCTTCTCTATGGTTTCCGACCATTCCTGCTTCCCAGACTTTTCTGCGTTTGCGCGGTTCGCCGCTGTGTCTGGTAGTCGTCCATACCTCCGAATGTCGGCGAGTTTCTTGCGAAGGTTTCGAAAGCGCTGGAGGAGAACATTGGTGCAAGCTTCCTGTGGATCAAGGGCAAATGAGTCTGTTTCCCATTTGGTAGCGTTGTGCTCCCTATCCACGGCTATCCATGTCCCTTCCCTATACATGACGCGTTGAGTGTCCATGGGGCTTTTGTAGTTCGATTCGTCATAGTCCGAGTCGAGATTGCCAGCGTTGACGTTATTTGGGGCTATGAGTAAAGTGGGAATCGCCGATGCTTCAGACCTATGTCTCATGTATAAGCGATGCACTTAATGATGCTCTTATGTGAGAGGGTTTCGAAAGATAGAGTAAGCACTTACCGGACACCGTGAAGGTAGGCCAACGCTTCGCTTGTAGACTCGTCGGATGACTGCTCTTCACCATCGAGTCCTGGTAGCACCGTCCGTGTTCCATACTCCTGGTACGAATCCACAGCGCGTGGTCGTTTTTTAGGGTGCGCCGTGATGCGCTCGATCCTGGCGCGCTTAACATCAGGGACCTCTTCTTGCGCGCACTTTCTTTTGCTGCCGTATGCGGTCGGGGGCGCTGTCGAGGGGGATATGGAGGGCGGCTGTGTCGGTATAAGGTAACTATCGGGCCGCTGTAGTTTGTTGTAGCTCTCACCGTCTTTAGTAACAGCCAGATTTACCCCCACGGTTGACATGTTTGCGTTGAAGGTTGTAGAGTCCTGGCTCCGGTTGATGAGTGATTGCGGAGACGCGCTCGGAGGTGACCTACATCGGTCTAGCGTGGCTCACGTACCAGACGTGTCCACGGGTCACATAATGTGGGTCGGCACAATCAATCTCAGGGAACCTTGAAATGCGGCAGGTACATATATGAATGTCTGACGTTAAGGTTGACAATATGTGCAGAAAGAACATGTGGTTTATTTCACTGAACTACATTAACTTGCCGTCGTGCTCCTCGTAAAGCTACTCAGCCAACAGCTCTACAATCTAGATATGATAATGAATTCCTGCGAGCGTACGCAAAGATCTCAAAGCAAAGGAAATCATAGTAGGATTGATCTCATTAGCCCTTTCAATCCCCCCTTGTGTCTGAGGCCCAGTAGCTTGATCATCATTGTGCCTTCCGTTCGATGTTTTCTTCTACCGGCTGGTAGGGGTACTTGATCGTGAGACACCAAATGTCCAAATAGTCGCAGATCGTCCAAATAACATCCACGATGAAGCTTCCGTGCACACCGACAGCAAGACCTAGACACATGAACACAAAGGCGACCTGATAAACATCGTTGCCCAAGGCACTTGGCCAGCCCACACCGATGTGCTCCTGTAGCCATGGCCCGAGCGAGTCGATCACTCCGTAGATGAGAGGGTACATTAGTACGTTGCCTCGAGGAAAACGGGATTTCGTAAGGTGAGAGATGATCATGCGGCCCACTGAGTACGCGTTGATGAGACCAGCGTAGAAGATGAACGGAACCAGATGGTGATGCAAGATCATAGGTTGCAGGTACAAGTACGCCGTGATGAGGATCCAAGCCGCCCCGAAGGTAAGAAGACCCAGGAGAGCGACTCGCGCCTTTTGACCACGGGCACGACGCGCCTTCATTACATTTTGCGCGCTGTGTCATTGTCAGCCTACTGTTTCGTGCAGTGGCAAGTGTTCATACCTTGAAACAGTGTTAAACACGAGCACAACTCCTCCATAGACCATGTACCATTCGTTCCATGCCAGATTGTACAGCACTTGCGGAATGAATCCTTGCTCTTTCACTCCGAGACTTTGGATCATGGAGCGTTGCCAGAAGCTACCTCCACCAAGGTAGGCCGTTGAGGCATACACTATGCACAAGGTTATAATACCCTCAACTGGGCCAGAGATAACACCAAGAGTCAGTGTATGGGTATGGTACTCATCCCAGGTTTGCACGTAGAACGTTAAAGATGCTGCAGTAGTTAGTAAGATAGGACGCAAAGCGAGTAATGTCAAGGTGCTGGCTTACATGCAAAGAGCGTGAGGACTGTCTTCCAGCCTTGGCCAAGATTCATTGTCGCGGAGAACAACAATACTTCCAGTGTCGTGTTGATCGCATCGACTCCATGATCGAACAGCTCGCCTAGAGGACCGCTCTGGCGAGTCCTGCGGGCCTGACTCCCATCCACAGCATCGAATGTTTGGTAGAGGAACAGTCCGATGGCCCAGCTGGCGTACACCCACGGCGGACAATCTTGATCAAGGGTCGGTGTATACCAGAGCAAAGTGAGGAAGTTGACTATGATGAACCCGAACCCAGAGAGTGTTATCTGCAGCATTATGTAAGTAAGGACGAAGCTCTTGCCGTGGGGTTCGACATGTAAAATCTTTTGCTTGATGCTAAACTTACAAGGTTGGGTCTAAGACATGTTAGTATTGCTTCGTATGAGATGTTGAAAATACTTACGCCATCCACATAGGAAAGCATTTGATGACCACATGAGAGTAGAAAGGCTTGAGGACATATTGTGAAAGCAAGCTGTGATCCACGCCGGAGTACTTGTACTCCCTGAGCTTTGGCAGCTTATCCTGTCGTATGTACACCATAGTGTGTGGTTCCCTTAGCACCAGCAACTGTTGGCGAGTTGTGGTGGGGTTCTGGTAGCGAAAATGATTTGGGCGGCGTTGTTGCTATGTGGGTGGTGTGCCAAGCGCAAAATCTTATGACGTAGCCTCTGGCCGCCGGTTTTGGCAACCTCTTAGCGCGAAAACGGTATGTCAGGTACGACTACTACCTGCGCGTGCACAACGAATGAGGTAGAAGATCATGTTCTACAAATGTGTATCTGAAATTGATGCAGCGCCTCGCAATTTCGCACCACTTAGATGCTGGATGCTTGGTAACTTCACTAGTAATACTAATCTCATTCTGAAACATTGTGATCAATCTTCCTCACATATATTATTCGGCAGACATGACACCATCTCACTGCAAGCAGCGCACAGTCGCCATTTACTTGGTCGTACGCCAGATGAGTGGCTTGATCGGTGCAATCGAAGCTTATGCAACAGTGCTCCAGGAGCAAGGAATCAAGATCCTGCTCCTCATGGTCTGGATGAGTGGCACTGTCTTGTGCACTGTCTCGCCCCAGCCTTCTACGCTCCAGCTCTGTTCGCGACGGACCTTGCGTTCCTCCAGGTTGGCGAATTGCCACAGATGGTGTACTGTGTTCAGATCACCAATCTGGACAAACCAAGCACCCACACCCTCCATGACTTCCCGCCTGGCCTTCAAGCCACGTCGCCAATGTGTCTCCCACTCGAGCAGATTGCCAGGATGTAGTGTGTACGAGCGCAATTCGAACAAGCCACCGAGCTGGCGTGGCGGTGTCGTAGGCCAGAAGGAGAACTCTTGCATGAGGGAGTTTTGCTTGGATTTGATCAAGGTCCTGAGTTTGGCATCGAACGCAGGGAACTCTGGATGGGATTGGATGTTGTGTAGCGATTCGTGGTAACCCTCGTAGCGTTGGTACTCCCAGATATGTACTTTGGTGCATAATTAGCATATTGAGACAAGAGCGAGCGTTGGAGCGAATTGCAGACTTACCAAAGGTGTTGCAATCTCCCACTTCCGTCCTCCAGCTGCCTACTAGATGGACCTTGTTCTCGGGAATAGACGCCATCTTCGGGTACCAGCTTCCAACTAACTCGGTGTACTCGTCGACCTTGTCTTGCAGTACCTCGTGAAATACAATGGAGTGGACGTATTTGCCGCGAGCTAAGACCTGAGAAAAGCTACGCTCAATGTCCTTGTCGAGTTCGCGGCCCTCGGGCGTGCCGTAGATGAGAGATGATAGCGCACCGCCCTTCTTCTTGCCGTTTTCTTGCTCACGGGCGCGGGCATCTCCTGTAGTTTATCATGTTAGCGCTCTTGGGCAATTCAGGTTGGGCGATATGCAACGGACGCTCTTCCTGTTCCTTTCGCTTCTGAGCAGCTACCAGACCGTCGCGAAAGCTCTTCTGCTTCTCGTTGAAGCTGGCAGCACTGTCGGGTGTGATGTCGGCGAGGGTAGGAGCTTTAGCCGGGCTTTGTGTCGGAGCGCCAGTACTGAAGGCTTGAGAGCGGACGGCAGTGGCACATGGCGGGGAGAGGATGCCGCGCACACTGGCACAAACACGGCGTGTGAGCATGATGGTTTTGTCAGGGCCGAAGTTGGAAGGTGAGGTTAAGTTGCACACCAACGCCGACAGCGTGTAGGAAGTGGAGTGATGGTGGTGTTTGTGTCGGTTTGGGCGGGCTACAGCACAGCTTCCCCTCAATCAGCCTACTGCAGCTCTCCCTGTCAAGCTCGCTAGCGTCCCGCTGCCTAGGTATCCGCCTGGGGCACTGGGGTAAGCGGGCCCCACTGCAAACCTTCCCAACCGCCGTCACGCGTCTACATATCAAGGTCGCGCCGAACGCTTTCATCGCGTCTTCAAGCCAAAAGTTCAGATCCACAGTCTTATTTTCTGTATCTCATCTTTTGACATGGTCGTAGCAGCCCAATATGTACCACCAGATTGAAATGAGACCATTTGGATCAATTCACTTCCCGACCTCGACCTCAAACGCCGCCATCCCCAGCTGCTCCTTACATGCGTGTGGCTATTTATACCTTGGCAAGCAGCAAGCAGCGACAAGACCCTCTTAACATGTAGCTTGGTCCCTGCTTTCCTCATACTCTACTATGATCATACATGAAGAGCTATCCACGAATGCGATAGCCGTCCCACACTGGCGGAGCCCACACTAGATGAGACACTGGACACCCCGGGGGTAAAAGGAAACGTGATCTGAGATTGCAAGAACATGACAGAAATGAGCACATGCCCAGGCAAGATGGATGTTCAGTCCTCGTCAAATATCTGGAGCACGTTGTCAAGAATGGTAATGACCACGCGGGCTTGCAGACCGGCATCAGCCATATTGTTGCCTTTGTGCGGACCCATTATGGACGGCCTATACGAGGTCAGTTGATACATAGATCCGGTCGAGTGATGACTTACGCCCAACAGATACCCAGATTTGCGGTGCTCATGCGGTTAACCTCGGAAGATTGCTGCACACGATGCAGGTGCAAAACAAGGGCACGAAGTGTCGCATAGTTCGGATCGGGTAAAGCATTGATTAGCGCGTGCATGGAATCACGGCGCATGGTCTCGTCATCGATGCGTGCAGCATCGATATACTTGCCATAGAATTCGCGGGTGAGCAGTGGATCAGGAAGCTCGCGGAAAAACTGTTTCAGCAAACCAGCCACGCTGTTGACGTCGTGCTGAAACGACTCTGGGTTGCGGAAATCTACTTGAGAAGCGTCTGTATGCGTTAGTCGAACGCATTGATGAATTCTCATAAATACCTACCACTGTCAAAGAGAGCTTTCATTTGCTGAATATGCGACGAGGTTCCGGGGATACGATAGATGCCCTCTACTTCCAATCCGTATAGATCCACAGCCTGAATACACTGATAGACTACCATGGGTACGGGTGAGCCATCTCGGTGGAACAGGTCTTCCAGAGTGACGCCGAAGACGGGATTGACCGGGGGTTGGGCATTGTTGTAAAGAACTCCGCTAGTCTGCTGTGCCGTAGCCTGACCGACAGGTCCACGAGGGTAGTCTGACTGTGGGTAAGGCGTGGGCCCCACGGGTGAGTAGGGCGAGTTGTTGAACTGCGGCGCTTGGGAAGGCTGTGGTTGCGATTGCAGCGACGAAGGCGGTAGCTGTGCGGGGCCCCCAAACGAGGGCTCGAGACTGGGAGGGCCCTGAGGCGATAGAGGGTTGGCATCTGGCTGCGGCATAGAGAAAGAGGGTGGCGGCTGACTTTGCAGCTGCGTGGAGGTACGTCGGTTACTACTCGCAGCAGCAGGTGGTGTTGGATGTGACCGCGTCTGCGCCTGTGTCGGATGCTTCAGGTACTGTAGCTCTGATTTGGCGATAGGTGCTTTAGAGGCATGGCTCAAAATGTATTCGTCAAAGTCGCGCTCATTATTGATCTGGTAGATGAGCTGATTGATGCTGGATGGGGCCTGAGTAGTGGCGCCCTTAGATGGCTGTGGACTGACGACCTGGCCATTGTTGACGACAAGTTTCTCGTTGAACGAGGCTATGACGGCGTCAGTCGAAGTTGATGCAGGCAGCAGGTGGACTTACCGTATTTCTGCATTTCCATGGTCAGAGCAGCATCGGTTTCCTTGATGAGATCCAGCAGCGCGGAGACAGCCTGGGGCCGCAGAGTCGCGACGAGCTCTTTGCGGGAGACCTGTGCCGTCTGGACTTTGGCGGCATAGTCCTGATCTGCCGCCTGTGTCTTGCGCTGGAGGTCCTCCTCGTGCTGGGCGGCCGACTTGGGCCCCTTCAAGCCAAACTTCCTGCCCGCACCTGTGTCGCCTGTCTTGACCCGGTCAAGGTCTTCGGCCAGCTGGTCGTACTTGGCCTTGGCCTTCTCGGCCAGCCGTTCGGCGTCTTGAACCTTGTTCTCTGCCGAAAGCCCCTGCTGCTTCCAGGTTTTGCGGCTTGTGTCCATCTTGTTGGCCAGCTGGAGCAGGTTCTCGTGCATGGCGTGTAAGGCAAGGCCGAACTGGGTGCCATTGTCGGCGATGCGCTCGTTTGCGTGGAGGACCTGCTCGAACTGCGTCTGGTAGCTCTCGTGCCGCGTGTCAGGCTTCCGCACGCCGTCGAGCGTCAGGCGGCTCAGTTTCTTGAGGCTGCCGGCGTGCTCTTCCTCGAGAGCTCCCCGGCGTTTGAGAAAGCTGGCAAAGTCCTGCCCAGCGTGTTAGCCATCGGAATGCAGAAGAGCCCGGCGTGATGGCCACTGACTCTGGCGCTCGCGATGCTGGCCTTGAGGCGGTTCAGCAGCGTGGAAACGCCCACGTCTGAGTGCAAGATTTCTTGCACGCGCTGCTGCGTCTGCGCATTGTGGGGTGCGCTCCCTTGTTCAGGCGATGTGGGAGCTGCTTCCTCAATGTGCGAGGCGGGGGCACCATCATGCGTCGGCGACGATGCGCTGTTCGGGTCGGGATGGACACTGTCGGTACCCTCCATAGATGGTATTGTATTTGGGGCAGCCATCGCAGACGCGGATGTTGGAGTAGCAAGTAATGGCTGCGTCGTCGTGTCGCGGTCGGAATGCGTAATGCCGCGCGCTTCGGCGGAGGCGGAGATGCTGCACGGACAAGCTCCACGCAACGTCATCCTTCCCTCCATCAAGTTCTGCCAACCGTCCTCACGCGCCTGATCAAGCACGGCAGCATCGTCTACCTTTGGCAGCGTGCCTTTCTTGGCTCACCGTCTTCATCGCCCTCCTGCTCCGTCTCGCCATGTCTAGCGGCTTGCCGGATGAGGTGGTGACCTGCCTCCAGAATGCCCGCTTTGTGAGTCCCTCCCAAACGCTTTTATCTTGTCTCATCTCATTCTTCCATCGGGACTCACATGAACCCCTCTCCTCGCTTGTTTGAGCATTTCGTTTCTCCAAACTCTTCCAGCCAAGTGTCGTGATTTGTACCCACCCCATAAACACGTGCATTGCCAACACCCCCGACCCCCTTGTATGCTCATGCGCCGTACTAATGAGTTCAAACAGCTCCATCTTGCAACATGCTCGGAAAACATTCCTCACGTCTCGTTGATGAACTACACCTACTTACCTAACACTCCGTATTCTCCAACTCCCACTATCATCATGACAACACCTTCAACTTCCCGCAAGACACAAAATCTCGAGGCCAACACTCGAGTCTCTCTCCTGGTGCATGACTGGATATCTCACCGCCCTCCAACCTTAAGCCAGCCGGGTCGCTCGCCCTCGCCGTCAGGCCCAGCACCACGTTCGGGATCCTTGGCCGAACTTCTCCTTGGCATGAACACCGCGTCCCTGAGTCGCATCAGCGCCACCATCAATGGCGTTGCTGAACTCGTGCCTTCTGGCTCCGAGGAAGAGACATGGTACAAAGCCCAACACCTGGCTAACAACACCTTCAGTCCTGGTGGCGAGGACACACACTCGGTTCTTCCTGCTGGCGAAGGACTGTGGGGCGGTGGTGGCATAGATTTACGAGAAAATGCTGATGAATCACTAAGAGAAGGTGATGGGGGCACCAAATGTTACGTCGAGGGAGCAGAGGTCAGAGTTGTCGTAGTCAGGGTTCGTGACGGACGCATCGCAGACTGGAAAGGCCAAGTCAGAGATTGGAGCCTTTCAGAAATCACACAAGAAATCAGGCCGAACGGAATGTCGTCATGAGAATTACCAGGAGTCTCTTTTGGAAACGACCGACATGTTTGGAGTTCTACGACTTTTGTCGCGTATGCAAGGGGTTGCCGTATTTGCGCAGCATCTGGTTAGTGGCATACCTTTCGTCAAATCAGGTCCATGTATCTTAGCGCTATCTCGTGCGTGGCTTGATGCTATCTCCTTTGTCTCAAAATACCAATTAGCAGACAAAAGCTGGGGGCTTCTCCTACTTCATCTCGTTTTCACATCCCCGTGTTACATCACAATACATGTCACATGCGATAGCATTTATGAGAAGGCTCAATGTGCAAGACTACTCCTCTTAATGGCGCTATAGAAGAGACCATTCAGGGTTATTTGACGAAGTGAAGGAGACTGAGACAGTCTCATCAGGTGAGCGAAGAAATACTGCTGTTGACGCATGCACTGACCGTTGCAAACGCGCAGACTCGTTGCCTGGCCTGTTCAGCCTTGGCGCGGCCACAAACCAAGCCTCTGCTCTCACCATCTCGTCGAAATACCACCAACTCCCACTGCTCAAACCCTTTTTCGTTTTGCAGTTCCTCCAAAATCTCTCTACAACGACTACTTCTCACAGTCCAAACCCATCCAAACATCTCCTTCAAATCACCTTTTCCGAACTCTCTTGCAACAATACTCAACCTCGTCATGTCAAGCAACGACTTTGTTGCCCGTCTCATGCGCAACCCTGCCGAAGCGGAAATCGACAGATTTCTTCAGACTCGCAGTGGCAAGCAGATGGTCCAGTTGTTTCGTTTAATCCCAGACCCTAAGGCACAGGCTGCGCTCACAGCAAGGCTGCTGCTGCTTGGACCTCCAGTCAATGACACTCGCTTCACCACTTCAGAGAAACCCAAGAAAGCTCTCAACGCGTTCGTTGCTTTCCGATGTAAGTCCATTACTCACCATTGCGGTAACCATCACTAAAACTTGTAGGCTACTACGTCACGGCCTCTGAGTTGAAGAAGTGGCCCATGAAGAAGCTCTCCAGCATCATCGGACTTCTCTGGGAAGGCGATATGTACAAGTCCTACTGGTCTTTGTTCGCTAAGGCCTGGTCTGCCATCCGCGACCAAGTTGGCAAGGATGAAGCTCCCTTAGACCGGTTCCTCATCATCATCTGCGGTCACCTCAATATACCTGAACCTGAGTCATACCTCGGCTTTTATGGTTGGTCTCTCTCAATCAATAAAGACGGTAATCCTATAATCTCTCGCGACGGCTCTCCCGAGTTCGCATGCATCGGCGCCGGAGTTGTGGACATTGCGCTCTCAGTTGAGGACATCATCGCCTATGTCCAGTCAATGGGATACGCGCCTACCTATGCCGCTATCGAGAGCACTTCATCGTCGACTTTCCTCGGACGCTCTGTCAACTCAACTATGGAGAAGGGTGGTTTCGCCTTGGGAGCGACACCGATCGCAGCGCCTGTGATCGACCGCCGCATTGTTGCTCGCAACAAGCGCCGCGCGAGGCGAGATATTGCTAGGACTTCTGCTTTGAGGATAAACATCGAGCAAGACATCCTCGCCGCGCATATGGCTGTCCCTGAACACGCCGGCAAACACGTACCTGACCGTTGCCCAACTGCTGCTCTCCCCAACTATGATACCAACCCGTTCTATCAGCAACTCGTTAATTACCTCGACAGCCCGGCCATAGACTCTCAAGAAGATGCAGATCTTCAGGCCGACGCAACTCTGATCGACAAGGCATTTGTCTCCGACCGCATGGCTTACGGTGACATCACCAACTTCGCATCAAGCATGGTCTTTTATCCAAATGATTTTGACGCGTTTCGCCCAGGCGCCAACGAGGATACAACACTTCCTACATTCGACGATTTCTCCAACGCTTGATCGTGCGGACACGTAGCCTGTATCTTCACAGTTTGTGCGACGCAGGCCCACACGTCACTGATCAACGATTCGCGCCTCTTGGTACCCTGCCGGACCCCACACACCGTCACTCATTTGCAGTCGATATGTTCCGCGTTGCTTTGGCAACACAATCGGCTTGCCTCCACATCTCGATCGGGCATCCCCCTTACTTTGGCAACATTCCTTGCTCTTAGCGCACCCAAAAGCCTTTCGCTTGTCACTAGCCTGCCAGCTTTTCTCATGAAGCGCCCAGTCAAGCACATCTTCCACTCTTTTCCCGGATTACGATTACGATGACGATTACGACCCGCGATACCCCAGGCATTGTGTATACAGGGGGCACAATGCCACAAAAGAGCTTTTTAAGTCTTGATGATGAGAATATGGATGAATTGCGTGTTTTCTCTCTTGAACACCACCAAGTTCCTTGCAACGATGTATGATACGTGGTCACTACTTCAGATACCCCAATCAGATCCCAGTATCTCATACGGTGCAGAATACATATCGTCGATCGTGCGAATATGCACAGCATCAGGCAGACATATCATACCCAAAAACAAATAGATTAAAGATACCAAAAATGCACAAACCCACCTCTTTCCCTTGCGTGATCTGGATATGATTTGCAGTGATCTGATTACCGACTTGCTTGATCGACGTGACCTTAGGCTGACATGTAAAGAGATGTATGCAATGCTGTGATTGTGATGTTGGTGGCGGCATGGAAGGGTGTGATGGGCTTGCATGATGGTGGCGTTTTAGTCCTGACACTGATGTCGTTCTATAGTATCCCTTAGTGAGGCTGATGGACTCATCAGACTACAAACGTATCGTGTACTGGAATTCCCGCCGCTGCGGTTTTGCAAGGGTAGAGATGAATCGTGGTGGCGTATTGGTGTCGAAATGGCCGGAACTGTCTCGCCGCTCGTCCGAGCGCGCCTATGTAATGAAGGACTCTGATTCGCCTAGGCGTACGCGGAGATGGTCCATAGGGTTTGAATAAATAGCTGGGTTCTTTAATAAGTGGATGGGACATATAGGTATCACATCATGGTTCAGTATTGGTTTGGGTGTCGAGGATGACTCACTGGGAGGAGTATCATCAGCGCAAATCTATATCAAGCCTGGCAAGCACTTCACACAGGATTTCTGAGTATATAAAGACGAGTTAGGGAAGTCTTTACAGTTTTGCACACAGTGGCCATAATGTCACGTCAACAGATAGATTCTGGTATTTCAGTCCAAATGGTAGCATCTATGTACAATATATTTCTACGTCAAGCTTGGCAAGTATGAAGTACAGGATTTCCATGATACTCAAAAGTATCTCTGATCACTTTGGGCGCGACCGACATATCATTGGTGTTGTCCGGCCTTTGACCGCGAAGAGTCAATTCTGGGGTAAAGGGATATGAGTGAAGAACTCATAGAATTTCCAACCTTTGTAGAGCACTAATAGAATCGTCTTTTCGTACTCTATATGTTTCTCTCACTTATTGGTAGTATTATAGTATAGCTGTGTAAAGATGTCACCGTCTGCGAGGCAGGCCTGTGGGCTGACAAAAAGCTCGATGGCAACCCTGACACACTTACTGGGATTTTTTGAGATCTTCACAACTTCATCCTAAGTACCGAAAGAGATTGTAGAGTAATTTTCAAGGCCTGGTGTATACTGGTGGAATGATAGTCAGGTTCGGTGCCAGAATGGAGACGGCTAACATGACATCTCAACATACACCTAGTGATTCTGCACCAAGTCGAGCAGAAATCTCACAGTTGTATCTAGACGTACTAAAGATCTGCACATATTGTTGTGGTGTCGAAGACCAATGTTAATGGTGTTGTGGGACACTTAGTAGATCAGTTGTCGAAGCTTTCTTAGGCATGGCCTGTAATACCGGAGGCGGAGACACGTCAAGCCTGGCAAGCAGTTCATAATAGCATTCGAAGCACTGTAACAATTGTCTTTCGAGCTTCTAATCTGCATGCGTATATATTGGTAGTATTTAAGTCAACCTAGCTCCTCCAAACTTTCACCATGTGAACCCATTAGCCGGAATACACATGTTGATTGGTGTTCATGTTATGGAGTGGCTCAAATAGAGTAAGATATTCTGTGTGTATTACATCAAGAGATTTTGAATTGTTTGAGAAGACTGTCAGTCTAATGCTCGTAATCTGTCAAGTGCCATACTTGTAGCCTTTGCTTTTTAGCTAGACAACATACTTAATACTCATCAAGCCTGGTAAGCAACTTACTGAATAATGATCAGAGTTTGAAGAAAGACATGTGGAGACTGATGGTCTCTAACAGGCAAGACGATATTAACCTCACAAACTCTTCTTCGTGGTTACAATCTGAAGGTCTTCTCATCAGACATGTAAAATAGATAGTCTTTTGTTAACTAGGGCACATGTATTAACAGGCGCTAGCGTATATCCGAAGATGTGTCGATGAAGTCGACTAGCATTTATAGGCGAAGATGATTGCAGTACATTAGACATCTTGAAAAGCTACATCGGCTAACCAGGTCATCTTAATGTACAGTATTGGTGGATGTATGTCAGATGTGGCAAGCATCAGTTAGGAAAATAACAATCAAATCTCAAATCACAGATCCGAGCCTAGAGTATCTCGTAGTCCGTGTCGTTGAAGTATCATATAGTTTTTGATCAGAGGGCCCTACGACATTGAGCCTGATGACATATGCCACCTACCTCGTTTGCACTAGCCTGACAAAGTTTTGAGTGAAAGCTCGTAGAATTTGGAAATAGTCTGGTTTCGGGAATATATACGTCCCAATCAATTATAGTGTCCAATCCCATTACGTATTGACTTGTTAAAGATCAAAAGAGAACACATGAATGAATACACCATTGTCGATCAGTCGTATTCGTGACAATCCTGGCATCGTGTTTTCCATCTCTTCGAATGCAGGTTGTCAATCATCTCTGATGCTTCGAGCGTGTTCGAATAGCTTGGATCTTGGTGGAGCGTTGTGTCAACATATGCCAGCCTTCGTCTGCCCACTCGGCACTGTTCGACACCAGATGTGGACGCTAGCGTCGCAACACTTTTCGTTCATACTCGAGTCTTCAGCCTGTTAACATGAAGAGATGGCGACGTGATCTAAAGCGGAGTATGTATAGCTGATTATGGCCTTTTCGCGCCGTTGAACATAATATATTGGTATAGTCTGACATGAACTGCCTTGTAACTTTCAACTCCTTTCTAACCGCCCCGACGCAATCATCGGTTTCATCGCCAAGCCCGATAGGTGACACTGTATCTATGCAGACATCCTCGACCTTACCGGCTCTTTCCGCGGCGAGCTTCAGTGTCCACAAGTGCCCTGAGGATACTAGCATCGCCATCGTAAGGAGAACTCGTGCAAGCAGCAGGCCAGCGTATCTATAGCCTAGCAGATCCATCTATCATTATCCATGTATTATTTCCCTTCCCTCAACTACCCTTCCAATCACTACACCAGATAAACGTCCCACACCGCCACTGTGTGCCCACTTCCTTCTGGCCCGTCGGTCCAATCGGTCTAGGGCACATCCAAAATTGTCTTCCACAGTTCATACCGGGTTTCTTGGTCGTGAACGAGGTGCAAGGTTCGCCGTGTTCGCACCGCGGTACTGGTTTCTTGGAGAAGAGCTTTGTCCAGCCTTCTTTTGACGCTTCCTGGGAGGCAAGCGGATCGGAGTCGAAGGATCCGGAGGTTATGGGTGACCACGGAGGAGGCATGTCGGTGGTGGAGTCGCTGGGAGCATCGTTGTTCGTAGACGGCGAGGCGGGCGGTGCTGAATCTTTGTGGGGCTCTGCATCAGCAAGTTTGGTTCGGCTTTGGAAGAAGCCTTTGAGCGACTGCTGACCCTTGGAGGCTTTGGATGTTGTGGTTGTGGCATTGGATTTGCCCCGCTTGGCTGGTTTGTTGGGCGATGCGGATGCCGAAGCACGTCGCTTCTCGGCCGACTTGAGCGGACTCTGGCTTGATGTAGGTTGACTATCAACTGCTGAAGGCATGTCCGCCATGGAAGCCGCGATTGCCAGTTTAAGGTCTCTGTCGGAGTCGTCCCTGGCTGTACTGGGAGTAGACATGACATCTACCTTGGTCGGAATTTCTTCGTCAACAATCGGTGGCGTAGGCGCTGGTGCAGACTTCGGTAGAGCAGGCGTCCTGGTGAACATGTCTCGGATACTTCTCCTCTTCGTGAATTCGGCTAGGAGCTTTCCGCTGAGTGCTGGGACATCTTTGACTGTATCATAGGCTCGTTGTCGCACGCCGTCTTTAAACATACCCGCTGGATTCATCAAGTCCAATACATGCACCTGTTCTTCAGCACCGTCCTCCTCGGTCGCTGATATTCGTGACATCGGCACCACATCCTTCGTCACAGCGTACACTGGACAATGATCTGACCCCATGAGTCCCTCCTGAATGTTCGCCTCCTTGAACCAGTCTTTGATTGCGATGCTGCACAGTATGAAGTCGATCCGTGAACCAAAGTTGCCCGGCCTAGCGTTGATCTTCTGCTCCCAGTGTGTGAACATTCCTTCGCGGTCAGGATGGAACTCTCTACACAGATCGTATAGGACCGGATCTTCTCTCCCTTCATCTCGTTGACCCGGAACCTTTCCATTCAACAAGAGCTGATTGAAGATTCGCCTGTTCGGAGTGCTCAGATAGTCATCATGCGTCATGCCTTGCGATAGCATGTTCTCCTCCGCCCTGGCAGTGTCGATGGTATCTCTCGAGACGTTGAGATCACCCGTGAGTATCACATGCTTGCCCATCTTCGTCAAGTTCCGTATTCGTGTTTCCAGCGCTGTAAGAAAGCCGATTCGGAAACCGTCTCGTAGGCCATTGCTGTTCGCTGGGCTGTAGACACCGAAGAGGACAAAGGCTGGGAATTCAAGCACCAGACACCGTCCTTCTGAGTCGAGGCTGTCAGCGTCGAGATCGGGAGGGAGATTGGCGACTTGCGCTGCGCTGAGGTAACCGCCAATGCTGGCAGATTCAGGAAGGTTGCGGTACGACGTCGTCGACCCGGGAGGGCAGAGGGCGCCTAGGACGCCTTCTTCGGCGCGAATGGGCGCGCATATGGATTGGCGAGTGTAGATACCAACACCTGAGTATCCTGAACAGTATTAGTGCAACGCCGCTGATCAAGGACCGTGTAACGTGGAAAGTACCTTTCTTGTGTTTTGGTAGACTGAAGTAGCAGTCCCAGCCAGGTACAAGTACCATGTCATCTGTCAGATCCTTGCGCTGGATCTTCAGCTCTTGCATGATGACAATGTCCGCCTCGAGGATGTCGAACATGGCATTGAAGGTCCGCGTGTTGCTCCATGGCTTGTAGCCAAACGGGTTGCGAATGCCGTTGACATTCCAGGTGGTGATGCGGACCATGGCGTTGTTCTGTTATGAAGAGCGACAATGAGCGCGAACCAAGAGCATCATCACGTCGTCGTCTCATTCATTCTGCACTTCACGGGAACATGCAAGACACGGGAACGCGCCACTTCACGCGCCAGACACGACGTCACATTACCGGCAGCCGAGCGCGGCCACGCTAAGAGCAAGCGGGAAACTCCGCATCAGCCCATCCGCCAAGCCTCTGTTTCGTCAATTCGAGCTCCCGTCGTCACACCTCACGCCAACGCCAATTGCACCCCATCTCCACTCTACCACGCCGAACAAACGTCGCCATGTTCGCCGCCCGCTCCTTCGCTCGCGCTGCGCCTCGTCAGGCACTCGCCCGCGCCCCTGCCCGCGCCGGCCGCCGCAACTACAGCTCCGAGAGCCCCAAGCAATTTGCCGGAACCGAGGACAACGAGTTCAACCGCGAGCGTGCCCATATTGCTCAGCACGCCGCTGAGTCTGGCGAGTTCTGGCGCAAGCTGTCGCTCTAGTAAGTACCTAGACACTTGGGGCCGTTCAGGAGATGGAGGAGGTTATATGGGGCAGAGGGAAGGGTGCGGAGCAAGGGAACATGCGAGAGGATGGTGATGTTGGATCATCGTCTTGAAAGGGTTATTGATGAAGCAAGGAAATAGGCTAATCTCATGATAGCGTTGCCGTCCCCTGCATCATCGTCGCCAGTGTCAACGCCAAGGTTAGGTGGGATGCTCACTGGGAGCACGTAGCCCACGAGGAACACGAGAACCCCCGCTCCGAGAGGCCCGAGTATGCGTACCAAAACATCCGTACCAAGAACTACTTCTGGGGAGATGGTGACAAGGTAAGACTTCTGTGACAACGTGATGGGCTAGTGTTCTGACTTGGCGATAGACCCTCTTCTGGAACGACAAGGTCAACTACCACAAGAAGGATGAGTAAGCGATTGCACAGTACGCTCCCAAGCATTGATTTCAGGAATCATCCGGGCCAGCATCTGGGTCAAGTGAGGGGTTGAATGTGTATATAGTACGACGAGCGAAAGCAAGCTGAGAGTAGACCAGCAATACGTTTCCTTTGTGTCTGCATCTTGCCTTATGATATGTGACATTTTGGTAGCAGCCTCATATATCTTGTGATCCATAGCCCTCATCCCAAATACTGTTATGTCTCATAGCCCATTCCTCTGCAACCTTTTCATCCCCTCTCAATTTCGCAATAATCGCCTTCTTCATCAGTTGCTCGCACTCTCCGTCCAGATACGCCGCTTTCTTGAAGCCTTCCCTCGCTCGGTCGACGTAGAGTTCCGCTTTGGCGATGTTCGCGATACGGGAACGGTTTGATGTCGGCTCGCCTGCTCTCGGTGTTGAGGGGGTGTGGGAGACAGCGTTCGACGTCGAGACCGTCGAGGAGTTGGGATTGGCGAGACCCATATACGAGTCTGCTAGGTGCGAGTACAGAGTGCCTATAAGCATGGTATCTGCGCCTTCCAGAGCCTGCTCCGGACATCAGCATGAGCGACTCCGTAGCGAGTAAGAATAAAAAAGCAACGTACCTGCGGCAACACGGCCTCGACCAACCTCCTCGCTTCTCGATATTCCCCCAGAGTATTCAGTATCGCGCCCAAGCAACCCACTGCAGACCACAGCGAACTTGCAAGCCGCGCCCTGAAACTCACACTTGCCGCCCGCAGCGCAACGCTGAAGCCCCTCTCCGGTTTACCTGCTTTCCTCCATAACTCTGCCTGCATTAACAGTACTGAGACACGCTGCTGGATGTCTGCATTGTCTTCCTTGAGAGATTGTGCCAGTAATGAAATGCATTGATAGGCGAGAGGAAACTGCGATGTAGAGATGAGGTACTCAATGTACGTGTCGTGTTGAAGGAAAGAGAGTTCTGGATCGAGAGGTGAGGCAGAGGGCGAGGCTGTGGGTTTAAGGGTTTCGAGCAAATGAGTTGACGTCGACCAGTCAGATCTATACTGATGTCAGCATGAAAGACTTGAACTTAGGCAGGTGCGGGAAAAATGGTACCTTCGAATGGCCCTCCTGAGCTTGATGAGGCCAATGCAAAGTATTAAGAATTGGTAAAACTTGAGCGATTTGTACGCCGAGGAATCCACAGCTTCTAGCATCATGATAGCCTCGCCGTAGCGGCCGCTCTGGCTTGTGACGAAAGCACGGCGACCGATCGCACGGAGACGTTCTTCAACCGGACAGGAATGTGAATAGCAGTCGAGAAGAAGCTCGCAATGAATGTTGGCTAGATGTGGGATGCCAAGTCGCTGGTAGAAGGTCCCTGTGAGAAGCATTTGACTACCGTAACTGTTGACGTTTTCTTTGATGTTGAGATGTGAGGACTGATAAATATATTCTAATGCCCGGGGAATAGAGTCGCCCTATGTGTATGTTAGTCCTGGTAGTCTATAAACCCAACCACGAATTATGTACCGTCGTCAGAGAAAGCTTTGCCTCGTTGAGTAAGCTTGCGCAGAGCAGGTTGTACATCTTGGCCTCCTTTGCTTTCGCTTTCAAAAAGGCCAACGCGTCCCTCTCAGTTCCGAGCATGCTCATGTAGCCGGCACCCCTCATCTGCTTGGGGTAGGCTTTCGCCATATGATTCAGCCAGCTGAGACTGAAGCTCAGACAAGTCATGTCCTGGTTTTCCCGGGCTGTGGCAATTGTCTCGTTGATGGCAGCGATCGCTTCGCCAAAGCAGCCAAAGTCTGCCTGAAGGATAGCCATATGCAGCAAAGCATACTGATAATGGATCTTCTCGCGAGTCTGCATAGCATAATCGTAGTAGCGATGTAGATTGTCAAAAGCAGATGTGTAGTCTCCGGCTTTCCAGGCATCGAAGAATTGTACGAGATGCGCTTGCCGATGTACAATGCCGGACGAATTGACCATACTGCGAAGTTGGCTCTTCATATCATCGGGAACACGGTCTCCGAACTTCTGAAGCCTGTCGAGTTGGAAGTCCAGGATTCGATCCAGATCGTTCAAACTCATACCCGCTCCTTCCTCTCGATCTTCTTGTAGATCCCCGTACGCGATCTCGTACATGTCGTCGCCAGCTCTCAGACCCATCTCGGATACAACCATGTCCACACCACTTGATGCCAAGCCGGCCAATCTCTTTGTCCATTGAGCTGTTGGGGCTCTGTACCTGATGAATGACGACCATAGTTTCATTGAATCATCAAATTGCAGCCTCGTGAATTCTAGGTGCGCTCTGCGAACGAATGCTCCAAGCGGTGATGTCTTGGAAAGATAGACCCGATCTGGTGATTCTTGATCTTGCGTACCGTGTGGCGGAGGGGTAATCAGATCTAAGATACTGTCGAAGAGAGCGTGCAGCGCATCGAAGGAGTTCATTTCCCACATGTGTTTGAGGAAGAGATCGAGAAGAGTCCGGCCCGGCATGTTAGAGGGGTGTTCTTGGAGTACATCCTCAAAGGCATCGATTGAGAAAGACGTGTCTTGTTGATCGGAGATGTTAGAGCACTGTGGCCGCGCGCTGGACGGTGCCGAGGGAAGATTGTTTGACAAGATGAAGGAAAGTACGGGTATTGTAGCGGAATAGGGAAGACTTGAAGTGCAGTAGAGACGGGTCAAGACAAGAAGGCTGATCTTTTGCGCAGTGAGATAGCGCGGTGTGGCCATGTTCGTTTGGTAGGGGTTGATGCTCGTAGCAGAACACAGCGCTGGGCGTTGACGGTGTCAGCGTTGACGATTATCGCCAACAGAAAAACCTTTGTCGTGTGCTTTCGCGCAATATAGGCATTGTATCCAGGTAGGGCGATTGCTGACTATCTGGCAGGGCTGCGACGTCCAGGATGTGGTGTTTGCGGGAGGTCGTGGGAGGGAATGAACAACCGAGGCGGCGCGCAGCGCGTACAATACTTGTCGCGAAGTCATGCGCCCAGAAGACTGCCCCAATCACTACCCGGTTGGTGCCTAGGCTACCAAACCATCAATTTGCCGGCGATCTGGCGGTACAGACTTCATTTCACGACTGTGAACAAGATTTCGTAGTTTGGAATGGATATGAATGTCTACATCTATGTAACTGTCTCCCGCGACGCATCGCCAAATCCAGAGTCCTGCCTCGCGACCTTCTTGAGATCGTTTGCACTTGACTGCAAACGCGGCACAGGAGCGCTGTTCAGGAATTCGTCCTCGTTTGTCGCATTGGTTGCCCAAATCTTACTAATGCTCAGATCGTAGGGCCCTGGTATGCGATCTATCAAGGATATGCCCACCGTCCTCACCTTCTGTGTCAACATCTCCCTCTGTGGTTCTACGACCTGTCCATGGTTTGTCCGCACGAACTCGTTCCACCTGATTAGGATGGTTTCCCACTCGCCCGGTGTCTTGGAGTGCAGCAGGTGCTGGTGGATGTCTGTAGGAACAATCGACTCGGTCTGCACGTTGACAAAGTACTTGCGACCGTCCGACTTGAACTGGATTGCGAGGAAGTTGTACATGCTCACGTCCCACAAGGATTTGCCGAAGATGGTGGAGCCTCGATCAAGTGTCCTCCATCCGGCATAGCCTGTTCTTTGGATGTGCGGTTGGTTGTGTGGCAGTTGTGTGGATATGGTGCCGTGGAAGCGGACGTGTGGGGGCTCGGTCTGGGTGACAGGATGGTGGTCGAAGTTGACGGTGGAGAAGCCGCCAATGTCTTTGTCGCTCATGCGCTTGCATCGTTCGAGATCTTCAGCCTGGTCGAAGTGCATAAGCGGAAAGGGCTTGGACGGAGAGCGCAGGCCCTCGAGCTTGAGTGCTACGCGTGTCAGTGGCGGCGCATGCACACATGCAACTGCAGAGCTCACCGAAGTTGGAGAGGCGCTTGAACTCGTCCAGACTCCGCTTGACGAAGCCAGGCGCGAGGCACACCGATGTTGGTCGCATGGCTGCGTGCGTTGTGTGCTCTTCCCAGAAGACCTCGGTGAGCACACAGCGCAATCCATGGATGTGAATGACGCCGCGGTAGTCTCGCCAGCCGCTAACCGCTTTGGATGGCCATACCAAAAATCTGGGGACCGCTGCATGTGCAAATACATGCCACCACCCTTCACTACCCAGCGAGACGACTTCCCCTCATGATACCATAGTAACCGACGCCCCGAACCTCCGACCCTTGACTTTGCGTGCGCCTTCCTCAACGCACGTTGCCACCAATCGCCACGCGCCTTCTCTGCCTCGATGCCACTGCAAGAAGCCTCCAGACCTCGAAGTATCCGAGACGACACAACCCAGCCGCTGCAACCACTACCACCTTCGTCGCGAGAGCTGGGAGAAGTCACCCCTCCAAAACAGCCAGATGGGACACCGGTAGCCAAACAACATGTCAAGTCTGGAAAGTCGTGGGCGCATTTTGTCGCCGGAGGGTAAGACTACAGTTCACTCTGGACCGCACCTTGAGGACTGACGTTGTCACAGCCTGGGTGGAATGGCCTCAGCAACCTTGACAGCCCCGCTCGATGTCCTCAAGACTCGGCTGCAATCCACCTTCTACCAGCAGCATCTCGCCGCAATGCGCACCGCCCGCGGCCTGCCCCCCATCGAGACCATGTCCTTCGGCCGCAGTTCGCTACTGCACATCCGAGAAACTGGAGAGATACTATGGCAGGTCCCAAAGGCGGAGGGGTGGCGAGCACTCTTCAAAGGACTGGGACCAAACCTCATCGGAGTAGTCCCCGCACGCGCAATCAACTTCTTTGCATACGGAAACGGCAAGCGTCTGATCAGCACACATTTCAACAACGGTCAAGAGGCAGCATGGGTACATCTGTGTAGTGCTGCAGCAGCTGGTATCGTGACTGGAACTGCTACGAATCCCATCTGGCTGGTCAAGACACGACTGCAACTGGACAAAAACACACACTCAGATGGCCGCGGGCGGCAATACAAGAATGCATTCGACTGCACCATGCAGACCATACGGAAGGAGGGTGTCCGTGGCTTATACCGGGGATTGACTGCAAGCTACCTGGGTGTTACCGAGAGCACATTACAATGGATGCTATACGAGCAAATGAAGCTGTCATTGGCACGGAGAGAAGAGCGCGTTGTTGCTAGCGGCAAACCGCCAACCGTGTGGGACCAGACTGTAGCATGGACTGGCAAGCTGACTGCCGCCGGATCTGCCAAATTTGTCGCCGCGCTCATCACATATCCGCATGAGGTTGTTCGAACGCGCCTGCGGGAAGCACCAATGGAGGATGGCCGACAGAAGTACACTGGCCTCGTTCAGTGTTTCCGACTAATATGGAAGGAAGAGGGCATGGCAGCACTCTACGGCGGTCTGGTTCCTCATATGTTCCGCGTAGTACCTAGTGCCGCCATCATGTTCGGAACATATGAAGGTGTGCTCAAGCTTCTCGGAGAGAGCAGTAACATGTGATTGCCAACGTCGGTATAGAGGTATAAACATGTATAGGACTGGATGCATAGAAACGGCGTTTTGAAAAGTTGGGATTTTGCGACGCATACATGGCGTCTTGTATCACCACTCTGCTCCTGTCGAGCATGTACTTGTATAATGTTAGGAAAGGTGAAAGAATATATGACGACATGAGATTTGTGCATACAGCTTTTCGTGAAAGCTTCATGCCAGTAGTAACGGAATTTAGCTTTCCCCTGACCAGAAAAGCAACCAGTCTTCTTTGTATTGGTCCTTGCAATTTGGAACTTGCTTGTGAGTATGCAAGTTCAGAAGGGCACAGTGCGACCAATCGTACAATGTACCTCGCTAGCGCGAACTTCCCGCCCGAACATTGATTGACTTTGACATGTTAAACATCCTCATCGCGAACGCCCAACGCTCGCCCCGAGCATAAGCCACCCGCCCACAATGTCCTCACAAAAACCACTCCGGAGCATACGGATACCGGCACTGCAACGACAATGCCTCTTCCTCCGCCACCAAACCCTCCTGCGCGTCGCCCAACCCACTATAACCCACCCATCCTCCCGCCGCGCCTTCTCCAGCACCCCGTCCCGCCCAGCAAAGCGCAAACAACTCGGGCAAGATAAAGCGCAAGCCATAGCTGCAGCCGAATCCCAAATTTCGCCCTCACCAAATGTCAACTTTGAGCAAGCGCAAACCAATACAGAAGCCATGGCGGAGGATATTGGTCTGCTGCAAAATACTATTGTGAGGGCGCCATTCTTGGACGTTTGCAATGAATCGTCTGGCCTTGGGGGGGTTCTGAGATATTACTGGGAGATTATCAAGCAAAAGGCAACAGGTCTCTACTCGTAAGTTAGACTTTCTTCGGGTCAGGACCAGACCTGGGACATGAGGGGAGAACAAGAACGACAACAGATTCGAGGTTGAAAATGACAAGTGTACACGACTAACGTAAACCCGTAGACGATACTACTACCGCGATTGTATCCAGAAGTCCGGCTGGACAAAATATCTACCCGTCGAACCCTTCAATAACACACAATACAAAATTCTAGCCAAGAGACACTACCAGCACATCTACAGAAGTTTCGCCTCGTACGTCTCTCCGAAAATTCCATATGACATACTTTGCAAACATACTAACATAAACAAATCAACAGAGGCGACGTAACGCCCCTCGAGCAAGTATGCCTACCACCCCTCGTAAAGAAACTCAAGCAACGAATCGCCGCCCGCGGCAAAACGACCCTGGAATGGAACCTGTACAAGTTCAAATCCGCGCGCGTAATGAGCCACCGCGCCTCGCCTTTGGGCGAACAAACACCAGACACAGCGTACAGACAAGTCGTTGTACGCCTCGAATCCGTTCAATCAGTCGAACGGTCTACGCCGACATTACCCAAATTTTCCAAGTCCCCCATACTTGCTGCTGCTCAACTACCCTGGGTCCCAGATGCTGCGCGCCAACGAGCGGAAAAGGCACGTCAACGGAGGCAAAAATCAGAGGATGAAGGGGAGACGGAGAAGTCGGTCGCGAAGAGCGACGAGGCGTTCATCGATAATGGGGTTAAGAAGAATGTAGTCGAGTATCTGGTGTTGCAGAAGAGGGTCATCAAGGGTACGGAGGAGGACTGGAAGGTCTGGGGCTTCACCGAGGCTTCTACGCCGAGTGTGCTTGCGAGGGAAGAGCTGTATTGGTCGCAGATGCTGAATGTACAGGCTGGTGGCGCTGCGTAGTGTTGGTAGCTTGGGAGACAGACACTTTGTAATTATATTTGCACGTGTGGTGGACATTATGAGGGCATGTAACTGTGCCCAAGAACCTTAAGACGTAGCCATATACGATCTGGAGACCCAGCCTCGAAGCTGCAAATATACGCTCTACTCTGAACTAGACATCACGTGGAGCATGCTATATGAAAAAGTCCACTGTATAGAGGAAGATAGTCATGTCATTTGAGCTCTTGCCAGTAGCAATAACGATAACCCAGGTACACGCAATCATTCGGCGCCCTGCATTCCACTGTCGCGCATATGCTCGAATCAACCTCGTACTCCGCCCCTCTCTTCATACTGGTATAGAGGCGTATGACGCAAGCTTACAAAAAGCTGTGCCGCTTTAGCCGTGTCACAGACGAAGGAAGCTGGCATATTGAGGAGGCACAAGGTAATAGTCATGAACGACTAGAAACCGTGGACCTGAATTCCGGTTAGTCTGTGACTCGGTGCTAAATCGTGTCGGGCTGTGACTCACCTTGATCGTCTTCGCATCAAGACCAAGTCCCTCCTTCTTGTCGGTCAAGAAGTCCTGGACGTCTTTGCGCTGATCGCCCTGGAGTTGGACGACTTCGCCCATCTCGGCGTCGCTTACAATGGTGCCATTACAGGCAAACTTCTTTTTGATCACCTTGAGGATCTTCTTCTGGTCAAATTTCTTGGGGAGACCTTGGACGGTCGTCAAGGTCTTGCGGCCATTGCGCTCTAATGTTGTGTTAGCCTGGTACGGCTAAAAAAAAAATAGTGTGTGGCAGATGCGGGCCGTTGTAGGCAGGAGTGAGGCGCGCAAGTGGTTTAGGTGCGTGGTGAGGACTTTGCATTGGTGGGCAAGGGCGGTGGGTGAGGGACGTACGTTGGATACGAATATGAATGTAGTCCTGCTGAGTCTGCTTGACCTGGCCGGTATCTTCATCCGCTTCCGCGAACGGGTCTGTGAACATCGTGTCAGTGGCTGCCTGGCATGCGCCTCGAGGGTCACGGCTTACCGAAGGTCTTGAGGTTCTCGATGGACATACGACAGTCGGTGAGCGCGCGTGTAGGTGGGGGGTTGTTGGGTATGGATGCTTTGGGTAGCGGGCGGCTGACTTGGGTGGGCTGGGAGTCGAGTTGGGGTGGTTTGGGGGTGGTGACAAGTCGGGAGGGTGCAAGTGAGAGTTCCAAGGTCTGTAGCGTCGAGCAGGCTGAGAGAAAGAGGTGGGGAATGCGGCGGGAGAGGAAGGCGAGCCCCGCCGTGGTCTGTGCGCGCCAAAAGGGTGATGCTTTGCCGTTCGGGGCTGATCGGTATTAGATGCGAGCTGAAGGTGCGAATGAGACAAGACGAGGGTGGCATGGGACATATGGGGCGTGCAAGTGATATGGGTATTACGAGCTAGCTGACACGTATTGTCGCTTGCTCGGTGAGGACGTCGAATTATACAATTACACGGTACCGTTGCTACCTGAGTACCAGCTACACAACAACCTCTCCTACGGCGGCCTACGACGGCGGCACAGCAGCAAACGCTTCTGTCCCAGATGCTTGGCCAGGCCTAACAGGCGGTGGGGGGAGGAAGATGGACGAGTAGGTCTGTGGTACAGCATCAACACGAGATCTGTTGGAGTCAGGGGCCAAACTTACAACGAGGAGCGACATGGCTGTGATTTGATTAGCTGTCTGAGCAGGTACAATGGGAGTCGGTACGTACCAGACATGCCAACTTGGAAGTAGGCGGGTGTAGTCGACGTCTTCTTCTGCTCGGGGGTCTCAGCAAGCCATGACTGGATAGCGAATACTACAGCAACCCTGCATCGAGTCAATTGGGGAACGTGGCACAAGCTGGGGAAACTTACCAGCCGATCATCCTGTGCAGCACGCGTGATGTCAGTCATGTCGTTTCGCACGCATCTGGGTGTTGCCTACTTGTTCCGCGTGAAGATCTGGGACACGATATCAGTCTTGCAACACGGGATAGGGAGAGCAGCACTTACAGCAGCCATGGGCAGTGTGCTCGAGAGCGTGCTTGACATGTCGTTGTCATCCTTGCCCTTCTCTGGCTCGGCATAGGGCACAACTGCAGGTGGAGGTGCGTTAGACACGTGATCAATGGCGTTGAAATGGACGGATCGAGCCGCTGAACCCCTATGAGGGCGCGGCGCGGCATCACGTACTCAGGTCGGCGCGGCGCATGTCTTTTTTGGAGGCCATCGTGGAGCTGGCGGTCGGGAGGTGTGTGTGCGGCCGAGAAGTGTAGGGCAGGTGTGTGGCCAGGTGGAGATGGGTGGTGGAGTGATATCGGTGCAGCACTCGGACTGGGCGGCGTGAGCGGCGGCTGTCTGTCTTTCTGGGCCGGCATGGCGTTGGCCCCCGGCGTAGTGCGTCGTAGTGTGGATCCCTGCTCGCTCTATCGTATTGCCGGGTGATCGACTCCGCTGTTCGCAATCCAAGATAACCTCAGACATCACGTCAATCGTCGCTGCTTCGACACGCCGCACTGCGCCCATTAGCCCCATCCGAGCCGCACCGCCGTCCCTCCTTTGCTCCCCGCGTGTGTTGCTCGCACATGCCGCCGCCCCAACGACGCGGCTCCTGACCTCGCAGCCCTCGTCGCTCGCTCCCTTGGCCCAACCACTGCATGCGCCTGATACAACGATGAAGCCGCTGTGTGTGCGATGACTTCTCGACCTGGTCCGGGGATTCACGAATCTCTACAGAATCGTGGCAGCGCCCTGCCTCCTCGGTCCCAGGTGCAGCGCCGGCCCTCGAAGCCCGCCCATAACCTCCTTCAGCCGGACTGCATCGATCCGGCCCTAGAGGACGACCGTCCACCTGCACACGCTGCCCTCCACGATGCCGCGAGGCCGCCCCCGCGAGGACGCCCGCCGCTCTTCTACACCACCATCCCGACCCACGGCACCGAGCTGCCCCTACACGCCTTCCCCTACCAGCCGGCCGCCAACCTGCCCCAGCCCCCACGCCCGGGCTCCCTGCACCTGAGAGACGCTTCGCACCAGCGTCGCATACTCCCCGGCGGCACAGGAGTCAAAGACGCGCCCAAACCCGGTGGGCCCGAAGTCGTCGTGCCACCCGTCCATTTTCCCGGTGGGAAGGCTGCCGATCTGTTTCCATGGACCGGCAACAACCCCGAGGACAACCTGTCCGAGGCGCTAGTCAAGGCGGGCGTCAGCAACAAGCCCCAGATTATGAACGAGTCCAACACCGCACGCCCCTCGCTCATCAACAATCTCAAGAACAAGTCGGGTCTCAGCACCCTGTCGACCCTGTTCGTCGCCGTGCTGGAGAAGCGACAGCAGACGGGCCGCCTCCAAACCCCAAACACCTTCAAGCCCCCGCCGCGGTTGACCCTGAGAGACTCGACCCGTGAGCAGTGGCTGCACGACTTGGCCAACCCAACCATTGGCCTCCGCCGCCTCAGCCGCACCATACCCCACGGCCTCACTGGCAAAGTGCTGCTAGAACAATGTCTGAACAAGAACATCCCTCTCCCGAGAGCCCTGTGGCTGGCCAAGTGTGTGGGTATCAACGAGTTGCGTGCGCATAAGAGAAAGGGCCAGGCTGGTACCGTGACATGGGGCAGAGGCTGGACCAGTTCCGTCGAGCAATTCATAGACGGCGTCATCAGCAGCATTGGTCAGGGCGATTGGAAACCCCGCATCACCTACGCTCTCCAGCTTGCGACCCATCTCTACAAAGAACACCTGCTCGACGACGACCACTTTCTCGATTGGATAGTCAATGGCTTGGATACCTGTCCCTCCGAGCGCCTGTTTATCTGGTTGCTGGTCGTTTCCATATCACACTACTGGACTGCTGTAACCTGCTGTCGACGCCGCGGTAAGCGTCTCGCCGAGTCATTGCTCACCCAGCTCGACAAGATCTATCGACTTGAGGATCTGCGACCTTATATCGCCGTTTTGCAATACCTTGAAAACACCATTGTCCGCTTGCTCGCCACACGACCTGCTTGCCTGCTACTTCCGACTGCGTGGGCCAGATATTGTCCCCTTTTGCGGAACCTCGCCGAGAGGAAAAATCATGCACATGTAATGCAGGCGATCCGGAGGCTCGAGCTGAGGAACACTAGGCTCCTGCGATCGCCAAAGAAAGTTCCTTCGGCCTCACAGACACCGGCTGGCCGCGTCTATCGGGTACTGGATTCGGTAGACTACAGCAAGCCAGTGCGTATTGAGGACTTGTCCTGTGACTGCATGGAGATAATCGCCGACGCTCCACGCTTGATCGGTATTCTTCTCCAGTGGGCATGTACTTGTTACCGAGCAGGAGCACACAGGATCTATCTGGCGACGCGATTACTCCGTAGATGGAATCATCTTGGCGCGGACGTGTACGACGGCATAGTTTCGCACCTCCGCGACATGACCTGGGTTGCGACTGGCGATTCAAATATACTTTTCAAAATCGTTGCTGAACTGGTCCGTTCAAAGACTTTCGCTACCGGGCGCTATCTTCAGTGGCTTATTGCTACGGGGTCTACAGGTCACAGTACAGATCTGTCTTCAGTAAGTCATACTCCACAAGTTCAATCTGTTGGTTCTAATTATTCGATAGCCGCAGTCCTGGCCGTTGCGTTTGATCACCGAGATACCCCTTAGTGGGCTACCGGACCAAATCCGTACATTGCGGAGCACACTCCTCCGTGGAACCTTACACTCCGCGGAATTGGAACAACGAGCCCTTGGCTATGCTGAGCACATGATATCTCAGACCTTACCTACCTTGTTTGGCATCTACAGCAAAACGGCTAAGCTGAATGACGAAGAGCTAGACAAGCTCAGTTCGACGATCAAGCTCGAACTGGGCATCTGGTTACGTCAACACGTCGCTCAGTACGCTGAGGTTAGCGCGCAGTAAGTATCCTCGTAAAATTACCATGGCTTCGCTTACATTGCACAGCATACCCACCAAGGACTCCTCAGTCGAAGAAACCGCCGCGGTATCCCTTTTAACGCCTTGGGACTTCCACACTGTAAGATCGTACCTTGAGCGATTTGGAGACCTTGCTATCCTTGCGGACGTTGTCGGCGTCGCAACTACATCCTTGGATTCTAGTGTTCTTGCTTCTGCTGCGGACACGATCAATTACCACGCCAGAGCCTTTCGTGCAATAGGTGCCTTTGACCCACTGTTTGCTAGAATTGCGACAAGATATGCCGCCCTACGAACTGTCCGACTCCCGGATCGCGAATTACTGCTTAGTCTTGCCAGTCTAGCTCGTACAGCACAAGCTGACGGCCAACTCCCCCAGCTCCTCAACTATGATTTGAGCCAATTGAACCAGAGGAACTCACTTGTAGCCTGTTCACCAGCCTCCGACAATATGGGTGAGGTCATGCAAACAGGATCGTCTTCCGATGACGAGATTGAACGCATACTTTCGAGTGGTACCAGCATGGACCAACAGATGATGGGTCGGGTACTGAGGAAGATCGTCAGCAACCTAGAGGAACATCTTGCCAAGGGCTCTTTCCACTTGAACAATCACCATACATGGTTCCATCGTCTGCGCTGCTTCGACGAGCCGACCTTCGACATGGTCGTGAATGAATGGCTGATTTTGAGCTTAATGGCTCAAAGGATTGACACCCTGCGGGTAGCCTTGCCTACACTTGTTGGTTCGGGCTGTATTCCTTTGGCGTCCTTCCTTGATTCACTCAGAACTTGCATCGCAAAATTCAAGACCAATCCTTCTGAAGGTGGTCTCCAAAGTGCTCTCAAAGGCATGATGATTACTCTGCCGTCTGACGCTCTAGTTCAGTCTTGTTCGCCGCAAGATGCATATCGATACCGATTGGAGCAGCGAAAGCTCTGCTTGGAAACTGAAGGTCGCTTTACGCAATGTGTTGGCGAGGTAGTTGGGCTTGCTTCAACTATTACTTCTCAAAAGGCTCAGGAACAACTCTCAGAGTTCCTACGCAGTAAGCCCATGCTGCATGTTCTGAAACATCGCATTGTAGGCGATCCAGGATGCTTGTCAAAATTGAACAAGGATGCTTCGAGTCATTTGCTCAAGCCGTCGTTAGACAGCCTACTTGACCCCAAAGGTCACTTACGGCTGCCCGACAAGAGCCCTGAACAGCAGGTACTTGCAGTCTTCGCACTTACTAGCGAGTTGTCCTTACCAATCTGCCAAGCGACTATCGAACAGCTGTTCTCATCTAGTGCAGCCGCGCTGGGAGGCTCCAGTGAGGTACTTTCTGCTTCTCTTTTGAGTGCCATCAAGACAGCAGTGGAAGAGGATCAACCTTCAGGACTAGAGCTACTTGCGAGCTTGGACGCTGCTCTCACCGACCAAATACGACAGCACGCTGAACGCGAGATCTTGAATGCCTCTAGCTTCTTGTGTATGACGTCCACCGTCAAAGCAGAGGAACCAGAGAAGGTCTCACCCGCAGTGGTGCAAAAGTATCTCACAGTCATCGATCTGACTTCCAGTAAGCGCGCGGCATCTACAGAACAGACTGCGCTTCTCCAAGCCTTGGTCGAGAGGTTCAAAGGCATAAGTCAAGCTCTTGAAGACAACAGACTCTCTGTTTTAGAGATTTATGCTTGGTTGAACGCCCTACTTCGTCTGGTAGTATCTCATGCACCGGACATGTTGGCCGAGGCTACACATCCACACCAGACCGCTTTGATGAGTGCCATGACTGCCTTGCTCATGCATCCGTCTTTGGAACTATATCCTACTATTACTGAGCATGTCTTTGATGTTACAGTATTCTTATCCGATTACATAACGGATGACGTTCGGTTCCACGTTACTCGATTGGAAGGAGCAAGACTTGCAAGCGATGCGCGTTGTGTCTTCATCCTGGGAGTAACGGCTCCCGTCGACGGCTGGCTTGTCCTGGCCAAACCCGTCAACACCCCTCTGGTCCAGGCGTCGTCGCAACCACCGACACCAACGCCCCTTCACAATCAGCCATCACCGTACCAGAGCCCGCAGGTACCTGCGAGTGGCTCTGCAATACCGCAGCAACGCTATCTCCAACAGCAACAACAAAGACAACAGCAAATGCACGCGGCTCAACAAGCACAACAGATACGTGCGCAGCAGCAGTATCACCAGCATCCGCAGAACAAGATGCTGCCCGCACAACTCCAACGAACCCCATCAGGCCAGGCCTCACCCTCTCCATTGCAGCAAATGTCGCAAATGCAACAGATGCAGCAAATGCAACAGCGCGCTATGCAACCATCGCCCGTGTACTCACAGCGTCCTACTCCTGCAGCGGGTCAGGGCCAATCTAGTAGCCAAGGCCAGACGGGTGCGCAGGCGCCGGGCAAGCTCCAGATCAGGCAAGACAGGGAGATACGGCACTATCCTTTTGTACAGCCTAGGTGGGAAATTCTAGCCGAATCTTCTGGCAACCCGAA